GAGTCAGAGCGGGAAATATAGGATCTGTTTCAGGAGTGATACTGAGGCGCTGATCTCATAAGATATATCAGCATTTATACAAGATGGTGAATATAACTGTTTTAAAAGGATTTAAAATAAAATAAATGTGCCACAAGTTAATACAATATAAAAAGAATGACAAATCACTCTGAATGATACATTTGAATATCAAGTGGAAGACCTGTGCACGTTTAAAGACGCAGCATCTTCCAGGAATGTGCAAATGATCCATATCTTCTGTCGTACTGTCTCTATGAAACTTGAACTCTATTGAGCTCCGTGATGTTTGAGCGTTAAGGGACTACAGCTGCATTCATGTGCACATAAAGGGTCGTATAATAACAGTAAATTCAAGTTTATTTTGGACTCTTCCGGTCTGATCTGCAGCTCATTATGTCCCATCACACTTCAGAGATAAGACATGACCTCATGGTGTGATCAGCACAGAGACATCCATCACTCTGTTATTAAAGAATAAAGGGACTGCACGGCGCTGATCTTGTTTATAAGATATATAAATTCTCTCGAGAACATGACGCCCGTATACAAGATGGCGCTTCGGACGTAAACAACAACGAGACGTAAACAACAACGAGACGTAAACAACAACGTGACGTCGGAGCTCCGTAAAAACAAAGCTGTCTCTGCCGTCTGACGCTCTGTTTGATACTCAGATTTCTGGAGGAGTTATGCAGCTTCTGAGGAACAGAAATATTATTTTCTGACATCACTTTAACATTTTACGGGGAAAGATCTGCATTTTGAGGGCGCAACGCCGAGAGAGACAAAACCCTGCAAAGATCAATGTGTAAGAGATGGAAATGGAATTCAAAGAGGTCTTGTTTTTTCGGGTCTTCTGTCTCAAGTCAAGAATACCAAGTCAAAGTTAGTCAAGCAAGTCTCAAGTCCAAAAATATGCGAATCGAGTCCCCCACTTCTGCTACATACTGATATACACCTGAACATCAGCAGGAGAGGACTCTTTAAAGTAGAGACACTACATACTGATATACACCTGAACATCAGCAGGAGAGGACTCTTTAAAGTAGAGACACTACATACTGATATACACCTGAACATCAGCAGGAGAGGACTCTTTAAAGTAGATACACTACATACTGATATACACCTGAACATCAGCAGGAGAGGACTCTTTAAAGTAGAGACACTACATACTGATATACACCTGAACATCAGCAGGAGAGTACTCTTTAAAGTAGAGACACTACATACTGATATACACCTGAACATCAGCAGGAGAGGACTCTTTAAAGTAGAGACACTACATACTGATATACACCTGAACATCAGCAGGAGAGGACTCTTTAAAGTAGAGACACTACATACTGATATACACCTGAACATCAGCAGGAGAGGACTCTTTAAAATAGAGACACTACATACTGATATACACCTGAACATCAGCAGGAGAGGACTCTTTAAAGTAGAGACACTACATACTGACATACACCTGAACATCAGCAGGAGAGGACTCTTTAAAGTAGAGACACTACATACTGATATACACCTGAACATCATCAGGAGAGGACTCTTTAAAGTAGAGACACTACATACTGATATACACCTGAACATCAGCAGGAGAGGACTCTTTAAAGTAGAGACACTACATACTGATATACACCTGAACATCAGCAAGAGAGGACTCTTTAAAGTAGAGACACCAGCCAATGAGATCATCTCTGCCGTTATGAAATATCCTCACTCCGTCTGCTTGCATTAATCACTCTATAAATCCTGTATTTGTGCTGCTGTTTGAGTGTCTGCTCCATCTTTCCATGACATCACCTCTGAGTTTACGTTCCTGCTCACACTCCTTATCTGACTCTTTATTTTGCATTAGCATCGAGGTATAAACACGACGCATCGAGGTGTCATTAAGCGGCTCGGGGCTGATTGTTTTAAGTGTTTCTTCTTCATGGGTTCTAGATCATTTGGGCTCCTTCTGTGCAGCAGAGGAAGTCCATCGATCACTCGCTGACAGACGAGGCGTCGCTGCTCTGAAGAGTCTGATTATCTGTCTGTGAATGTGAGACGGAGGCACGCGAGCTCCTGCAAACACTGGAGGGTTTGTATCAAATGAGTTAATGTTCTGTTCATATAAATGTACTGAACAATGAATTAGAGTCTCAATAATGTATTTTTATTCTTCTATTTCATTTGGTTAGAATATGCAATCTCCCTGGCAAATATCTTTTAAACATTATTATCCATCACTTTGGAAGCTAACCCTAAATAAATGTGACTAAAACCACAAAACCAAAACATAATTTTGCACTAAATCAAGTGTTTTCCTATAATTGCGGCCTCATGCTAATCAATCAGTGCAGCTGAAGCATTAATTATGTTTTTAAACGCTGGATATTTTTCTAATCTTTCAACAGGAATCAGAAACGGGGATTATTTATCGTGTTCAACAATAAATCATCTTTATTTATACCATAATAATCACATGACGTGATGTTAGCAGCAGCTGGAGCTCCGTCTCTGAGGATCTGCATGAGTCATGTTTCTGGAGTGAAGATGAAGTCATTGAGCAGTGCATTATGGGATGTTTCCACGCTGCGGTAAAGACCTCTGCTAGTGGCTGTGATTCAGGAGGAAATATCTGAAGAGGAATCTGCAGCGAGACGTAAGAGCGCTGCTTCAGTGTCGTAAAAGTATTCAAAGAGGCGAAGAACGCGTCTTATGTACCTCTGTTTCTCCTGCATTATTATTTGTATTCCTCAGAATCAGGGTATGCATAAGCCGGTTTATAGTTTCAGTTATAAGAGATGAAGTTCTGCAAAAATATGACGTATACATGTACGATAAACGTGCTTTACTTTGGGGCTTTTCATTCATTTTTAGGACAAACTGTCAGGACCTCGACACAAACTGATGAACCCAAATGCACGACCCAGAGACAAAGTCTTGAATGTAATAAAATGTATTTATTAATTCCAATGATCAGGCAATCCCTCTTAACAGAGTAGGTGCTGGAATAAACAAAAAGCGTTCACAAGGAGGAAAAAACTAGGCATAACAAAAGGAGAACTTAAAGGTCCCATGTCATGCTTTTCCGGTTATTACCCGTCCCCTTGTGTTATGAAGGTTGTTCTGCATGTGAACGGTCTGCAGAGTCACAAACCCTCAAAGTACACCCTGTAGCGAGTAAAACTCTAACACAGAGAAGACCTGTCTATGCTGCCCCAGAACGCCTCGTTGGACATTTCTCTTTTTCCATTGTTTGCTTCCTGGGTTCTGTGACGTGTGAACACCCAAATCAACAACAAATGACCGGATTGGTCCATTTGGGCAGAGTCCCGGTCCCGCATGCTGGCTCTTACGGAACCGACTAGCTCCCCTTGTGTGTATGTACAGCTCTCAACATGCCCAGACTTGGAGTGATTTTCACCTCTTTTAATACTTTCCGCCTCATTCTGAAAGAAAGAAGTGAGATGTGCCAACGTGACGGCCGTCTTGGTGTGTGGTGCGAGACGGGAGATGGAGTTCATTGAGCGCTTTCACACAAAGAAAAGTGTTACTTCACAGTTTTATGACACATTTTTATTTTTTTTACTTGTAAAATGATCTTTTAAATTGACAAACATCATGTGTGTAATTCGTGGCACAATTCAAACGGGATCGAAAGATAAGTTTTCTCTCTCCATTGACTTCAATGCATAACTTTTCCGAAATAAGGTCCCATGGAGGTCCACCGGAAAGGGAGGGACTTCGCCTCTCTAGTCTTATCGTAAAGTGGTACCGACATTTCTTACAACACTCAAGAAAAAGAAGACACATTTGTAGATTTTCAGTAGTTTTATTGAAAAATGCCTCTTCTGTTTTCAGAAATAAATAAGAAAATAAGGCTGTGGAATTCACAATCTGCAGTTCAAACAGGAAGCAGCACCCCCCCTGCCCACTGCATTCGCTACTGAGACAATGAGGACAATAACAACAACAACAACAACAACTATAATCTGCTTAAAAACAAAATGAAATGTAAAATAAAAAAAACGACATGTACTAAATATACACCACAGACATGCAACTCCACCTCTTCGTTCAAATGAGCTGTGACGGAATAAAGGAAAACTGATAAATATTAAGATACAAAATGAAAGCTGTGTTTAATGCTGTAACGTGATTATATTATGGGATGTGAACACCTTCTGTTGCTGTGCACCGTTCAACACTGCTCGTTCATTCAATGGATGCAAATATGGTACAAGCAGAAAGACACACAGGAAATCTCACAGGGTTTTCTTGATCCTCGCCCGCCCCCCCGCCACAAGAAATGAATATTCACATACGTTTGTTAAGGCATTTAAAGGTATTTTCCAATGAGGTGTCAAACCCCCCTTTGTGTGTGTGTGTGTGTGTGTGTGTGTGTGTGTGTGTGTGTGTGTGTGTGTGTGTGCATCCCAACAGTTTTCTTAGATGTTTCTTCTTTACTTCTTTCCAAAATGATCATATTTTCGTCAAACTGACTTTTTTTTCATCATTTTTTTTGACATACTGTCCTGTGACATTTTCTTTCTTTTTTTTACTTTCTTCCATATACAATACTATGACTTTGTGTGTGTGTGTGTGTGTGTGTGTGTGTGTGTGTGTGTGTGTGTGTGTGTGAGTAGTGTGCATAAATCCCAACAGTTTTCTTAGATATTTCTTTTCAGACAATTTCATTTTTTCCAACATGTTGATATTTTCGTCATACCGTGACTTATTCTTCATGTTTTTTTTAAACTTTTTTGTCTGTTTGTGTGTGTGTGTGTGTGTGTGTGTGTGTGTGTGTGTGTGTGTGTGTGTGTGTGACTGGTGTGCATACATCCCAACACAGTTTTCTTAGATATTTCTTCTTTCCAAAATGTTGATATTTTCGTCATACTGTGACTTATTTTTCAAGTTTTTCGAAAGCTTTTTTCGTGTGTGTGTGTGTGTGTGTAGTGTGTGTGTGTGTGTGTGTGTGTGTGTGTGTGTGTGTGTGTGTGTGTGTGTGTGTGTGTGTGTGTGTGTGTGTGTGTGTGTGTGTGTGTAGTGTGCATGAATCCCAACACAGGTAGAAACAGGACTGTTTTATGACGCCGTTCTGCTGGACCTGGAGAGCGACCTCTTCTTCCGCCGCTGGTTCTGCAGCTCGTCCTCGTCGGGGAGTCTGGCCTCGGGCTCGGTGGGGGACTGGCCTGCTCGGAGAGAGCGTTTTGGGGCCAATTGAGCGTCAGTTTGTCTCATCATGCACACACATTAAAGGGCTACATGTAGTGTCTCTGTGTGGCTGCGGGGTGAAGCTCTGATACAGGTGTTAGCAGCTGCAGGGACGTGGCCACCGCTCATTTGGGAGGATTCTCAGGTGTTTTACAGGGAAATATATCCAATTCTTTCACGCTAATTTCTCTATTATCCAAACTTTTCACTCGCTAATTTGCGAATGTCTGCTAAAACATGAAGACATATTGACTGTAGTTTATAGTTGACATATTTCTGCATTTTTATTTGCACAATTCTGCCCCTTGCACCATTCTCTTGCACTATTTTATTTTGCAAAAACTATGCTGCAGCTACTTAAACTCTGGAGCAGTTTAAATGAAACAATTGTGTATTTTCTGGTTAATTTTGCACAGCCAATTAACCAATGAACTCCCAGATGCAGTGGTTAACGAGGAGGACACGCCCCTGCAGACGTCTCAGTGACGATTTCCCTTTGACTTTCTCAACAACACATCCATTTACAACATGAGTAAAACATTCACCGCATAGAAATCAAGTTCTTCTGCCACCAATTGAGATTGTTAGTACTTTACAGATACAGTATTGCTTTGGGGAGAAAAGTAAAAAATAAAACAAGAAACCTGCGGGGTCACATGTGCAGAAGTGACGTCTTAAATATAAAAAACATTAAAATAAATCCCAGTAAAGAGGGTTTCTGTGGGCATTCAGCAAGCAGGGTGTTGCAAAGCAGAAGCTCTGAGAAGTTAAACAGCATCTGGTCCGGCCGTTAGTTTATTTACACGATGTGACGAAGCCCACGACGCTCCACCGCTTGTTTGTTTGTTAGTATTTGTTGTTGTTGTTGTTTTTGTTGGTGCATGCTCCTCCACCGAACATCTCGTTGCCGTGGAGATGCTGTGAGTCGTGGTTAGTGTCCCTCTTTGTCGCGCTGTGGTTTCTCAGTTTGTTAATCCTTCGGAGGTTTCTCTCCCCTTTCTTTTTTTTTTAAACGGCTCTAGAGCGAGTGAGCGAGCGTCTTAGTTACAGGACTTTCAGGGGGTCAGTGAAAGCAGCACAGAAAGTCTACTGCTGTGAACCTGGAACAGGCCAAACAGGAAGGGGGGGGTCAGAGGTCAAAGCAGAAAGATAAAACACTTCAGTAATGTTTAGTAAATATCACCCATGCATTAACACTCAGAGGGAAGCGTTCCAACATGTTGGGAGATCGTCCTTTTCTGTCTTTAAGGCCCTTAATAATATTTGTTAACCTCACTTCCTGTGTTGATATACATACTTGTATTGTTATTTTTAGTTTTATCATAATATTGCACACTTTTACTTAACCTTTTAGGTTAATATAAATATTGTTATTCTATTTAATTGTATCTTTTCATTGCACATTTTTTCTCAAGTTTCTATATTGATATTCATATAAATATGTATTTTATTAGACATTTTAACTTTATTTTACATGTATAAATACATATTTTAAATATGTTTTGATTTTGTTTTGATTGCATATTTTTACTTAACTTCATATGTTATATTTCATTTTATATTTGTATTGTTTTTATTTTACTAACACTTCTAAAAATAATATGCATTTGAGTTTTCTTTTATTGCACATTTTTACTTAACTTATTATGTTAATACTTACATTTAAGCCTAATTTCCCCCAGGGATTTATAAAGTGTTCTCAATAAACAAATATTATTGGGACCTGAATACTTTTTCAATACTTACTTTTAAAACAAAAAACGTTTTTATTTAGCCAAAAATAAAAAGTTATTTTTATATTTGAGTAGATACCAAAGATACCAGACAACTTTAATTATTTGGCAGATTCTCTTTTGATGGAGCTATGCTAGCAGTTTCCCTTTGCTTCCAGTCTTTGTGCTAAGCTAACCTCTCTAAATGTTGGAACGCTTCCCTGCAGATGATGAGTCATTAGCATCATTAGTGAGCAGCTATGTGATTGATTAAAGGTCATAGCGTACCTCCGTATCCGTTGTAAGGGATGCCGACGCACTGGGAGGAGTCACAGTAGCCGGGGGGGCCGGGGGGGCCGCGGACCCCAGCGTACCCGGGGCGCCCGGGGGGGCCACGGGGCCCCGCAGAGCCTGAGGGGCCCGCGGGTCCCGTCCTGCTCTCACCATGAGGCCCTGGAGGGGGAACACACAGAGAAAGTACTGAGTTATTGTCACGTTTTCAAACAAAGGAAGCATTTTAAAGGGGTCCTATCAAGCTTTCCCCCTGAGGCCCTGGAGGGACAAAACAGAGAAAATACTGAGTTCTTTTTCATGTTTTGAAGCATTTTAAAGGGGTCCCCTACTACGACATAGTTGTGATGGAAACTTCTGGTGCAATGGAGATTCAGAGAGACACGAGGAGAGCAGGGACTTTCACTGACGGTTTATTTGGAGCTTCGGCCGGAGAATTCACAAGACGTGCTGCAGCCACGAGGTGACACAGATGCTGCCAAACTAATTCTGGAGATCTCTACCCCAGACCCATGTATTTAGCTGGTTCTGAGAACATGCTGCATAACAAGATAAAACACTAAAATACCTCCAACAGCCAGGAATAAGGAGACAAAGCACTGAGAGCACAGCACCCAAAGTACAGCACCCAAAGTTGCAGGTGGTCAGTGAGGGAAGTACAGACTGATAAACTGGGTCAAAGTTATGGGCCTAGGAAAATATTTCCCCAACAATAGTGACATCACTGTGTAACAGCCGCGCTCCTATTGGCTAGCACTCCAAAACATTGTACGTGATAGACTAAGGGGCGGGACATCTCTAAGCGGTTGACCAATCACAACAGAGACCGCCGGCTAGCCAATCTAGTTATTTAACATTTCTGACTTTAAACTTGACTCAAAGTACTTTACGGTATTTATCTACATTTATTAGATATTTAATTAGATAGATAAATAGATAGATGGATAGATGGATAGATGGATAGATAGATAGATAGATAGATAGATAGATAGATAGATAGATAGATAGATAGATAGATAGATAGATAGATAGATAGATAGATAGATAGATAGATAGATAGATAGAGAGATAGATAGAGAGATAGATAGATAGATGGATAGATGGATAGATGGATAGATGGATAGATAGATAGATAGATAGATAGATAGATAGATAGATAGATAGATGGATAGATGGATAGATGGATAGATGGATAGATAGATAGATAGATAGATAGATAGATAGATAGATAGATAGATAGATAGATAGATAGATAGATAGAGAGATAGATAGAGAGATAGATAGATAGATGGATAGATGGATAGATGGATAGATGGATAGATAGATAGATAGATAGATAGATAGATAGATAGATAGATAGATAGATAGATGTGGTGGTTTTAGATCCTAACCGCTGCAGTAAAGAAGCAGGTCTGGTTTTTGAAGCTTTAATGGAGCACGCTTGCTTTTGAAGAGCGACGATGACTCAGCGCCTCTCCTCCATGTGTTTGTGTTTTTACGACCGTCTGAACAATAGAAAACAGTTTATCCCGCTCGTTATATTCCTGTAAAACTGCCCAGAGTTAAACCCTCAGGAGGTGTTTCACCATCTCTAAAACCGAACCAGATCCTCTTCAGTTCTCCGGGGTCATCGTGCTCCACTTTCACAGACGTATTTCTTTAAAATCTCTGAAACATGTGCTCACAAACATGGGAATAAAAACCCTGCAGTGTGAGAGGAACGATGAAAGGAATCTGCTGATTTGTTTTTCCCGCTCTGCTTTCTGTCTAGACGAGGAAAAGCCGGCTTGGAAAGTCTCCCTCTGTGTTGTGAATGAATGACTCACTGCCGTCCTCCATTTCCTCTCCCTCTCTGTTTCCACAACTTCACCTTACATTGGGACTCTGTGATTAGTGCAGTTTTCTAAGGCTGACATCATCGTTTTGTGGCTGGTTTTGCACGATGAGAGTGTATATCAGTATGTAGTGTCTCTACTTTAAAGAGTCCTCTCCTGCTGATGTTCAGGTGTATATCAGTATGTAGTGTCTCTACTTTAAAGAGTCCTCTCTTGCTGATGTTCAGGTGTATATCAGTATGTAGTGTCTCTACTTTAAAGAGTCCTCGCCTGCTGATGTTCAGGTGTATATCAGTATGTAGTGTCTCTACTTTAAAGAGTCCTCTCCTGCTGATGTTCAGGTGTATATCAGTATGTAGTATCTCTACTTTAAAGAGTCCTCTCCTGCTGATGTTCAGGTGTATATCAGTATGTAGTGTCTCTACTTTAAAGAGTCCTCTCCTGCTGATGTTCAGGTGTATATCAGTATGTAGTGTCTCTACTTTAAAGAGTCCTCTCCTGCTGATGTTCAGGTGTATATCAGTATGTAGTGTCTCTACTTTAAAGAGTCCTCTCCTGCTGATGTTCAGGTGTATATCAGTATGTAGTGTCTCTACTTTAAAGAGTCCTCTCCTGCTGATGTTCAGGTGTATATCAGTATGTAGTGTCTCTACTTTAAAGAGTCCTCTCCTGCTGATGTTCAGGTGTATATCAGTATGTAGTGTCTCTACTTTAAAGAGTCCTCTCCTGCTGATGTTCAGGTGTATATCAGTATGTAGTGTCTCTACTTTAAAGAGTCCTCTCCTGCTGATGTTCAGGTGTGTATCAGTATGTAGTGTCTCTACTTTAAAGAGTCCTCTCCTGCTGATGTTCAGGTGTATATCAGTATGTAGTGTCTCTACTTTAAAGAGTCCTCTCCTGCTGATGTTCAGGTGTATATCAGTATGTAGTGTCTCTACTTTAAAGAGTCCTCTCCTGCTGATGATCAGGTGTATATCAGTATGTAGTGTCTCTACTTTAAAGAGTCCTCTCCTGCTGATGTTCAGGTGTATATCAGTATGTAGTGTCTCTACATGTCTCCATGCTTTAATGTTCAGAAAGCTCTTTATTGTTCTCATACTGTCTGTGCTGCAGCATCTCTTTTCACCCTCTGTCTGAAACCAGAGCCCAGTCTGCTCTGATTGGTTAGCTGGCCGGCTCTGTTGTGATTGGTCAACCGCTTAGAGATGTCCCGCCCCTTTGCCTATCACGTACAATGTGTTGGAGCTGCTAGCCAATAGGACTGCAAGTGTTCTATAGTGATGTCACTATGTTCCGGAACTTTGGGATTTTAGTCGTTGCAGACCATTTACATGCACTAAAACCTGCATAACACACTACAGGAGAGGGAAAACGGGTTTAACAAGTGTTTATATCTGTACCTGCAGGTCCTCTGGGTCCTTTCTGTCCGACTCCTGATAATCCTCGCTCTCCTTTCTCTCCCGCAGTACCTGAGGAAACACATACCATCAGAATCTGCCTAGCAACAGTAATCCTGATAAACTCAGTGAGTTACAGCATCATACTCTTTCTACAGACTTAATAACAAATATTTCTTTGGAACAGATCCTCCCCTTGATCATATTAAAACATTTCTCAATGATAATGTGAATAATGTTTAAAAACTTCTAACATTTCGAATCATATCATGAGGCAATAACAGTTAAAATAATCACAATGAGTTATTTAATATCAAACAAAATACAAACATCAAATCTACATATTTGAGCAGCTGGAATCTGCATTCTTTGCAATGTTATCATGAAAAATGACTTTAAAAATAAGTAACTCTGCAGAATTTGTTGATTGACTTATTTGACATATTGTTGATTTCTGTGTTTCCTCGTCATAATAACAGCGATAGCCTCTCTCTCTTTCAGATATAAAGTCTCTCTCACCTCTCTCTCCCGGCTGTCCCGGTGATCCGCTGTTTCCGTCAAACCCGTTCCTCCCCGCGGCGCCGGGCTCTCCGCGGGTCCCCTGCCTGCCTTCGGCTCCTGGAGGCCCCGGGGCTCCTGGTTTGTTGCTGCGATACTGACCGTTAGGGATCTGGTTCAGTAACGTGTTGACTCGACTCATTTGTGCTGCAGCAGAGGAGACAACAGTCAGTGTCACAGTTCAGAACCAGAACCAGAACCAGAAGTCGTCCCACAGAGGGGACATTTACACCGTTACAGCAAAGAGACCACAACACATAGAGCACTATTATATAAAAGGCATGCACATAGTATACATTCAGGTAGATAAGGAAGTAGCAGCAGTGTTTATAGAATAGAATAAGTGCAATGAAGTGTGTTATATAAGATAGAGAGATAGATAGATAGATAGATAGATAGATAGATAGATAGATAGATAGATAGATAGATAGATAGATAGATAGATAGATAGATAGATAGCTCGATCGCTAGATAGCTCGATAGTTCGCTCGATCGATCGCTCGATCGTAGATAGCTCGCTCTCGATCTCGCTCGCTAGCTCGCTCGCTCGCTCGCTCGCTCGCTCGCTCGCTCGCTCGCTCGCTCGCTCGTTCCTCGCTCGCTCGCTCGCTCGCTCGCTCCTCGCTCGTTCGCTAGATGGATGGATAGATAGATAGATAGATAGATAGATAGATAGATAGATAGATAGATAGATAGATAGATAGATAGATAGATAGATAGATGGATGGATAGATCAATTGGGAAATTATTTTGTTACAGGACCAGTGTGATCAACATTAAAATACACATACTGTAATTGAAAATGAAAAATAGTATATCAATGACTATAAACACTATGAAATAATACTACACTGGTGTCAGAGCCCTTGTTGTTGTATGTGTGGAGGTTTTAGAGCCTGACCGCTGCAGGAAGGAAGCACCTGATGTTTTCTCAAAGTATCTCTGTATTCTCGGAGAGTATCTCACCGTTCACCAGCTGCTCACACACTTGTCTGGCGATGGATCTCATCATGTTCTGAGGAGCAAAGTCGCCCTGAGGAGGAAGAGGAGGGAGGTCAGACGACACAAAACTGTGCTAATGTACGGAGGCCGACACGTGCAAACAGCCCAAATGAAATGTCCTTATTTCTGGTTATTCGAATAGCGATTCAAAGTCAAAGGAATATATACAAGTTAGTTTTTGATTTGGGGAAATATCGTGAATGAAATGTAAATATAGGGGTTATTCGTTTAGGCTTTGGAGCTTCTTCCCCCCTTCCTAAGACTAGATGTTCTCTTACAATTTTTGCAGGAAGTGAAGTGATGCTCTCAGACACAATTTCACCAACAACATGCAGTCCACAGTACCAAAGTATGATAGTTTCTAGGAAATTCAAGGGGACAAACTGCATTGTATCCACGTTGGTGTTTTGTGGAAACAGTAAAAGGCGTGAAGGCATTTAAATGACTTGTAAGGAAGGGTGTTTTCCTGCTGTGTAGCAAAGATAAATCTCACTTTGGATTAAAATGTGATGTTTTCGAGCTTCTGAAGATGTTTAAAATAAATGCAGATGTACTCACTCTCTCTCCCTTGTCTCCCTTTAGACCGAGAGAGCCCTGGAAACAGAAAATGAGAATTCTTTAGTTTGCAGAAAACGTTTGAATCTGTGTCTGGAGGTAAAGCGTTGAGGTGAAGACACTCACAGGAGATCCGGTGTCTCCGGGGTTTCCTGGTTTCCCGACTCCACCTGAATTTCCAGGAGATCCCGGAGGTCCCTGCAGGAAACAGAAGGAACAACCACGGGGTTAGAAGACCAGCTATTTGAATATATTAACAATTGACAAAAGGTCCGCTAAATATGAACGGTTTGCTAATAGAGGAATCTAAAAGTAGAGCCACTGTACTACTAAATTCCCCCTGGACTAAATCAAATACTCAGATTCTGATTGATGAATATTTATGAAAAGTCACTTAGTCTGGCTTTCTTTGCTCTAAAAACTGACACTTAAACACAAAATTGCTTATGCTAGGTTACAATGTTTTTCTCATCTACTGTACAAATGTATAAGCATTAAATGTCTCACCATGGGTCCTGTGGCGCCTCGGGGGCCCGTCGTGCCTTCCTTCCCTGGGGGGCCCTGAGGATAAAATAATAATAATAATAATAATGTGTAAAGGTTAGGTAAGGTACGTCTATTTATAAAGCACATTATCAGACATTAACACTTAAAGGTCCCCTATTATACTGTTTTTCATCAATATATCACAGGTCTCAGATATATACAGAACATGTCTCTGATTGGCTGAAACACCAAACAGATCATTGCAGCATCCCATAATCCCCTCTGTTTCAGCCCTGTTTCCAAAGTGCTGATTCTCTGTCTGTTACTTTAGATGAATATAAGGAGCCCCTCCCCACGCCCCTCTGAGAGAGATTTGGTTACAAAGAACTCAATGGTGCTCTAGGAGGAGATTCAGGTGATAAGGGGGGGGGGGGGGTTACCTTGGTTGCTGATTGGCTAATGGTTACACAAGCCAAAACATCGTTATGACATCATAAAGTGGCCAAAATCTGATCAGCTCATTTTCAGACAGGTTTTTATAGAAATGGATCAGGACAAAAAGAGAGAGAATCTTTGTTCCTGAAACTTTCAGAGTCTCTTTCCACAGAGGGGACACATGTTGATGTAGAAGAGACATGAAGAAGAGGGGACACATGTTGATGTAGAAGAGACATGAAGAAGAGGGGACACATGTTGATGTAGAAGAGACATGAAGAAGAGGTGAGCTAGTCAGTGCAGAGATCTGAGAACTGGAGTGATGTGTTTTTCCCTTTGAGGAGGATTCAATAAAAGGATTCATTCAAACCCCCCTCTGTACTCACTCTGACTCCTGCTGGTCCGATGGGCCCGCCGGCACCACGTGGCCCCGGGGAACCCTGCAAAAACACAAGGAAAACTGTATTTATTCACTGCAGGATTACAAAAGGTCTCCAGTGTTTCAGGCTGGATTCCTGCACTACATCTATTTTTTTTGTCCATTTGCTCTCTGCTTTTATGACCCCTGCTCTTTGATGCTCAGCATTAGATTTACAGGCAACATAATTTATTCCAGATCTGTTTTATTGGCCATTATAAGGCAAGGGTCTGCAAGTCATTAAATACACGTTGACGCAGCATCTGCTCCATCACCTGCAGCTCCATCAGCACCACGTGGATCTGGAGGAGGAGGTGAGTGGTAGCTGAACACTGCTGAGTCACGTTGAGAATAAACTACATGTTGTCTAGTCGTAACATGGATTATTCCAACATGGCTGCCCATTCATTCCAAGAAAGAGCTGCAGGAATGAGTCCAAAAACCCAGAAATTAGTCAGCGTTTTAGCCCTTCCTGTCCTCTTGTCTGGAAGTAAATGGTTTTTCTGAATCTGTGTTTGGTTGTTAGCTTAAAATATGGTCTGTGGTTAACACAAACTATTCTACAACATAAAATACATCAGTAAATACCACACTGGTGAATTTAAAAACAACGGTTGCTAACAAGTGCTGAGACGACTAAACATCATCACGCCCAACGTTAGCCACCTTTAGCTTAGCGGTGGTGACGTGAAGTCATGTGACCGTGCTGTAGTTCCTTTATAGCCCAACATTAGCCTCCTTTAGCTTAGCAGTGGTGACGTGAAGTCATGTGACCGTGCTGTAGTTCCTTTATAGCCCAACATTAGCCACCTTTAGCTTAGCGGTGGTGACGTGAAGTCATGTGACCGTGCTGTAGTTCCTTTAAAGCCCAACATTAGCCTCCTTTAGCTTAGCGGTGGTGACGTGAAGTCATGTGACCGTGCTGTAGTTCCTTTATAGCCCAACATTAGCCACCTTTAGCTTAGCGGTGGTGATGTGAAGTCATGTGACCGTGCTGTAGTTCCTTTATAGCCCAACATTAGCCACCTTTAGCTTAGCGGTGGTGATGTGAAGTCATGTGACCGTGCTGTAGTTCCTTTATAGCCCAACATTAGCCCCCTTTAGCTTAGCGGTGGTGACGTGAAGTCATGTGACCGTGCTGTATTTCCTTTATAGCCCAACATTAGCCCCCTTTATTGATTGATTGATTGAAAAGTTTATTAACAGCTTGTATATTGGGTACAGTACAGTACAGCTCAAAACATACAATTGTTAAGGGGATGCAGACCAGAGAAAGACTTTCGTCTTGTTTACATCAGGGTCCCCCATTTCCAATTCATCATATCATTTAAGACATATAAGACATATTTGACATACAGATGGCTTATTTACAATTTACATACAGGTGGTTTTTTACATACAGATGGCTTATTTACAATTTTCATTTTAGATTTCGTTCTAATACATCCTAACCGGACATTTAAGACATACCAAGTCTACAGATATACAGTTAGTAACAGAGTCTAAAATGCGAGTATATACATAGATGGGGGGGGGAAGCTGTCCATTGTACGACAGGTTGAGATTTGTACCATTACCGGGGCCAGTTTTGCAGCCAGTTTTGCAGTTTAGCTTAGCGGTGGTGACGTGAAGTAATGTGACCGTGCTGTAGTTCCTTTATAGCCCAACATTAGCCCCCTTTAGCTTAGCGGTGGTGACGTGAAGTAATGTGACCGTGCTGTAGTTCCTTTATAGCCCAACATTAGCCACCTTTAGCTTAGCGGTGCTGAAGTCATGTGACCGTGCTGTAGTTCCTTTATAGCCCAACATTAGCCACCTTTAGCTTAGCGGTGGTGACGTGCTAAGCTAAATTCTCTATTTAAGCCGTCTCAAAGTCTTTTTTTTATAAATACCATGTGGTGCTCACCGCTGGATCGCCTGTCTACTTATAATTGATTCGGTTTTTTTATTCATTAATTCAAATATGATTGATTTATGGTACTTTGGACTCATTTCCTGCTTAATGCTGCAGTATGCATGAAGATATTTTGACAGGAGAGGAAACTAAATGAAGGAAACGTCTCTCCATCTCTGCCCGTCCAATAAAACGTTCATATGAGAGGTTTTCATTCCAGGTCGAAATGAAAAAGAAATACAACCTGATCTTCGTCACTAAATATCTCAAACACACAGAGACAGATTCATCCTGTTCTGAGGTCAAAGCCTGAACACTGACCCGACATTTTCTTTTTTCTAAAGCCAACGTTTGTTTCATAATCTGAGGTTTGTCTGACATTTTGAATTATAATTCCTTAAAATCCTGAAAGCTCCTCGATGAAACAGCGTACAATAACAGGAGGAAGGAGCAGCTTTCCAACATTTAAGCAGCGCTGTTAATCACGCTGATGTTTCCTTGGCTCCTTCTCTGCAGAAAACTTAATTTAAAAGTAATATTTCGAGCCCCACTCCATTATTTTATATCAGGTTCCAGCCAGACGCCACGCTATAAGTCAATCTGAGTGATCTGCTTCCTGATTAAAATCACTTCCACTCACTTTCTGTCCAGGTAATCCTGAGTCTCCCAATTCTCCCTTTGGTCCAGGGCGGCCCTGCACACAAACAGAACAGAAGCATTTAGAAACTCACAAGTTACTGCATTTAACATAAAAAGATAGTTCACAAGAAGAGTTTAGATCAGTATAGAGTGCCACAGTGACGTGTCCTAAAACCCGGAAGTAAGTTAGCATTTTACCACTTCCGGTTCCTTCGCCAAAAAGCAATGGAATTTCTCCAGAGGGTTTTGGAAAATAGTTGTAAATAAGGTCTGTGGTTGAGACACATTGAAGAGACGGATCACGTTTTGTTCTAGGACATTAAATCCATCAGCAGTGACCCCACTGGTGATTTCTGAAGAGTTGACGTGTCTGAAAAACGATGGTTGTTACCAAGTGGCTGAATAGGACTACAGAAGTTGTGGAGGCCGTTGTACGTCATTACGCCGAACACGTAAACACTCCTCTAAGTTAGTTTGCCCTGTTCTGCTTGAAAGCAAGTACCTGCCTCCTGCTAACTGTTCAAACAAACGCTTCAACTCGTACCATTTAGAATCTGTATGTTTGGATATGGATCTGAAGTTGGCGTGACGTTGAAGCAGCGACCCTGCTGTAGTTCCTTTATAGCATAACGTTAGCATTTTGCTTCTGGCGACTAGATTTATGATTAGAAAATGATAAAAGTAGGGTAGACATGTGGAGATGATCCGGCTGAACAAAACGTGATCCGTCTCTTAAATGTGTTTCAACCACAGACCTTATTTCCAGCTATTTTCCAAAATCCGATTGCGTTTTTCTCGAAGGAACTCCTTCCGGGTTTTAGGACGCGTCACTGTGGCACTCTATTTAATTTCACTGTACAGTATGTAATGTAAAGCTCTCTTGCACGTTTGTATGTATTTTTATTTCATGTTTAGTACATAGAATGTCTCATTGTTGTTGCAGCCTGACACTTCAGATTTGATTTTTCTTTTGTTGTATAATTGTATTTTTGCCGGGTTTTAATACTCTACATTTAAGTTTAATTTCTTCCAAGACAATAATAAAGTTAAATAAATAATACACTGCAAAGCAAAGGGCTTTTGGGAGCCTTTATTGTTATAAAACCATTACAGGGTAACAAAATATGAAATGCCAGTTATTTTAATCTTTAAAAAAAAATGTTTTTACAATTTTTGGTTTTACTTAAACTATTTTAGTTTCCACCTTATATTAAGATTTGAGTGCAGGTTTTATTTTTCCACTTAGATTCATTTGTTTATTTAAAAAGTATATATTAGTTGAATTTCATGTAATTATGGTTCTAATATTGTTTGTAAAGGCTATACAATTAAAGTTTATTTGTAATATTTGCAAAAGGAGAAACACATGTCTTCCACCTGATATTAACATCTGGATAATCTTACATTTTTTTTGCATTTTATAGCATTTTTAACAAAGTAGGTTTTATGTTTCCATTTCCACTTATTTCCATTTAATTTATTTGAATATTTGGATTATTTGGACTTTATTTAATTACGGTGCAGATTTGTTTAATGTTGTTGTTCCTTTGTAAAAATTGATTGGAAAGGCTTTACGATGATAAAGTTTAACATTATTATCTGTGTAAGGAAAACCACATGGATCAGATCAGACAAACCACATGTGGAAGTGTGTTCATATTTCCATTAGACCTCGACTCACAGCTGGAGGTAACATGTGATCTGGAGAACAACACAGCAGGGTGCATGCTGACCTCCACTAGCATTCATAGCTAACTAAAGCTAACAGGAAGGGGTGGAGTCAATTATATTAACCAACTATTGTGTTAGATTGTATTTCTTTAATTTGTACACGAATTGTACACCTGTATTTGTCCTTATCCAGATGCAAAATCCATGTTGGAACTACGTTTGTTTTAGCTATGAGTCTATCTAGTACATATGTTTTGAAACTGTTAAGATCCAGTATTCATATCTAACCATGTTTTGATAATGGGCACAGTTTTGTGAATGCATGCATGACGTATGAAGCCCAAAGTCTTTAGATAGATAGTTAAAATGTTTGTATGAGGATTGTATGTCAGACATGATTTGGCACATTATGTTTTGCACGTTTTTATACATTTTTATGTATAAAAATTACTCCAAACAACGCTGCTGTGACAAAACAACTTCTTACTTTTGGATTAATTAAGTTTATATCGATTAATGCCTCCATAACAACCAGAATGCACTTTGCTTGTTGCACAGCTGTGCTCTCTCTCTCTGTGCTGCCTTCTTCCAAATCCTAATGTAGTAAGAAGTTAAGTCTTAAAGTAAAGTGCACTACTTTTGGTTTCATTTAATTACATTTAATCTCAGAGATGGAAGATATTGAGGAGATATTGATCTCTCAGAGCTGCAGGAATGTGAGGAAAGTGTGCAGCCAGTAAATCCTCTTCAAGATAAATAACCCTCTCACTGGGATCTATGCTGGGCTGCTGAATGTGTGTGTGTGTGTGTGTGTGTGTGTGTGTGTGTGTGTGTGTGTGTGCGTGCGTGTGTGCGTGCGTGTGTGTGCGTGTGCGTGCGTGCGTGCGTGTGTGTCCTCACAGCCTCTCCAGGTATAGACAGTCCGCTGGGCCCCTGAGGTCCGGGCAGACCCATGGCTCCCGGGGGTCCGTTCTCTCCTCGCGGGCCCATCGGCCCCTGATGAGAACACAATAAAAGAAGATAAGAAAGCAGTTGTAGTCAGGAGGGATTACCGCTCTGCTCTCATCTCTCCAGGACTTTAGACACTGGGAGTAAGTGGAGGCAGATGCTCAGAGAGCAAAATCTGACATGTCTTACTGTATATCGGCTGTTCTTGGGTATGTTTATGTACTTATATATGTGTAAGTATATATATACGTTTTTCTACGATTTATAGCATTAACTTGTAGAGTTGACTTGAAGACATTATAAGGACAAATCCTAGCTATATACTTAAATATTATTATTATTATTTGTATATCACTATTTTAATCTTTTAAATGGTGTATTATAATCTTTATAAAAAGGACGATGTATTTTAATATATTTATCTTTCCTTTTCCTTTTATTTCTTTTTTTTTTATACATTATTTTTTCATAGGCATATGATAAGACATGTTTGTTTGACTACCTGTGAAGACATTAGTTTGTATTTGGAGCATGAATGGACAGACCAGGTAATACAAACTCCCATGGATCTCTTCTTCAGTGGTAATTAAAACAGGTAAAGCAGCGTTTTAGAGACAAGAGAAGAAGAATGACTCACAGCAGGACCGGCTTCTCCTCTTTCTCCTCGAGGTCCTTTGCTGCCGGGGGCGCCCTGAGGACAAACAGAAGTTAACAAAACAAAGAATCAAAGGTGCTTCAATAAAACTTTATTTAAAGGTTCCTACAGATCCATATACAGCCAGGCCTTAAGCGGTGTTAACATGTGATCAATGCATCTCTCAAAGAGTCTTAAAATGCTTAGACTAATAGAATAGATTGGGAGGGATGAACCCCTCTGTAATGATCTCACATGCAGAGCACACAGCACACAGTGACATGTGTTCTCTGCTTTTAACCCATCCTAGCACCAGGATTCTAGTACTAGGAGCAGTGAGCAGCTATTGTACAGCGCCCGGGGAGCAATGGGAGTGAGGGGGGAAGGGGGTTGTCCGGTGCCTTGCTCAAGGGCACCACGGCAGGGCAGGAGGTGAACTGGGACCTCTCCAAGTAGCAGTCCACACTCCATATTTAGGTCTGTTCGGGGACTTGAACCGGCGACCCTACGGCTCACAGTCCAAGCCCCTACTGACCGAGCCACTGTCGGACAAGGCTGCATAATTAGGAAATACAATGTCTAGTTTAAATGATTTTGACTGATGTTGCAACCACCAGACTGCCTTTAATTCTGCTAGTTTATAGCAGCAGTAATTAGTTGACTAATTGATTAAATAGGGTTGCATTACATTTGCTATCACCAGAAAGGAAATAACCAACTACTTGGATAAAAGACTTACTGTAGTGCGTAGATAATATCACTTTTCACGGAGAAAGTGCCTCTCAAATCGGGCTATTTCACTTCTGTGTTTAGTAACATTAAAGTGGGCATTTGTGTGTTTTGAACTGACGTAAAAAGACATTTAAAGACAACAACTTGGATTTTGGAGGTATCGGGATGGACATTTTCACAATTCTTCAAATGTATTCTCACCATTGGCCCCTGAGGGCCCGGGAGCCCGGAGCCGGCTGAGGTGCAGGTGCAGGAGTTGGGAAGAGACGGACACTTCATCTCATCTCTCTGTTAAACAAAACAAGAAATCACACAATGAAAGTCAGAGACAACAGAAATATACAGACAGTCACTGAGTGTTTAACCTCTGCGTGTAAATGTCCGGGAACACACGGAAGAGCACTGGGATTCATTTCAAGATGATTTGAGATAAGATAAGAGGTATTTTATTGATCCCAAATTGGGAAATGTTTGGGTTGCAGCAGCATAAAAGTTACTAAAGATACAATAAGGATAACAAACTACAAGAAACAAAGATGGACAGATCATTTAATCGAGAAGCAATGTGTGAAATGAACTGGTTCCAGTTTGTTAAATGTGAAGAATTGATTTCTGTTATTGACTTTTAAATGTAAGATCTTTGGCTTCTGGACTTCAGTTAGACCTCACCTCGAATCTGGACTTGCCTGAAATGCTTATAGATTAAACAATCAATCAATAATAACCGTAATTGTGTTTAGCAGCTTCCAAATCATAATATAGGCATAATCTTACACCAAATAATCCCTGTCATCTGGCAGCTTCTTTCCTGCATGTAGCATTAAGAAAGAAATATACACGTATTGAAATTAAAGTGTGGGTTTCCTGGATTTTAGACGAATACTGATTTATAGGATTATAGGACACAAAATGTGTTTTTCCTCCTATTACTTTGAATCCTGTCATACATGTGTTTACAATTATTATTAATCATCCACATAATTGTCCACATTCTAACCGTGGAAGTCATTTGGCATCAGCTTAATGTCCAAAACGAACCGATAAATGAAACACAAGCTCGTCGTCTTATTCCTGATATTAACGTCCGCTCTGTATATGTCACTTTGGATCATTTGATAATCCTCAGCAGCTGTGTTTCCTCCACAGAAACTCAGATAATAATTCAGCGGAGTGAATCCTCTTCAGGAAGTCTCCTGACTTGCAGCTCTGCAGACGGTCTCCACTCAGACAAAGCCTTGATTTGTTTCTGCGTCTCCGGAGAGTTCCTCTGGGACCGGAGGCAGAACGCTTCCCGGTGAGAAAGTCCAGAGTGAGGTCTGCTTTACAAACTATGCAATACTGTGTCATGGATCCCAAACCTTAGACACTCAAGACATAACCAAATATATAACAACATAGAAACACAGACACAGAACTACTTTGAAAAGTCTTCTTCCTCTGGGGGAATATTTACTGGAAAAATGCCGCTCCAAAAACAAGTTAAACAATAATGAAATCAAGCTGTTTTCTCTTGAAATAAGTACAAAATCTGCCAATAGATCAAGTGAACCTTAGCTTGATAAGAGAACTTGAAATAAGAAGGGATATTTAGATAAATTACATCTTGTAATTATCTGGAGAACTCATTTTAAACTATATTTGACCAGAATCAGGAAATGCTGTGTTACAAAATAATCCGCAAATGCTCAAAGTGTTCTGTGTTCTGATGTTAGTTAGTAATAAATATGTAAACAAATATGTGTTTCATCTGAGATACAACTCAAATAAGATGTTTTGACTGAACAAGATGATGCATCATCTAAAAACAAGACCCGATATCTCACTGCAGTGTCACTTCTGAGGTTATTACGTTTTATATCAGGAGTAGAGACACATTCTGACTAGATGTTAGACACATATACTGGGCAAGATTTAGAGTTTTTGTCGTGTGATTGAAGGAACTATTATATTGTTGTACAACAGTATAAGAGACAGAATACTTGCGTCAAGCCCGCCAAGAGTACATGTGTCTGTCTAACAGAATCTCACAGGTTTTATACACTTCTTTTTGGTTAGGGTTAGGGTTAACCCTAACCCTAACCCTAACCCATTTTACAATTTAGCCAGGAGGTTTTTTGGGCTATAGATGTCGCTTTCAAGCAAACTCCCTTGTTTTATCTGCTTGAATTGCTAAATTTCATCCCAAATGGCATCCCAAAATATTCATGCAGAAGGCGTCATGGATGAGGCGGCGTTTTACAGAGTTTGTGGCGTGATGGATATCCAGATATATTTAAAAACCGCGAAAGAAATGTAGCTGAGAAAGGTTGAGAAGCTCAGGCGCAATGCATCCTGGTACATGTAGTCACTGTTTGGATTCTTGCACCATTTAATGGACAACATGACCTGTTAGCCAGCCAGAAATCAACTTTTAAAGTGAATACTCAACTCCTTTATTAACGCTTCCTGTTTATTTCACATTAAGACGTCCTAATTCCTTCCACAATGGACACTTTTTTCCAGTCTTTTATATGTATTTAATTAAACATAATGCACACAGTATGTTGCATGTAAACATCCACACTGATTGGACACATTAAAGGGTGGCACATATTCCCTTTTAAGTATTTATCTGATTATTATGCACTTGCAGATCTTAGCGTTGATGAATGATGAAGGAATGATGGCCAAAAGCAGGAATACAACGTGGTAAAAATCACGCTGTGTTTCGCATTATATCTCACGGCCTCTCGTGCTTTCATGTATCAGCTGGCACACGCTGTTTATTTCCCTCTTTGATTCTCCTTTCTTCTGATTCTGATTACGCTGCTCGGAGCTTTTGATCTGAGACACGACTGTGAGAAAAATGAAGGACACGCTTTGGACCTGCAGCTGGCTCATCTGCTTTTTAACTGTCAGGAGGCTGTAATTATATCTTAATGCATCTAAAAAAAACTGTCATTAAAATGTTTTTGCATTGTCTCGAAGACTGCATGCCTTCTTTCCCCAAAAAGATGTTTTGAGGAAAGCCAGGTGTCCTGATAAGCTCTCTGAGAGATGATCAGCTCACACACCCAACATGCCCCGCAGATGTAGAAACAAACAGAAGAAATGTGCTTACACAACAAGCAGATGTGAGTTTTTCGGGGGGATTTAGAGCTGCTCTGACCATAGAAATAAAACCAAATCTGCCTCGTTATGTGAAAATGATCTAACGACGGACGCAGACGGGCATTTACTTTACTTTCAGGTTAGAAACCAACATGTGCATTGAAAGCATGTGTGTAATCAGGTCTTGAAAACCTGAAACTCTTTTATTATTTTGCCAGGAATTTAGGTTTTTGTTATAAGGGCTGGATTCCAAGTGATATCAGGGAAGAAAATATTTAGTTTAGAGGCCAAACACTCAGAAGGAAGTCTGACTAAGTCCAGACGACTTGGACTTTAACACAAATGACTCGTGACTTCACTTGGAGACTTTCTCCAAGCAAGAAGAGTTATTTGATGTGTGCCACAAATCAATTGGACACTAAATGTCCAAGAAAAACGTAGTCTTTATATTGGAGAGGACTCTCTACTTTAAAGAGTCCTCTCCTGCTGATGTTCAGGTGTATATCAGTATGTAGTATCTCTACTTTAAAGAGTCCTCTCCTGCTGATGTTCAGGTGTATATCAGTATGTAGTATCTCTACTTTAAAGAGTCCTCTCCTGCTGATGTTCAGGTGTATATCAGTATGTAGTGTCTCTACTTTAAAGAGTCCTCTCCTGCTGATGTTCAGGTGTATATCAGTATGTAGTGTCTCTACTTTAAAGAGTCCTCTCCTGCTGATGTTCAGGTGTATATCAGTATGTAGTGTCTCTACTTTAAAGAGTCCTCTCCTGCTGATGTTCAGGTGTATATCAGTATGTAGTGTCTCTACTTTAAAGAGTCCTCTCCTGCTGATGTTCAGGTGTATATCAGTATTTAGTGTCTCTACTTTAAAGAGTCCTCTCCTGATGATGTTCAGGTGTATATCAGTATGTAGTGTCTCTACTTTAAAGAGTCCTCTCCTGATGATGTTCAGGTGTATATCAGTATGTAGTGTCTCTACTTTAAAGAGTCCTCTCCTGATGATGTTCAGGTGTATATCAGTATGTAGTGTCTCTACTTTAAAGAGTCCTCTCCTGCTGATGTTCAGGTGTATATCAGTATGTAGTGTCTCTACTTTAAAGAGTCCTCTCCTGCTGATGTTCAGGTGTATATCAGTATGTAGTGTCTCTACTTTAAAGAGTCCTCTCCTGCTGATGTTCAGGTGTATATCAGTATGTAGTGTCTCTACTTTAAAGAGTCCTCTCCTGCTGATGTTCAGGTGTATATCAGTATGTAGTGTCTCTTCATGTCTCCATGCTTTAATGTTCAAAAAGCTCTTTATTTTTCTCATACTGTCTGTGCTGCAGCACCTCTTTTCACCCTCTGTCTGAAACCAGAGCCCAGTCTGCTCTGATTGGTCAGCTGGCCGGCTCTATGATGATTGGTCAACCGCTTAGAGATGTCCCGCCCCTTAGCCTATCACGTACAATGTGTTGGAGCGCTAGCCAATAGGAGCACGAGTAATCCACAGTGATATCAGTGATGTTTGCCTCTGCAGACCATTTACATGCACACAAAGCTATAGAGCTCACTACAGGAGAGGGAACAGCTTGAAATGCATGACAGGGCCTCTTTAACTGTGTGTTCATGTTGAGCATGGAAGAGTTTAGAGGTCACATGTCCGTGTTTTCTCACCATAGACGGCAGGTCACAACATCTGTCCCTGCTGGTCCAGCCCAGGCTGCAGACGATGTCGAACATCTGGAGCTGGAACTGTGCAGAAAGAGGAACAAAGAGAACATGTAGCTGCTGTTGTTGTACTGTACATGTGTGTGTGATCCACCCTCCACTGTACATGTGTGTGTGATCCACCCTCCACTGTACATGTGTGTGTGATCCACCCTCCACTGTACATGTGTGTGTGATCCACCCTCCACTGTACATGTGTGTGTGATCCACCCTCCACTGTACATGTGTGTGTGATCCACCCTCCACTGTACATGTGTGTGTGATCCACCCTCCACTGTACATGTGTGTGTGATCCACCCTCCACTGTACATGTGTGTGTGATCCACCCTCCACTGTACATGTGTGTGTGATCCACCCTCCACTGTACATGTGTGTGTGATCCACCCTCCACTGTACATGTGTGTGATCCACCCTCCTCTGAACATGTGTGTGTGATCCACCCTCCTCTGTACATGTGTGTGTGATCCACCCTCCTCTGTACATGTGTGTGTGATCCACCCTCCACTGTACATGTGTGTGAGATCCACCCTCCTCTGAACATGTGTGTGTGATCCACCCTCCACTGTACATGTGTGTGTGATCCACCCTCCTCTGTACATGTGTGTGTTCCACCCTCCTCTGAACATGCGTGTGTGTGTGTGTGTGATCCACCCTGCACTGATCCCAGAAGACAGATAGAAATAACCCTCAGAATAACGTCTCATGTTGCAGCTTCACTGTACAGTACATGTTCCCTCTGAACGTCCATTTACAATCAGTTCAACCCATGCTTAGGTTAGATATCCCTCCTAGCTTTTTGCTGATGTTATGAAACTGTGATATGTGTTTATCATGTAACACTATATGCATAAAAGCTGTGTTTTGCCAACATCTGTATTATCTTTCTTTCTTTCTTTTTCCTGCAACTTACTTGCACCATTATGTCTATTGCACATTTTTATATATTTGTAGGATCATGCATTGTTTTTAGGAGCCTGAGACTTCATATTTCCATTGCCACAACTGTGCTTTGTGCATGGGACAATAAAGCCTTCGAATCTTGAATCATACATTTCATAAAAGACAATGTTATACTGTTTATGTGGCTAACGAGAATGAATACGTCGAGTGTAAAAGACACTTTTTCTCGTACAAATATAAGGTTGAAATCGGGCACATGTGGCTTAAATACTAAAAACGTAAAGGCACAGCTGTGGATGGAAATGAATCTGACTTTAGAGAATCATGAGAGACTAATAATGTACATTTCTATGAAACAATTGTATTTATTTGTTTGTTTTTCCTGATATGTCTGTGTTTTTATTCTGAGATAAACGAGCCTCGTCTGTAACAATGAAACAACTAAACAAATAGTTCTGAAGCATTTTCAACATTTGATTAAAACGTGCGTAAAACGTTGCTTTATATAATTCAGTTTTTTTGTGTGTTCATTGAGCCACATGTATATAAAGTAATACGATAGTTCAGCTCATTTTTAGCTTGGTTAAAATCTGATCTTCCTCTTGTTGTTTTGGGGGTTTTTTGAAGTATTTGCAGACTTAAATACATAATCGTCCTCGGGGCATTAACACATCATTCAAAGATTAAAATAACCATTATATAAATGCAAGGATCATTTGATAAAAATGAGTTTTTTCAGCTTTAATGAATTATTTTCCCTGAGCCACATGCATTTGTTTCTCGTGTTTTTCGACTTGGGTTTTGAAGTATTTGCAGAGTGTAAAACATAATCCTCCTCGGGGTATTAACACATCGTTCAGAAACCAAAACAACAAATGCATAAAACTCAGAAAATCGTCTTTAAAAACTCTCTTAAATTCCCAGTTGATAGGAGTCCACTTACAGTTGCTGACTCTCCCTTGGAGCCGATGGATTTGGACATTTTCCCCAGAACCTGGTATCCATCGCTGGAAGTGTTTCCTGCCTCCTTGATTTCCTTCTCCGCCACTTCTTGGCAGTCGATGTTGAGTTTGACGCCGGTGGATGACACCAGGATATGGAGCTTCGGAGAAAAACGAGAAAAGGAAGAGACATGTAAAAAAATGGGAGAGTAAATTGTATTGGCACGTCCTTTGTTCTCTGGCCAAGTCCTGGGTCTGGTTCTTATCCTGCTGGCCTGTGAATTATTAGGTTTTACTGAAGCTCAGAGAGGACTTCTCCATCATCTCCTCTGCAGATCTGTTTTTAAACACTGCTGGAATGTAAGAGAGGAAAACCAGCTCCTTTCATTCAGAATAAAACATGATCTGTGTTTCATTAAACATACTTCTGCACTTACATGTGCTTTAGTGAATGCATAAGAAGCGTCCTATAGCGAGTTAGGGCGAAATGCACTTTGAGTACTTGGTTGTTAACTCAAAACGTTCAGAGTTTCAGAGTATCGACCACCATCTATGCTACGTAACAGAGGCTACCCGACTAGCAGCTGTAACTCCGGTGCAAATAACACATATATATATAAAAGTTATCCATGTGTTTTATTCCCATATTTAATACACATACCACTGTACTAGTTTCCAAAAGAAGCCCCAGTTTGGTTTATTGGGTTACTAGTGCATTCTTTAGGGATTTTGTACCACAAACAATAACATTGCGAGCTAGTTAGCTAACAGCGGCGAGTGCTCTGTGAAAAAAAAGATATACTAATAAACGTTAAACATATGTTTGATTTACATATTTAATACGCATACCACTGTACTAGTGTCATAAAGGAGCCCCAGTTGAACTTATTAGGTTACTAGAGCCATCTTTAGGGATTTTGTAGCACAAGCGATAACATTGCGAGCTAGCTAGTTAGCTAAAAGAGGCGATTGTGGTTGCTCTGTTGAACGAAACACTATACAAATAAAAGTTATCCATGTATTTTATTTCCATATTTAATACACCACTCTACTAGTGTCGAGAAAAAGCCCCTGTTTAATTTATTGGGTTACTAGAGCAGTCTTTATTGATTTTCTCCCACAAACGATAACGTTGCTAGCTAGTTAGCTAACAGTGACAATTGCAGTTGCTCCGGTTAACAAAGTGCTATACAAATAGAAGTTAGAAATGTTCCATATTTTATATTATTACATATTTTATATTATTATTCCATATACACGTACCATAGTTCAAGTGTCATAAAGAAGCCCTAGTTAATTTGATTGGGCTAATAGAGCAGTCTGTAGTGATTTGGTACCAAAATCGATAGCGTTGCTAGCTACCTAGCTCACAGCAGCCATTGTGTGATTAGAAATGACGCTTCACTGTCTTAAATAACCCACTGCACAAGTGTTAACAGTGTATGGAATTGCAGTGATCTAAGGATAACATCTGAATTAAAACACAGCCATTTCTGCTGCCAAAAGAAGGAAATGAAATCCTCAAATGCTGGATAGTGCAGACATTCAGTCCAACAAACTCCTACTTGTTGCTATGAGCTATCTGGGAAATACAATACAATTTCAAATAAACTTCTTGATCTTTTCGTTGTTGTATGCTCTTATTTAATGATGCCAATTGCCCTAAAAAATTGCTTCTAACATTGCTTTTATTTTCAGGAAAGCAGCATTTTAAAGAGGTGACTTCACAGCATACCAGGCAGGGATGACCGCACCTACTCTTTTAAAAGGTCAGCTTCTCTGCGGGATTCAAGCGCCCCCACATACCAGCAGCCCTATGTAAACATTTCCAGCCTCTATTGAATAAACCATTGGCTCATCATTTCTGAAATCCTGCTCAGCCACATCTCAAAGACTCCCCAAGAAAATGTGGAAAAGCCCCATAAATATTTGGAGGATAACTCCCCCGCAATTCCTTCCTTTTCGTCTAATTTGAAGGCACATCTTTACAGTAAAATAACTGAGGCAGCAGTGGATTAATCTCTCTTATACACACACAATTCCACCGTTGCTCCTGTCTCAGATATCCCTCGCCACATCTCCTCATGATGTCATTTTGCGGTAACAACTTTTGCTCCAAGTCCAGCTGCAAGGAGGAAAAACGCTGATTTACAAAACCACTTCGGCCTAGTTTAATACAACACGGTATTCAGTTTGACCCAGGTTTTTTTTTCCTCTCCTGCCATTACCCAGACTTGTTTTAGCCGACCCATTATTATCTAATATGCTAGGCTTATGAACATGAAGTATATGAATAGGTTTTCTACCTCAGAGACGTGATGTTTATCTGCCACAATGCAGATTTAAGTGGACTGGAAGTTAGTTTGGCACATGTTTACTACTAAATGTATATAATGAATCCCTAATAGTAGTGTTGTAGTACTCGAGACTGGTCTTGGTCTCGAGACCACTTCTTAAAGTCTTGGTCTTGTTCTTAACTTGGTCTTGACCTCTTAAAGTCTTGGTCTTGTTCTTAACTTGGTCTCGACCTTTTAAAGTCTTGGTCTTGTTCTTAACTCGGTCTCGACCTCTTAAAGTCTTGACTTCTTAAAGTCTTGGTCTTGTTCTTCACTTGGTCTCCACCTCCTAAAGTCTTGATTTGATCTTGGTAAACTCCGGACATGGTCATGACATGGTCTTGGTTAAGGTGGTCTTGACTGTAACACTACCTAATAGGTGTGAGACTTCCTTTCTGCCATCAGGAGTTATATATGGTGGGCATTTAGGAAGAAATACCAAGCAATTATAGATCTAAACGGGTCAAAGAAAGCAGTTTATAGTGTTTTTTTGGTATCTATTAGATATTGTGACTGGGGGATGTGACATTTTTCTGCATATGAGTTTCCAATAACAACTTCATTCTGAATCTGCCAATATTAAATGTGGTTCAGTGCCACGCCAAAAGCTGTTTCACCCACATCCTTTATTTCCATCGGACTGGACAACCTAGAGATTTAGAAGAAACTTTGATACACTTTTCCTGTAAAACATAAACTGACTAATTTCTCTTTCTTCTCCGTCTCTTGGGGATATTATCAGTTATTACTGGCATCCGACCGGTGCAGAAAACAGAACTTGATTAGTTTCTCCAGCTCTTTATTTGTCTTCCAACTTTTCTGGATTTTCTATTTGAGCCTGAATAAATGTGACATTACTGCACCGCCCTGCTGCCAAATATGATATGATATGATATGATGATTAATGTGCCGCTGAAAATAATCCCCATCCAATGCAATACTTCCTCCTGTTTGTTTGATAAAGACTCAGCGGACGTTTTTAGGAAATAACTGAACTTTTAGATTGGAGAAGAGGAAGACTGTTGAGTGACTGTTAAGTTTGGTCTTTTTTATGGAATTGGTCGACATATCCTTTAGAAAATGTATTTTCCAAATGCACAACCTGACAGACTTTCCCATCCTTACATTTACAAAACAATTCTTCAGACTAGTTTGATTTATTATCTCCTCAAGGTACAGAAACATCACGTGTCCTTGAGCTTGACCTCCACTACGTTTTACTGCCACCTCTGACCTCTTTGTTCAGGCAGATAAAAGAAGAATTTCACCCTCAGGGATCTGCTCCACTTTCTCTTCCTCTCCAAACATCCTTGGAGGAAGCAACAAGTCCTTTTTGAGGCGCTGACAGACGCTGCAAATCAGTTTTTAGACGAGGTCGAGCATCAATCCATCTGAGCTTTATTTACCTGTTCCAATTCTGTCTAAAAAGTGCAGATTCCTGGTGATATATAATGACATAAGTAGGTCAACGTAGCTGACGTAGCCTTTCTTTATGAACTTGATGCTCTTGTGTTAAAGACAATTCACCCAAACTCCCTCCCTACATTTCAAGGTGTCCTACACTCCAAAAAATAAGAGTTTTGATGCTGCAATCTGACTATACTATAACTATGTGCTTATATATTAAATGTGTATTTCTTGCACAAAATTATTTGTATTTTTTTGCATCTAAAATATATATATATATATTTTTTTTTACTTACTTATTGATGTATTTTTCTTAATTTGAATTACATCATTTAAAACATCAGTTTAAAATCCATAAATAAATACAAAATGAACGCATTATTATATAAATATTGCTCGATTTGTATTGCTTTAAAACTTTTTAAACGCTTTTATGCCCCGCCCACAATTCTGCAGCAAGAGCAGCCAACTCTTTATGAAAAGCTTGGAAACTCTCCTGGTTTCTTTTGCTTAGTAACATTTCCACAGTGTGTCTGAGGGAGAGACATTGCAGAAGACTTTCTGGATTCAAAAGCTTCCTGTAGCATCAGCTGCCGCCACAGAGCAGAAGGTAACATCTGAAGCTCAGCGCAAGTTCTTTCAGGAAGACTGGTATACATTCAGTCCGCAGCTGCTTATAATCAGCTCATCACGGGCGTTGTCTTTAACCTATTACATTCACCTCATTCTCCAGCAGCCAATCACTGTGCTGCAGCCAAACTTTAAAATGGTTCTCCTCTCTCCTGCATTCAGCTGTGATTTCAGGTGTTCATGCTGCCGCCCGCCTCCTCCCCATCCACCTCCTTTCATCATATCCAGAGCCAGGAGAGCTAATCCAAAGACCTCATCACACCTCCTCTTCATCCCATCTCCTCATCAAATCCAGATCTTCAGCATCATCACCAGTGTCTAGACCCCGGGGGGGTTCCCTATATGCTCACGGCTGCATCCCCCCTTTAGATATACGATTTCAGGATCGGGGTCTAATCGCCAAAGACTTAACTTTTATCATATGACATGTGTCAATAAATGTTCTTTAAACAAAATGAAGTCTCTCCTGATTGAACTGAATCATGGCCTTTTTCCTGCTGACACTCACATCTCACCCTGCAGCAGATGCATGCTGGGAAGTCAAACCACAGCAGCGTTTCCCTGGTGGTATCAGAGGAAAGACTCCCCCCTTCCTGATTTTGGGAGGTTTGTCTGACTCTCCCTCCTTCTGGCTCCTCGTCCTCTGATGTAATTGTTTAACAGCAGCAGCAGTGACACAATATTTTCCAGGCGAGCGTCCCAAAAAAGACTGCATTTTAACACCATTTAGCAACACTGTGTTGCAGACTGTCATAAAGTCATGCTGCCATTTGAAAATCGTGCAAAAAGTGACAAGACATTCCTCAAAAACCAGCACCAGACTGCAGAGAAATAGTTTGTCTTTACGCCTAGAATATAGCGGCTCTTTTGCCTTAATGTGCTCCATATATCTGGAACAATCTCCCAGAAAACTGCACCATGTCTTAATGCTTTCGCTATCTCCGTCTTGTAAATGTCTCTGCATATCGCCCAGAAAGTGGCAAGACATTCCTCAAAAACCAGCACCATACTGCAGGAAAAAGGTCTGTCTTTACGCCTTCAAACCTTTACAAATATAGTGGCTGTGCTGCATTCATGTGCAAACGTATAACTAGTGTTTGTTGTATTTTATTTAGTTATGATGCTCCATATATCTGGCACAAACTCCAAGAAAACTGCAGCATTTCTTAATGCTTATGCTATTTTTGAAAAGCACTTTGCAGCACAAGACAGCATTAAAAAGGTCTGTCTTTACGCCTTCAAACCTTTAAAAATATTGTGGCTCTTTTGAATGAATGTGCAAATGTAATACTAGTTGTTGTTGTATTTTATTTGGTTAGTATGCTCCATACATCTAGAACAAACTCCCAGAAAACGGCACCATGTCTTGATGCTTTTGCTATCTTTGAAAAGCACAAGTCGCCAAAACAAGTGGCAAGACATCCTCAACAAGCACCAACAGACTGCGGTGAAATAGTCTGTCTTTACGCCTTTCAACCTTTAAAAATAGTCTTATCTTAGCCATCTATGAAATGCCTTGTTTTTTACTTGCATTTGAATACAGTGACCTTCCCTTGCCTCTGTCTTGAAGCTGACTCCCTATCAGACCTCCTTTACTCTGTACAGCACATTTAACCTGATTGGCAAGTGTCCGTCTCTGCAGAATCTCAGAGCTCCTCCTCGAGCCAGAGAAACGTCCTCTTGTTTCACGGCTGCCGCCTCACAGCCTGGTGTTGCTGATGTTGGCTCTGTGTTGCATGCTGTCATAAAGTCATGCTGCCATTTTGGCTCAGTAGAAACCCCCAGGAGGCCATGTTTCTGGAGACATCCCTCAGAAGCCAGCATCACGTGGCACTCAAAGCGTCTGGATTCTCAACATAGGAATAAAACCTTCACTAATACACTGTGTCTGCTGCCTTCTAAGAAAATATTAAGTCCAATTTCAACACCAGGGTTTGTCTTAGAGCCTGTTTTCACTTCTTTCTGACCACCAGCGTCTTTTTCCACTGAATGAGGAGAAAAAGCACTCTTTTTGCAGGTCTCTCATCATAAATAAATCAAGAGACTACAGCTCACTCCGCTGCTCGGCTTTCAACAGAAACTAAATCTGTCACCCTCTCATCTCAATATCACATCTCTATGTCACCGTACTCAAAAGCAGGCTTTAGAAATATCCCAGAGTTCCTCCGAAATGTGCTCCCAAACTGTACCAAGAAAAACTAACAAGTATAACTGAAAACATATTTCTTTACTAAGCTTTAACAAACAATTTCCTCTTTGAATTAATGTTTATTTATTTGTTTATTTATTTATTTTATTTTGTATTGTTTTATTATTTTTATTTTGTATCTAATTTAATTCATTGGATTTCCTCGCCCCATTCTTTATTTTTTTCTATAATTGTATTTATTATTATTTGTTATTATTGTCTTGCTCTCTCTCTTGTTTCTGAGGGTTATCTGTTGGGTTCTTATTATTTTTGTTATATTGGCCTTCTTAGAATCAGATGCATGATGCACACCTGCTGCAATAAGACTTAAACAATGGACTTAAATATTATTTTATTTTCTGTTTGTGTTGTTATTTATTTGTTTATTTATTTATTATTTATTCCTCAATTTTATTTATTTTTATTTTCATCAAATTTAATTTTTGAATTCCCTCCCCCATTTTTTTATTCTTTGTATTATTTACTGACTTAAATATGATTTGATTTCATGTTCATGTTGTGTGCCAAACTGAGCACTCTGAGCTGCATGCAGTGCATGAAAAATGCTCTACAAAAAAAGCTTTATTATGAATATCATTATAACAACGCAGCCTCTCCCTGCCCTTCACTCCCTGCAGAGCAACATCTGTTCCTCTCTCACATTCCTCCTGACTGTAATACACATCTGGAATCTCAGGCATCTGTAATATCTGTGTGACCTCGGGACGTCCGGACAGAACAAAGCCAGCGATTCGGTTCATGTGCAGAGGTCATGCCTCAAAGTAAAAAGAAAAAGCTTCATAAGTCAACCATCAGAGACACGTTTCAGCTCAGATGTGAAACTCACAGCGACTCTGAGTGAGTGGGTTTCTGCAGCAGCTTGTCTTTCAGTCCTTCAGAGTTCATCCACCACAGATAGAAGACATGAGTGTGTTCGAACGCTAGAGAAGTGCAACGACTAATGTAGAGTCCGGTTTGCACCAGAGTAAAACATCCAGGTGATCTTTTCTGTCATTTTGTATAATTGTTTTTTCACTGAGGGTTTGAACACCCTACATTCACCATGTTACATTAAATACAATCATGATAAATTTAAAAAACAAAAAACAATCAAATTAAATTCATACATTTTTTTTTTAAATAATACATAAAATAAATAATAACAACAAAAGTAAAATATAAACAATAATTATTAAAGAAAATTAAAGAAACAGAAAAAGATAGAAACAACAAAAAGGTTGGATCTAAACTCACAGGAAGGAAGGGAGTCATTCTGCGCATCACAGGTGAACACTTGAACACTCGTGCTCTTTACCTTGTGGAAGCTTCCGTGGAAGATCCTCTTCACCGGCTCGCTGTCGAAGGTGACTCTCTGGATCTGTCCGTTCACATCCTTGTTGTAGAAGGACACCGTCTGACTGGAGGCTGCGCACACACACAGAGACACACACACACAGAGACACACACGTTAAACACTCTTTCTGTTCGTCAAAGTCAACACAAATGTTATGCACGCTCTTCCTAAACCAAGTAACCTGCCAGTTTCTGTCAGTTTCTAGACAAATGTTCTCATGAAACCTACATCCAATGATGATCCAATATCTTACTCTTGAGCAGCGTCCACACGGCAGCGTGCGTTGAAGCTTGCCGGTGAGCTTGTCTGAAACTCGACCAACAACCAATCACATGAATCTCCCGCTCCAGACACACAAGCACGCAGTTTGATTGGCTAGAGCTTGTACTGGCATATGATTTGATTGGCTTGACGCTTCCGCCGAAGCTTCAAAAGTTGAACATTGCTCAACTTTTGAGCGAAGCACCGCTCCCACAATGCAGTTCGGCAAAGCGTGACGTCACCCCATTCAAAGTGAATGGACAGAAGTGTTGAAGCTTCAACGCACGCCGCCGTGTGGACGGGCCGTTATAAAGTTAAGACACTTGATTTCTGCACACCTGAATGTGTGTGGGAAGAAAGCGCAATGCTGGAAATAGTGAGAAAAGCTCCAGCACACTGCAGAGATATTTAAAAAACACTATTAGGTTCGTCTGCCCTTCAGGTATGTACTTTGACTTTGTTTGATGTGGTTTTTAGGAGACAGTTTAAGAACAAAATCTAACTTTAAGTCCATAGTATACCGTAAATCGAATTCCGAAAAACCCTCGATCCTACACTTCCCATAATGCAACTCAAAAGTATATTTTCTCCGCGTGCGTAATGCCCAAATCTTTGAAACTCTGCATGAAAACCTTTGGGTAAAATGTAGAGGCTCCGAGCCAAAGTTGAGATATCCCTGAAGAAACTCTGTGAGATCATCAGGTGGTTTTCTGTTCAGAAGTCCACATTTTGTTAAATCGCTTCCATGTCATGTGGCCCAGTGACTCCTCATATCTGTATGTTAACCATGAAGCTAGTTAGCTTAGCACAAAGACAGGAAACAGGAGGAAGGAGTTACCTCTAACGAACTCTAACTCAGAACCCTGTGTGGTCCAGAACCAGGATCACTTCTGGAGGATTTCCACTGACACAGCTGCTGACAGACTGAAGCCCAGCTGATGACTCCAGACTCTGTGTCATCTGCAGCCAGCTCATTACCCCCCCCCCCCTTCACACACACACACACACACTCACACACACACACACACACACACACACACACACACACACACACACACACACACACACCACACACACACACACACCACACACACACACACACACACACACACACACACACACACACACACGATGAGGCCCAGCTGCCACACTTCTCTTCATGCCAGCACACACACATCGAGCACAGAGGAGGGTATTTACGGTGGATGGTGACTCCGGTCTCCGGCTTGTGGTCGCTGCTCGACACCTGCCAGACATCGAAGGCCTCGGAGGGCGAGTCTGGGAGGAGGCGGAGCATCATGATGATGGTGAAGGAGGGGGGGAGGCCGTCAGGGTGGATCTCTCTGAGAGGGGGCAAAGACAAGAGCTGTCAATTATTAAATATCTATCATCAAGAAGAGTTAGAGAGATAAGACTGGACAGGAGAGAGAGAGACAGAGTGAGAGAGAGAGAGAGAGAGAGAGAGAGAGAGAGAGAGAGAGAGAGAGAGAGAGAGGGAGAGAGTCATTTTGCATGCAAGTAATATGGAGAAAATGCAATTTGCATCTTCTCAAATCAAATATGCAGATTTAATCTTTTCTGAGAGATCAAAATACCGTTTCCCACAATCTCGAATACAAAATACAAATATATATAAAAATATGTATAAAACATGTATATACCTATATATACACAATCAACACATTTATACATATGCACACATTAAGACCTAAATCAAATGGCTGATATTGCCATTCCTGCAATACACCTATTGCTCTGTCTTATCATCTCATTGGATGTTAAGTATAGTCCATGTTGCAGTGTTGGAGGAGCCGGAAACTACACTGTAGCTGCACAGGACAAATACAACACCTTTGAATTTGAATATGCTACGATACTTTTAGTTAAGTAGACTAACACAGGCTAGTAGAAACCCAAAAATGAGCAAACGTCTTCTTTGAAAGACTACTTCAATGAAGTGTGTTTCCACCACCGGCTCGTTCTCTTTTCTATCAGAGCGGATGTTTCTCATTTGTCTGAAGTCTCAGAGTCAGACTGAACAGTCAGGACTCAAGCTGTTTCTCCACATGTGGAATCTGGCAGAGTGACTTACAGTCAGTCTGTGGGGGGGTTGCACTCAGTGGCACTGTTTAAAGAGACGCTGCAGGACTGTTTAAAGAGTCGCTGCAGCACTGTTTAAAGAGAGCTGCAGGACTGTTTACAGAGAGCTGCAGGACTGTTTAAAGAGAGCTGCAGGACTGTTTAAAGAGAGCTGCAGGACTGTTTAAAGAGAGCTGCAGGACTGTTTAAAGAGAGCTGCAGGACTGTTTAAAGACAGGCTGCAGGACTGTTTAAAGAGAGCTGCAGCACTGTTTAAAGAGAGCTGCAGGACTGTTTAAAGAGAGCTGCAGAACTGTTTACAGAGAGCTGCAGGACTGTTTAAAGAGAGCTGCAGAACTGTTTACAGAGAGCTGCAGCACTGTTTAAAGAGAGCTGCAGGACTGTTTACAGAGAGCTGCAGGACTGTTTAAAGAGAGCTGCAGGACTGTTTAAAGAGAGCTGCAGGACTGTTTAAAGAGAGCTGCAGGACTGTTTAAAGAGAGCTGCAGGACTGTTTAAAGACAGGCTGCAGGACTGTTTAAAGAGAGCTGCAGCACTGTTTAAAGAGAGCTGCAGGACTGTTTAAAGAGAGCTGCAGAACTGTTTACAGAGAGCTGCAGGACTGTTTACAGAGAGCTGCAGGACTGTTTAAAGAGAGCTGCAGGACTGTTTAAAGACAGGCTGCAGGACTGTTTAAAGAGAGCTGCAGCACTGTTTAAAGAGAGCTGCAGGACTGTTTAAAGAGAGCTGCAGGACTGTTTACAGAGAGCTGCAGGACTGTTTACAGAGAGCTGCAGGACTGTTTAAAGAGAGCTGCAGCACTGTTTAAAGAGAGCTGCAGGACTGTTTAAAGAGAGCTGCAGGACTGTTTAAAGACAGGCTGCAGGACTGTTTAAAGAGAGCTGCAGGACTGTTTAAAGAGAGCTGCAGGACTGTTTAAAGTTAAGCTGCAGCACTATTTAAAGAGTCACTGCAGCACTTTTTAAAGAGCCACATTTTCAACATTTATCCAAATAACTGCTATCAAACGTATGAATTGTATCCCGACTTTAATATATTCTTGTCACTAACTTAAAGTGATTTAAACAATGCAATTAAGAAACTACAAAGCAAGTTGCAAGCTAGCAAATATAAAGTGATGTAATGAAAGAAAGCCAGCAGCTGCCATAACATATGACGTTGATTCTGAACACATCTCTCCTCTTGGCTTTTGAGTTGGAGTCACAGGAGTTGCAAATCACTATGAGGTCATCTCAGCTTCTAAAGCCTTAGTTTCAAGACTGTGTGAATGAAACCTGGTTTGTGCAAGAAGAACATTGATCACCTAAATATCTTAGGAATTGATCTTAAGTCTCATTTAATTCACAGATTAAATGTATCAGTACGGCTGCCATTCATCACACCTTTAATACAAAAGACTGGCAACCTTCTGCTCTCTTGCTTTCCACCGGCAGGCAAATGATCACACTGGTGTTACCTGTTGTAATGAGCATGTCTTATGTCCTATGTGTTTCCTGCTCCTCTGTATACATGACATTGCTTGTTCTGTGTAACTTGGTCAGATGGTACCATCTACCTCTGGCCTTTCCATATGGAAATACATTGATGCTATAACTCTTTATTAAATAACACATCTTTGGTTTAAGCTTGTATATTTGTTCTTTTCTTAACAGAAGGTGATGAGGTGTGTAATTTCCACCATACTAAACAGCAGACAGATAGACTCACGTGGTTTGCTGGTGGAGGAAAGCGTTTTTGTGCAGCCTGTAGGCCGTGTAGCTGTTGAAGGACCCCGGCTCCATGGAAACACCGGGAACTGAACCGTACATCTTCTCCGTCAGGTTGAACGCCTCCAGCATCCTGAAGCCTGGCACACAACAACAACGCAAAAAAGTCAGAGGACATCAGGACACTTTTCAAAAAGATATCAGGGGTTTTCTGCTTTGATTAATTTCCCAGATACAGGAAATATTCCCTCACCTGTGGCTGCCAGGGAACTCACAGCTTCTGAGTTTATTTACATTTTTGTAACCAGATTTCCCTCTGTTTACTCTCCCTCATGCATGAAAATCTAATCTAATATAATCTACGTCATGTGTGCACTCACCAGGTGAAGTGAATCCATTCAGGTAAATCAGGGGACACGCTGTGGAACAACAAAAGACAGACATTTAAGACAATTTACCACAAATTTTCAGACACTTTAAAAGCATTTTCGTGGGTATTTTGCAAGAGTAAGCGTTATGCAAACTCACATGACGTTGCAGTTTCACAGATGAAGGTAATCAGGTTTTCCCTGATGGTGTCGAAGGCATCGAAGTCGTCCACAACGAACACATGTCTGTCGCTCGGTTTGCTGCCGATCTCCTGCAGCTCCACGAAGTCCACGTCCGCCACACCGATGGAGAACACACTGTAACCTGCAGAGAGGAAGAGGAGGAAGAAGAAGAATATCATGAATAACAGAGTGGTTTGTACGTTAAGAGGGTGGATGAATGTTGGATCCTCTCAGTTGTTCAGAGATGGCAAAAGTACACACATCCTTTCCTCAAGTAGAAGTACAGATACTCGTGTTTAAAAATACTCTGGTGAAAGTAGAAGTACTGACTAAATGTCTTTACTCAAGTAAAAGTAAAGAGGGCTTTGAAATGTACTTCAGTAAAAAGTACCCATAACTAGCAGCTGTTTTAAAGAGTACCTGACCTCCCTTTATATTAATAGAACAATAATGTCATTGTTAGCTAATGAATGTTTCCATGCTGAACAACGGCAACATGACAACGTTTTCATTGGTCCCTCTTCTTTAGAGAAGACCAGGAAATGATGGATACACGGATCCTGTTCAAATCAATAGGCACGCAATGACTCTAAATAATAATGACCACGCCACCAAACTTAAGTACATTAATGAAGTATTTGTACTCCACTACTTCCCACCTCTGAATACTAAATACATGTTGGATCTCTCAGCTGTTTACCTGCGTGCTGCAGCTTGGCGGCGCTCTTCTTCACTTCGTCCTGAGAGCGTCCGTCAGTGATGGCCACCACCACTTTCGGGACGTTCCTCCTCATCCCGTTCTCCATGGAGAAGGCTTTCTCATAGGTGTGTTTCAGAGCCATGCCTGTTTGAAGAAACAGAGGAAAACTGAGTCAGAAAAACATCTAATATACAAGTGTTTGTCTCTGATCTCAGGTGTGTGAGCGCACTATTTCTATTTTATTTCTATTAACTTGCACATCTCCAAACATTGTCTTGCACTATTTCATCAGTTTTATTTGTTGTATGTCCTGTATATATGTTGCGCTGTTGGAGGAGCCTGTGACTTCAGTTTGTCATTGATATGTCTACACTGTAGCTGCTGTACACGTGATGAGAAAGCCTTGAATCTTGAAACCTGTCTTGGTGTTTCCTCCTTGGTAGTGGATCTGATTAATAGCCGACATGGCGATGCCTTTGTCTCTGTAAGCGTTCAGCCTGAACTCCGTCTTCGCCTCGTCGCTGTACTGCACAAAGGACACCTGAGTGGAGGAGTCACAGGAAGTCAGGACACATACAGTCAGATATACACAAGTGGAGTTATTAAGAACTACAAGTCCCACGTTAATACAGGACAGTGGAAGTAGACATCCAAAAGAAAGAACTACAAGTCCCACGTTAGGAAAGGACAGTTGTTCTCCCTGAAGTTTACAGCTTCTTTCCCCGTTAATTGTGTGGTTTCTTTGGGATTTCTTGTGATATTGGGCTGTATAAATACAATTTGATTTGATCTGTCTTGCTATTAGCTGAAAACACAGACCTGCATCCCTGAGGGTCCGACCATATCGAAGGCAGAGACCATGCCGGAGACAAAGTGCACGACTTTCCGGAAGCTCTCTTCTCCGATGCTCCACGATCCGTCGATGAGGAACACCACATCTGCTTTGGCCCCTTTGCAAACTGAGGCGAGAACAACACAAGTCGATAAGGATCTTCAAACACACACACACACTCACACACACACACACACACACACACACACACACACACACACACACTGGCAGAGAGAATGGCATCCTCACACGGCATCATTATTGTTTGCGAGCTGCAGAGCATTAAAAAGAATCCGCTGAAAGCATGCAACGCAACATAGTGATAGAGGAAGATGATGAGGATGGGCTCCATGTTTAGTAATCAGGGGCTTCTCTGATCAAAAATATGAAAACACTGGGGATCAAAACAAGCCACATTTGGTCACCAGGAGGTAAAGTGGTTAATGGATTCCTCTCAGACGAATTGGGCAACAGGCTGAGATGAATCTGTGCCTCATGTGGCGCTGCGCTCTCAGTCGGACATTTGTCAACAAGTTTTACACAAAAGCAAGACTCCAACGGGTTCTCTGGACAGGTCTATCCTCCGTTTAGCAGTGTGTGTTCTCCCTGAAAGCATGGGGCAGGGATTCATTCACCGCTGGCATGAATCTGGTCCAGAACGAGACAGCGTTCAGACCGTCGACTCGGACAAAACGCTGCAACGAGGAGTTTCTAATCGGAGAGGAAATCGAATGAAGAGATCTGTCCAGTTCTGAAGAGGATTCAGAGTTTCCTCAAAGACTCGTTGGCATTTTACTCAAGTATTGGACTTAGTTGCACTCCCCTAGTTCTACTTAACTACCTTTCAGAGGCAAATCATGCTTTTAACTCCACTATTTAACACTAGGTACTGTGTGCATATACAAACACATGCTATTCTGATATGGTATATTGCAGTACTACTTATCTACACAGTATTTCAAGTATCTACATTTGCTCCACATCGACAAACGACCGTACTAAAATGCCCTTACATGTATACAAACAGGCTCATGAACGTTGTTTATTATTCAAAGAAAGTGTAAGTATATCTGATAAAAGGAGCATTACTAAGACCCTTACTTTACCTTGCTAGTGGGAAGGGGTTGGGGAAGTATTTCATCTCCTAAGTATTTAAGTCTGATGACAAAAATTGTTGTTTTTTTAACTTAAACTTTACCTAAGAAGTAAGGGTTTCCTTCGATTAAATCAGGACTAAATGCACAGACTTCTAGTCAACTTCGACAAAGGAATTAGACCAGATGAAATGATATTTCTCACCTGCCCATGCGGGGGGGATGGTGGGAGGAGGGGAAGGTGTTGGTGGGAGCGTTGGAGCTGGAGTGGGCTTCACCACTGCAGGGAAAGAATAACATTTACACCAACATACGTGAGATAAATAAATACAGAACAACAGTAAACAGTGTGTGGGGGTGAAGTCATTGCTTGGATGTGAGGGGGGGGGGGGTAACTTCTTATCACGCACACATTATACACACAAATACACACATACACACACATCAAATGTCATGTCCATGACGTAGCTATTACTGTAACTGCGATCAGGTTTGTCTTTTAAAAATTTAGCGTGGTTTTAGAGTCTGTTTTTCTATCAGAGATGTAGAGGCTGCAGGTTCATGTTCAATTAAGCCTCTTATTGCAGAAATATATCATATCATATTTTATATAATTAGAAAGAATAACAGCAAAAGTAATAAGTAGTAAGTATAATCTGCAATATGTGTTTGCATTTTATATTAAAACATATCAATCTTACCCATTTCTGATTGTTAAAATGCATTGAAACACGTCTTGTTGGTGTCAATACGTTTGATTTAAGAAGTATAACGTAGTGGAAAATAGAAATACTCAAGTACAAGTACCTCAACATTGTACTTAAAGTAACTAGAGTACCTTAGTTACTTTCCACCACTGCTTATCCTACAATTTGTATTTTTGTATTTTATTATATATACTGTTGGAGGAGCTCAGGTCAGAAGAGTTTCATTGCCATTTCTACCCTGTAGCTGCTGAGCATCTGATGACACAACCTTTGAATCTTTGAATCTTGAATCTTTAGCAGACTGATGGTTAGCTAAAGCATTCCTTTGAAGGTTCTTTGAGAAATGTCTGTAGATTAGATTAAAAACAAAACCTGAATCTTAGCAGTAATACTTCAGTTTCACACTCACATGTCCTCTCCTTGGCGCTGACTCCAGGACCCTCCAGATTTGGGGTCTGCACGAAGACGGTGGCGGTGTAAAGAGCGTCGGGAGAGAGACCGTCGAAACAGTGCTGAGGCAGACCGGCTGGGATGGTGATCTCATGCTGACCCTTACTGGAGGCTGGAGCAGGAAGGAGGAGACATATTTATTATCAGAGAAATCAGAATTAAAACACATTAAACTGGATCGTTCTGAAAGAAAATACACATTTAATCAACGCTTCAGCTGCTCGAAGCGATTCCAATACCGCTTTGTTGTGTTGGTACTACTGGTTGCTTTTACTTTGCACTGCTTTATCAACCTTTACTTACCAAAGAAACCGTTTTTAAACGTTATAGTTACACTTTTTCAGTAGAGAAACTTACCATTTAGAATAGTAATATAAGTGTATCTAAATAACACTTATTTAGGAATTTAACGGTGATGTTTGGAGCTAGGAGAAGCTACTGGCTAAAAGAAAAGCACTTATCCGCACTACATCTTTTGCGTTGGAATCCGATTTTTTAAAAGTGATTTTACTATTAGGGGATCCACAGATGGTTCGCCTCCTACTAAATGACTGCAGTTTACTCTGGTAAATTTGAAGACAAATGTGTTTTAAGACCCAAAAAAGATACATTGGATCATGTAATATATTGCTCATCAAGTCATTTGAATGGGACGTATTCATCAGATTGATTAAACTCAAAGGGAAAATATACTCAGGGGGGAAAGAGAAAAGGACATTTTGAGGCAGACAAGAAGCAGACTTCTCTTAGATTGCTGAAAAGTCTCAGCTCCAGACTTGTAAACCGCACCCAGCAGGTTTTAAACTGTTTTTCAGCTCTGAATCACCATTAAAGATGAATATAGGTGGTGAAAATTAAGATATTTATCCATGATATGTGTCTCCAGGGGTGTCATTAATGATAATTACCAATGACTCAAGGATTACTTCCCCAGGTGCTAACATTTCAGCCTCTTAAAGCCTCTTAAAGCCAACATCTGGATCTAAATGTTGGCAGCTTCAGGCTGTTTTTCAGCTTTTCTTTATTTCAGCAGAGCTTTTCGGCTGAGTCCGATTCATGTAGTGATGATTCATTCTTAGTTTGTTTCAGCAATTTGGCATCTTTGGAGCTACCTATAAGAGCCCAGACAACTTTCTATATTATAAGTTAGATTTGAGTTTCACTTTCACTCAAAATGATCCTTCTCTACTGTTTACTCTTTGTTGTGTATCATTTATTTATGATTGTTGTGAAAACTTTTGGTATCCACTGTGATAAATGACATCTAATTATATATCATTTATTTTAATTCTGATTATAAAATAGGTTTTCACTGCCTTTGAATTCATGACTTCATCTTTCATTGCTTTTATTTTTTATTCGTCTTATTTGATTTAATGTGAAACACTTTTCCAATTCTTATTTTGAAAAATGCTCCAGAATAGAATTAAAGTTACATAAAAAGTGATGTCAGTCGTGTCTTTATCTCATTTGTTTGCCTAATGATTAGTTGCTTATCAGAGTTGCTGTGTCTTCTGTTTGGTTGCTAACGGAGGTAAATAAAAGATTAGATAATGCTGCTCAAATTCTACTCAGTGATGAAGAAACACAACAAATGGCCTTTTCTGTGAACTGTTTACATCTCTGCAGGGCGGGGAGTGATATATTGATAATTAGGTTTCCTATTTACACAGTAAGCACAAACAAACAAAGTGTGTTTACGTGATGATCGCTGCTTGTTCAGTGTTGTTCAACCTTAAATGTCCTCACTCTGTGTTAAATGACAGCGGCTCATGGTGATGCAGCTCTTGGAGAATGAGCTCTGTAATATCAACAAGTTATGACGGAGGACACCTAGTATAAATTGTTCTGAGAAAAACATTCCTCCCGCTCAGATCGACTCCAAAACAGTGGCCCTCGTTTATCAAGATAGACAAAATATAATCCGGAGATATTTCAGCTGGGTATTAGATCATGCTTAAAGAACTGGCAGCCACATGCTCTCCTTCTAACCGCTGTTTCCATGGCTTTAAATACGCAGGAAATATCTGCTTTTTCCACGTCTCACCGCCGTCTCTGTTTGCATTTCCACTTGAGGACAAACACTGTGTGATTTGTTGACGTGAGGGAGGATTTCTGATCTTCTGCTAGCGGTTATCGTCTGTCTCACGCTATAGCAGACACTTATTTGCTCTGGCAGCCCGTCACAGAGGCCCTAACGTCTAATAACTACCATAAAGATGTTTAAATACAGATGCTGCCCTCGCTGGTTTTTCCTACCACCAACCGGTGTCCATGTGAGAATATGAAGCAGATGGGATCGCCGTAATTTAAAAGGATGTAATCTTTAGAAAGAGACACAATTAAAGCTCTTCAAAGCGTCCGATCATCGCCAAAAACCTGCATCCTGCTTTGAGTAATAATCACAATGAGGCTGAAGATAAACAGGACAACACAACGTCTAGAAATCTGCATCCTCGGCACAGAGGTGATCTCATCTGGAGATTTGACTCTAAACATCTGCTGGGACTCGTAATGCAAACTTTAAAGCATGCATTGAGTCAAACAAGTCACCTCGGATCAGGATCTGAGAGGAAACCTACACACATGAGTCTGATGTGTCTGCAGCAGGTAGAGGTAAAAGCAATCACAGCTATGTTGTTTTATTGTTAAAGGCGGTTGGTAATCACCCTAAAATGCTAAAAACCATTTGCTGCTTCCAGTGTCTTAAAATAGAAGGTCTGCAAATGTACTATCTGGAAAAGCAGCAATGTCACATTTGAGCCTTTGATTAGTAAACTGATGAATAGCTGGACGTTGTAGTAGTTCACTTTCCTAAAGGCAATGCTCTGTATTGTAAAATAATAATATATAGTATATGAAATGTGTGTGTGTGAAGGGTGAGATTAGGGACGACAGATGGAAATGAGCCAATAGCTAAATCCAGAATAAATCATGTTGTCTCTTTTTGAGATGAATATATGGTCGTGTTTTAGGAAAGACAGAATAATATGACAGTCACAAGATTGGTGTAAGATCCAGGAGGAGCTGTAGTGTCAAAGATAGCAAAAATGATAAATATATGTGACATCAATGGGGGCTACACTTCTCTACTATAAGACATGAACACTGACCGGCTGTTTGTCGTTATCTCGTGGGCTTATGCTCTTTTTCCAATTATCTTTTGAATCTGTGAGACTCTGCTTAAAAGATGGAGCATTGGTGAACAGATCCAGAGCTATAACCTGGACTTTTGTGAGAATAAAACAATCAAAACATCCTAAAACTTCAGAAAAGGAAACTCCAAATGGGGCTTATGGTCTGCAGGGTGGAGTTTGATGCGGTACGAAGTTAATGAGCACATGTGTTCATTAACACATCACACACATCTCAAGTAGAAACAAAAGCCAATGTAAAAAGATGGGTCTTCAGTTGTTTTCTAAAAGCTTCAACAGGCCCTGGTCTACATGTTAGTGATATTGGAGGGACTTACGGTCTGAAGGGTGCAGTTTGATGCGGTACGAAGTGGCCGCTCTGTGAGGAGCCCACTTGATGCAGAACTGGTCGTGGTCCACGTCGAACGTCTCAATGTTCGTCACGTTCAGGTACACTGCAGAGGACAGGAAGTCACATTTAATATATCAGAGTATCTTAATAAGCCACTATTGAGCAGCATATCTGTACGGTCCTGGGCATCAATTCTGTGCGATTTGACCTTTAACACCACACACACACTCACACACTCACACACTCAAGCACCAGACACTTTTTACGCTGCTATGGACAGTCTTGCACTAATGTACATTTTTCAAAGATATTCAAGTGACTGTTATTTTGTATATATTGATTGTTGTGCTTTTGTGTGCATATGTATAAATGTGTCTGTTGACGGTATTCCTCCATCTTGTGACTGTGTAACTCCCTCTCTTGGATATCAGCATGTGAAGGACACTGTTCAGGAACTAGTTGATGCTCTGTATGTGATGACTACTTCCATTCTGGAGAGGATCAGAAATACATGGATCCTGAGATTGAAGCTCAAGCCGGTGACGAGTGATATTTTTCTAACAATAACGGTCTATTTTGTTGACTTGTTCTTGACAGTAGGACTTGTTATTGAACGTACGTGTTGTTCCCTGTCCGGGCAGAGGGTCGCTCCTGCCTCCGAAGTACTGAGCAACCACCTTCAGGTCGTAGGGGGTGCCGGGCAGCAGGTTGTGCAGAGTGTACGACGTCACGTCACCCACGAAGAAATCCATGGGCGTCGATGTGCCTGGAAAACAGACAAAAAGAGATTAAAACATGCAGGATTTATTCATGAAGAATTACCAAACCAAACTCTTCTCATAGTCAGAACAACTACACCGTTAGCTTAGCGGTGGTGACGTGAAGTCATGTGACCATGCTGTAGTTCCTTTATAGCCCAACATTAGCCACCTTTAGCTTAGCGGTGGTGAAGTGAAGTCATGTGACCGTGCTGTAGTTCCTTCATAGCCCAACATTAGCCGCCTTTAGCTTAGCGGTGGTGACGTGAAGTCATGTGACCGGGCTGTAGTTCCTTCATAGCCCAACATTAGCCACCTTTAGCTTAGCGGTGTAGTTCCTTTATACCAGATGATCCATCTTTTACAAATACCACAGCAGCTTGAAAACCTTCTTTAATCTGAGATCCAACTAAAAATAAGATGCTTTTAGTCTTAAACAGATACTTAAGATGCATTGTCTAAAAACAAGACCCTATATCTCCCTGCGTTGTTACTTCTTAAGTTATAATGTCTTATATCAAGTGTTAAGACATATTCTGACTAGATATTAGGCAAATATACTTGGCTAGATTTCGAGTTCTTACGGTGTGGATGTGTTGTTTGTGATTTATTTCCTCACCTGCAGGATTGTAGGTGATTCTGTATCCCTGAACTGGAGCTTGAACTGGGTCCCAGGCCACTCTGAACCTGGTGTACCACTCATCAGAGACTCTGAGGTTCCTCGGGCTCAACATCCCCACTGAGAGAGAGAAAAGTAAACATGTAAACAACAGAATATGTCATTTGTCACCTTTTCTTATCTCATAATTTTCCTCTTCTGTGTTTACGTGTGAAAAACAAGTTAAAACATTAGGTTTGTTGCTAGGATATTAAAAAAATAAGGAATTTCTAGAACAGGCAGAATGACGAAACTCCTGTGTTTGTTTTAGTTGAGGCTGGGGAACCCTAATATTTTTTTAACATATTTATGAGCAGAATAGCTATTTTCTTTACTTTATAATAATATGAAAAAAGAAAAGAAAAAAAGTAATCAAAACACATTTTAGGCAACTTAAAATGATTAGTATATGCCACCTCGCATTTGTAGGTTTAAACTTCATGCATTACGTTTCTGTGCATTAAAAGATAACCTCACAGCCTAATGCAGTGTTTCTCTGTGTACCTGCATACACAGAAAGTAACGATTCATTTGAAATGGCTGAAAAAATAAAATCTGCAACGACTAAAAACAGGTTAAAAAAATGTAAGGTTTGTCAGCAGAATTGTCATAAAAAAGAGGATTCTGTGTAATAAATGTGCAGCATTTTTCCTCACATGTTCGTCCGTTTCCATTCAGATGCCCCCCAGGACCCTCTCCATAAATGGCCTGAACCGTGATGTTGTACGGGGTGTCAGCGAGGAGGTTCTGCAGCTGGGCGTTGTTTCTGTTTCCAGGGACTGTCGTCTATGAGAAAAAAACAGAACATTTAAGCAATAAATCCTTCAAAGAAGACTAATTAGCAGGGAGGATGTTTCAGGAAAGACTGATCATGTCTGCCTTTATTTCTCTTCTTCGCAGACAATAGAGAGCTGCAGGAATGAGTCCTAAAACCCAGAAAAACTAGTCAGCATTTCAGCACTTCCTGTCCTGTGTGCTTTTGGTTAGATGCCTGAAATAAGGTATTTAAAAACAATGGTTGCTAAAAAGTGTTTAAATGAGGCCAACATTAGCCGCCTTTAGCTTAACGGTGGTGACGTGAAGTCATGTGACCGTTCTGTAGTTCCTTTATAGCCCAACATTAGCCTCCTTTAGCTTAGCGGTGGTGACGTGAAGTCATGTGACCGTGCTGTAGTTCCTTTATAGCCCAACATTAGCCACCTTTAGCTTAGCGGTGGTAACGTGAAGTCATGTGACCGTGCTGTAGTTCCTTTATAGCCCAACATTAGCCACCTTTAGCTTAGCGGTGGTGACGTGAAGTCATGTGACCGTGCTGTAGTTCCTTTATAGCCCAACATTAGCCACCTTTAGCTTAGCAGTGGTGACGTGAAGTCATGTGACCGTGCTGTAGTTCCTTTATAGCCCAACATTAGCCACCTTTAGCTTAGCGGTGGAGACGTGAAGTCATGTGACCGTGCTGCAGTTCCTTTAGAGCCCAACATTAGCCGCCTTTAGCTTAGCGGTGGTGACGTGAAGTCATGTGACTGTAGTTCCTTTATCGCCCAACATTAGCTTTTTAGAGCTTACTTACTAAGATAAATCTAATTGTCATTCATAAATGCCTCGCAAACACAGCTTTCATCAATAACTGAAAGTATAAACGGTCTGAACCTGGTATTGATAAATAGTCTAGGAAGTTGCTGTTGTAATGAAATTGTGACTTTTCTCACAGTTTCACTTTCCAAGTTTTAAAATCTGGTTTCCATCTCTTTTATCAGAGTAATCTCTATCAAACAGGAAGAAATCATGTCGTGTCCTGAAGCAGAAAATTGCAGTAGAGTTGGCTCTACGAAGCTGTGAACAAACACAAAGCTCCTCTATTAGCCGCAGATGCTAAATCGTAATAGTTGCGTGCTTTTTTAAATGTCTAAAGGCTCTTCGGTCAGTTTCAGTTTGGAGCAATGCTTTCATCATCGCTGCAGTTTTCTGACTCATGGAGAAACAGGTGCTATGCTAACAAGAGGAGGAGGGAGGGGACACACACAGCTGGACCTCCATTGCCCTCTAACTCGTTATTAAGTACTATTAATTACAGTATTATGGCCCCGATTGTGGTGTTTGTTTAACAGAGCCTGTAATTAGTCTCACTAATCGCTGATTTATAACCCAGAAGAGCCAAAGTTATCCTGAGAGGTGACTTCATCGAATAGTTTGCACGAAGTATCATCGTAAAGAGTGTATTAAGAGTTTATCCAAAGCATTTATCCAGAATAAAAATGATCTGAAATTATTTTTCTCATTAGTGCTGAAACGAAGGGGATCTAATGGATGAAATTAAACTTTCATCCTGATGCATTCTTGCTTTGTGTCCTAACATAAGTCTGACTGCTGAGTACGTCATTTTTCACATAAAAAATTAAAAGAGCCGTTTCACCTGGAGTAAATTCACAAGCTACCCTGCAGTATACAAAGTCATTCAAACTAGCTGCACCTTTACCAGCTTTGAGAACACTTTCATGATCAATCATTATAAAACATATCATATATATTATTCTGAAATGGACCAATCTGCACAATCACTACTTTTACTGTCGCTACTTTCACTATATTTTGATGAGAATACTTTTCTACTTTTACTTGAGGAACATTTTGAATGCAGGACTTTCACTGTAACAGAGTATTCCTACACTCTGGTACTTCTACTTTTACTCAAGTACAAGACCTGAGTACTTCTACTTTTACTCAAGTACATCTGAGTACTTCTACTTTTACTCAAGTACAATATCTGAGTACTTTTACTTTTACTACAAGATCTGAGTACTTCTACTTTTATTCAAGTAAAAGATCAGAGTACTTCTTCCACCTCTGCCGTGCTGTAGTTCCTTTATAGCCCAACATTAGCCACCTTTAGCTTAGCGGTGGTGACGTGAAGTCATGTGACCATGCTATAGTTCCTTTACAGCCCAACATTAGCCACCTTTAGCTTAGTGGTGGTGACGAGAAGTCATGTGACCGTGCTGTAGTTCCTTTATAGCCCAACATTAGCCGTCTTTAGCTTAACGGTGGTGACGCGAAGTCATGTGACAATTTTGGTTAAACAGACAATTGCTATTTGAGATTTTCTGAAGTGTACTCACAAACTCGGTGATGGGGTCTCCGGTCAGCGGGGCGTAGGAGATCTTGTACTGCCTGACGGGACCCTCGGCGTGATCCCATCCGATGGTCAGGGTGCTGGTGGTGGCGTCATAAACTCGCATGTTCCTGGGACCGCCTCGAGGCACTGCAGCAACAATAATCATAATACACTTTATTTGTATAGCACCTTTCATGCACCTTTCATGCAAAAACCTGCAGCCCAAAGTGCTGCAGGTTTTTATATAAATGGATCAGGACAAAAAGTGAGAGAATCTTTTTGTCCTGAAACTTTCAGAATCTCTTTACACAGAGGGGAAACATGTTTATGTAGAAAAGACATGAAGAAGTGGATTTTGCATAATAGGTGACCTTTAAAGGATTGACTCTTTCGTAAACATGCATATGACTCAGTGTGGATGTGTTAACAACAATCAGCATGAGTCAGATTGTACTCACGTGTTTTGCCGTTGTCTCTGACTGGAGATCCCTCTCCGTCAGCGTACAGAGCGGAGACGTTGACAGAGTAAGGAGTGTCCGGGATCAGGTTATCCAGGAAGGCGTTGGTCACACCTCCAGGAACCAGGACCTTAGGGGAGAAGAAACCCAAGGGTCAAAGAAATATCTAGACATAGGGCTGAGATGGAGCTCCCTGGTTGGTGTAAACCTCAGACGATGGAGATTTTATGGGTAATTAATGGATTTTTAAGTCAACTTGAATGATCTATTGAGAAGGTATTCAGAACTTTGATTAGAACAATCTTTCTAAAATGTTCAAATCAAGCTCTAATGTTTAAATAAAGTACAAAACATCTGGACATTAAGTATTTTAACTTCTGACGTTTGTTGTCTACACTTTCCTTATTTATTAATTACTTTCGGTACTAAATGTCTTTTGTTTCTCCAGTGTTTATTGCTCAGAAATCTGGACAACATAGAGAGAAATAAGGATTTTCACTTATGAATGTATTAGATGTGATAGTTACCTCCACTAACTAGGTTCTGTTTTTGATATTATATTGTCTGTCTTTGAGCAATAAAGCTCCGACAACTTCTGTAAAACATTCCCAAGTCATGGATAGTCTGTGTTTGACTTCCCAGAAAATTCAATCTGATTTGTTTTCAGTTCAATTTGTTGGTTTGTTCTTTTGTGAGATGCATTTTTGCAGTGTTTTGGAAAAACGACAGGCCCAATTTTCATTACATTTGGTGGAACGGTTTTGCACTGGACAAGAAAGAACCCAATATATTTGGAGAGGATATAAATAAAAGTTTTTACTTCAGTCGAAACTGCTTTTGGAGAGGTCTAGTCTCTCAGAGAACTCATCTGGCTAACTGTAGATCCCAAACATTATAGAAAAGTTGTTATCCTTGTATTCTGTCACATCTCAACAGCGCCTGACATGCATTACATAGAGATCTGGCAGTGATAGTGTACATAATGACCTCACTGCTCATCCCACAAACATGCATCCCGCTGCCAGAGTATTCCTGAAACACTAACAAAGGCCCGGGAGGTTAAACGCCAAACAAATCGTTCATTCAGTGAGTGGACTGACGGATAAACAGATTCTGCGAGGAAGCGGCTGGAGAGCGGGTTCAGACACGAGTTTTCTGACAACAAGGACCGTCTCTTGTCACTGGGATTATCACGGCATTCATCCCCTGTTAGTGGGCCTTGAAAATGCGAGGTTACATCATGGGAAATATATCTGGAGGTTGAACTCGAGGCCACCCTCATTTGGAGCTTTTGTTTTGGTTATAGCAAATATCTCAAAGGGTTTTTGGACACAAAGCTTCTGGAACGGGCTGCTCAGTGATGATGTGGTTGAGATACCACAACTGGAAGCTCATAAACTGCTGCTGGCCGCGGTTCAAATCCCTCCACGCATAAATCCATTGGCTTCTGAACAAGATGAATTGTGTTTGATTGGACGTGCAGTCATACAGTAATTTCCTGAAGGCAGAGCTGCTGAGATGTAGCTCCCTGACTGAGGTAATGGAGCCGAAGAATCACAGTTTTTATGAGTAATAATGAGTTTTTAAAAGGGGTCAGGTTTACTGTGTTAACAAGTGGACTTGAATGATCCACTGTGACGATACTTGAGAGTACAAATTGTCTAAAAAGCTCCAAGTTGGGCTGTGATGTTGGCCAATTAAAAATAACTGATGGATAGCTTCTAGAATACGTTCTCCACCCTCTACTTACTTAAAAATCAGTTTTCTTAAACTAGCTGTGGGTACTAATTGTAGGTCTAATGTGTCTCCAGTGACCCAAACACAAAACCAGCTCAATAAAGAAATGGCTTGTGTTGTAAAACTTGATCTAAACCCCATTCCATATCTTTGGGATTAGCTGAAACTCCTACAAATTGCCAGGCCTTAACACCTCACGTCGCTGTTAGACCTCACTGAGGTTGTTGTGTCTGATGGGAACAAATCCCTACAGCCAACATCTGGAACAAAGCCTGAAACCAGGAGAGTTGAGACTTGATGCCCATGTTGTTGGAATTACATGGTCTACTATCACATGTGGTGCAATCTAAGAGTTTCCACATGGTTTTGGCCATATTGTGCTGAACCGTGGACATTTTTTGGGCTATTTCTACTGAAGTGGAACTCATGCAATGCAACCAAGCATGGATTTTCTCTTTTAAAGTAGCCCTATCTACTCATACTATCTATAGATTATGAATTCCTCTATTTGAACACAGCATATTTTACATCTGTCGTGTGTAATGAGGCTCAATTAGACTGAATTATCATCGTAAATCTTTCCTGAGCTCATATCTGTGTCTCTGTGTCTCTGCCAAACCAACCAGACCAAAACAGTATCAAAGTTAATTAAAATAAAACACAACAGAAGTGAAAATAGATAGAGGAAGCGGTGAGGACAGAGGAACAATAAACAACTCTGTGTGTTGACCATGCGGGATGATATACTGTAATATTAGCTTCACAGCATCGTCAAACAGATGCTAATCATCAACAAAGCCAAATTAGATTACATCCTTATGGCTCCAAAATCTCCCACCAAAGAAGCTTGATGAAAGTTTCAAAACTTTTCCCCCAGAGTTCAGACTCTTTCTGGTATAATAAAACCCTCTTTTGACTCCAGATATTTGCACTGCTGCATGAAATCAGTGCTGATGGAGGGGAAAAAAAGCTGACAAGTCATGATTTCCATATTTCCCAGCATCACTGTAATAACTGCTGCTCTAACATCTGTGCAACATCAACTTGATGAAACATACAAATTTAAATATAGCCAAAATGTACAACCTTCTGTTTCCAGGAAATAGACAGAACCATTTCTCACTGTTTAATCAGATGTGGAGAACAGATGGATTCAACTTTATTTTAACTTTCCCGACAACTGAATACATGCAACCTGAGTTCAGTGACACTGTTTAATTGAAACTAGCTTTACAAAATGTATCCAGAGGTGGGAAAATTCAAGAGCTACGAGTCTGAAGTCAAGTCAAACAGGTCACAAGTCAAGTCCCAAATCAAGAGCCACGTTAAACTAATAACTCCACATTAGGAACCAAGTCATGACAAGCGAACCTCAAGTCAAGAACCAGGTCAAGGACTACAAGTATGACGTCAAGTCGTACGATTATTAAGTTAAGACCAACAAGCCCTAAGACAAAGACCCAGTTAAGACTATATAGTCTGAAGAAGAGAATAAAGTCAAGGCAAACATGTCCCAAGTCAATAATTAAATCCAGCCAACAAGTCAAGACTGCAGAGTTTTAGGTCAAAGCAAACAGGTCCAAAGAAAATAAGACTATAGAGTCTTGGGTCAAGAACAAAGCCTAAGCTAACAAGTCCAAAGTCAAGACTCTCAATTCAATGCAAAGTCATGACTAACAAGTCTTGAATCAACACTACAGATTCTCAATGCAAGAAGGTGAACAGGTCCCAAGTCCGAAGACTAGAGAGTCTTAAGTGAAGAAGAAAGTCTAAGCCAACAAGTCCCAAGTCAAGACTACAGACTCTCAAGTCAAAAACAAATTCAAGGCTAACAAGTCCACATTACAGACTCTTAAGAACAAAGTAAAGGCCAACAGGTCCCAAGAAAAGAAGAGTATAGAGTCTTGAGTCAAGCCTTGGCTTGGCTTACAAGTCCAAAGTCAAGACTAGATTCTCAATTCAATGCAAAGTTATGGCTAACAAGTCCTGAATCAACACTACAGATTCTCAATGCAAGAACAATGTCATGGTTAACAGGTCCCAAGTCAGAAGACTAGAGAGTCTTAAGTGAAGAAGAAAGTCAAGAAAAAACAACGAGTCTGAGACAAAGTCAGATCCCAGGTTACAAGACACACTTTTTAAAAGTATCAGGCCTTTTTAGGACTAAATTACCCATTTATTGAAAGAACAAAAGGAAAATGAATCATTAGATGATCTGATAATAACCATTAGTCATCACTTTATCTGTCATGAAATCTCCTTTATCTCAGAACAAGCAGGACAAGAGCTGCTTGTGGGATGAGATCATTCCACTTCATTATAATCCCCATTAAAATGATCTTATCTCAACAATTTCCTGGATCCACATCACAACCAGCGAGGGTCGACCCTTTAAGAGGTTGCAATTAAAAAATAAATCTTATCTCACTCGCAGATTTTTAAATAAAAGCTTGTCAGTTATTGGTCTTTGCATTTATAGCTGTAATCCTTTGAGAGCAGAGACAGTCATCTCAGGGGAAAGCACCTCTTCCTCCCCCTTCAGGCGAATTCTCGGACTCCAATGACAGTCTGTGTTTTTACAGCCTGCAGAGAGAGAGAGCAACTCACCGACTCCGGGGCTCTTTTATTTAACATTTAGAGGAATATATCCACAACTTTAAGCGTTTGACAGACAGAAACTGTTCACAGATATGACAGATTTGACAGTTTTCACAGTAACATTCATGATTTGACGTTGATCGGGCCACTGTGGGCAGTTGTATTTTTCTTACTGTAGTACTGACCCTCAAATATGTCTCCATTTTAAGTTGTTCCTTGTTTTTCTTTGTCATCGGCTTTTTGTTATAAGCACCTTTTGTCTTTTTACTGAATTTGGGTCCTGCCTTACCCCAACATCCTGACACTTTATTAAATATAACAAAAGACAAACTTTGTCCATGAATCATTTATCAGTTTCTCTTAAGAATTTCCTCCACTAATGACAGTCTGTGTTTTTTACAGCCTGCAGAGAGAGAGAGTAACTCACCGACTCGGGGGCTCTGGATCCGGTCAGGGAGCTGTACGCCACCTTGTACTGCTGCACCTGGCCTGAAGCCGCCTCCCAGCGCACGTTCAGGCTGTTTGCGGTGGGGTTGTACACCTGGATGTTCCTGGGTGGCGTACGTGGAACTGCAAAGGGGTCACAAAGGTTATGAGAAAGTGAAATGAGGAAGGAGGACTCTCTTCACTTAGCAACCAAACATACAAACAAAGGGTTTGTTCCAAGTAAGATCCATTTTAGGAGCCGGAAAACGACAGCTAAGGTTGATGGATTTACAAACAAGTTCCTGAAAATGTCCCGGTTGGAACGTTCAGTGCTAAACAGAAATGTAGGGAATGCAAAGAGGATTAGTCGGTTTATGTTTTGCATTTTTAAGAAGCTGCAATTTGAAATCTCGGCTGATAAAAACAAAACAGCCTCTGTATGATGCATTTTAGATACGTTTGGCTTCTTCAAAGTCTATGAGAGACTCTTACAATCGCTCAGCTTATTGAAAGCTAATGCACCCACAGGTTTCTTGCTGTTCTTGAGTTTGTATCTTCATGGTTGATTGCACAGTAATGTAATGTAAACGTAAAAAGCAAATTCCTCAAAGGTCAGAACCTCGGTGAACTTTATTAAAGAAATAAATCTGATTCTGTATTCTGTTTAGTTCTCTATTGGAATAACCTTCCAAAACCTCTGGCGTCCATCAAGAAAAAAAGGCATTTAATGAAGGAATAAATGGTCTAAATTGATGCAATGCATCACAGTCCGACTGGACGCGCTGCTGAGTGCAGCAGAAGTCTTTTTATAGCGTGTGTCTATGTGGAGGACGTGTAGAGAGAAGTAGCACAGTTCTGGGTTTATGCAAAAGCCCTTAACTTGCCTTTTAAACTAAACCAGATGTGCATATCCCCCTGGTATTTGGAGCTTTACCTAATAAAACAGAACTAAATGCAGTAGGTAGATTTCAACAGAGCCTCCTCCTCCTCACTAAAGACTGTTCCCCTAATGTTGGATCACCACATCGTCATTTATTACCTTTAAATACAGAGGACAGAGTCTGTCTAAATGTTTGACTTCTATCATCCAAAGACAAAATTACCTTCTTTCCTCCAGAGAGATTATGTAATCTTGATCTAATTTTCATTATTGTATAGCAGCATGCAGCATTTATTTCCCTCCACAGTGTTGGCCAGGAACAGTGATTTCTGTTCAGATAAAATGTGACAAATTCCTCCTGGGACGGAAACAGTAACAGTGGACTGAGTTACTGCTAATAAAAGGTCATTAACGTCACACAGAGGCTTATATTCAGTGATAGACTGACTCACCGGGAGCTCACCTGCCAACACACAGACGTAACATGGGACCTTATCAAGTTCAGACTGACCTTCCTGCCACTCTGGAGGAATCAAAAACACTCATTTGCTGAGCGTGTAGGCATTCAAAACCATTTAACGCAGCATTGGTTTCTTGACAACATTGGTTCATGTTTGAACTATAGAAAGAAGACAGAAAAAAAGCACAAGAGACCATCCTGATTGAGAGAATATAGCCTAAAACCTTTGGAGAATAAAGAATGGTTTAGTGACTAATCTTCCAATAAAAAAGTCGCTAAGAGGCTAAATGAGGCACTACACATCTAGAGTCGTTGTGGTTTTCGGACTTCAAGAGCTTTTACCAGGAGGAACCCAAGATCAGAACATCTAGTCTTTAAACTTCATCTTAAATACATGCGAAAAGTGACATGGGAAATTATGTAATACTATCCAATCGACTATGCAATCTGCAAAACTTGTCCTCGTAGTAATACTTTTCCTTGTAGCCTGTTTCCTCTAGGGCCAACACAAACTGTGAGATGCCGTAAAGTTCCTACTATTACACACGACCTCTTAACCTGTATCTTGCCCTATAATCGTCTGTAACTCAACGACAGGTCCACATATTTAGACTGCTTTAATGTGAACTAGACATAAATATACCCTGACCCAAGCCATGATGAACATACTTCAACACAAGACCATTTAGAATAATACGTCCATAACTTTAGGGGTTTAACGCACCAAAAACTGTGCACATATATGATGGATTTTACAGTTTTCACAGTCACATTCATGATCTTACAATGGAGGCCAGAACAGGCTATTGTGGGCAAATGCATTTTTTTTTTCCTGTAGTTCTGGCACTCAAATATGTCGCAATCATAACCTCAAAAATTCTAATTGTCTACAAAAACCGACTTGTATAAAACAAATGGCATTCAATTACAATACATCTAGTCAATAAAGCCTCTGAATGATCCCCACAAGAAGAGAAGCATTCAGGCTTGTGTTTGCATGCTGGAGTCGTGTTTCCCTCGCAGCTTCCCAATTAAATAAAACCCCAGGATGCATTTCTGCTGACTGGGCATGGCATGCTTTCTGGCCAGAAAGAAAACCATCAGAGCGGGACATCAAACCACCCAGGAGACTCTCCAAAACACCAAATATTCCTCCATGCAGACTTTCCAACAGGATCTGAAACGTTCCACATTATCTCTGCTGGAAGTTCTGCTATCAATCACTGAGCAGCTTCTCTTTTGTTCCATCCTCCCTTCCTGATTTAGGAGGTTTGGCTCTTTCTACAGTAGTTTTTTCCACTGAGGGCTCACCTGGGATAGACTGTTTGTCTATAAAGATGTTTCTGCTGTCAGACTTTGCAGAAAAACAACGTTAAAAAACAATGAGTGAACTCTGGCCAGGAGCAGCAGATTCAGCTTCACTTCAGGAAAACACTCAACGTTTATCGCGGATGCTTTAGTGCAGAGACCTTTATTTTAGCAAGGGAGTGACTCTGTTTCTCTTCAGTCCTGTAATGCTGGCAGCTGCTCAGTAAAAAGTGACATCTGACCTTTTCCTCACTGCAGGAGGGAGGTGGTTAAAAGGGAAACTCCAAGAAGTCCAATACCATTTAAAAAAACAATAAAAGCCAACACTGACGTCAAAAATAAGCATGTTGACCTCGTTTTGTACCTCTGCTATCCAGTATCCACTATATTTGCCCAAGTCTACAGTAAAAATATGCTTTTTAAATATCATTACCAATGAAAAAGTATCATATTCTAGACGTTTACACATTTACAGCAGCAGATGTCTCACCACTAAGTCTGTTTATAGAGCGTTAATTAAGTCGAAAACAGCCCTAAAGTGTTGAAGGAGTTTAATTTGGTTTATGGAGTTTTTATCTTGTGCTTTACCACGATAGAAAAAATAAAGACCTGATCATTGACCTGATAAACTGCAAAAAAGGACGGCAAGCTAAAGGAGTAAAACAAAACAAAATGAAAACCTGACAGGGTCTGAGAGTATGCAAAATAAATAGGAATAAGCTGCATTTGAACACATATTTGTACCAGCAAAACAAATGGGTTTTTTATGTCCTGTTTTTATTTCATGTTTCTCTGAAAAAACGGTCCAAAGATGAGAAATGAATAAAGTTTTATATTTTCTGAGAGTTGAATTTCTAAAAGCCGATGCTTTTTTTCTTCTGATCAGGCCATCCATGTGTTACATGACTTTATTCCTTTAACACGTTTTAGATTTTCTTTTAAAAGAAGAGTGAGTTTCTTTGTGTCCAGAGGAATTCTGTCCTGACATCTTTACTGCAGAAATATTAACTTCTAATTAAAAAAAGGCGCCCCAGATTTTTCTTTTGTCTATTTTTTGGGAGTCTTCCATCCCTGATTATTCATAACTGTCATAAAGATCTGCACCAGGATCTTCAGCTGCAGGGTTTAATCATATACATTACATTTAAATCATTACATTTTTTATCTAAAGTGACTCACATTAAATACTATAAACAGGGCTGCACATAACTGGTGCACAGGTGCGCACCCCCCGCCAAAAAAAGAGCACCGGATCATTTGAAAAAAGGCGCATTTGCGAGAGAGAGAGAGAGAGAAAAGAGAGAAGAGAGAAGAGAGAGAGATATTTGCGAGTTGCATAAGAACTGGTAAGATAGCAGGGTTTCCCATATAGACTTTACTTGGGCGGGCCGACCAGGTAGGCTATATTAACGGCCACCAAAGTATAATTCGCGAGCCATTTAGGTTGATTTTTTTTTTCCATCCGTCCGGCATCTGCAATCCCTCGCTCTACCCCTCGCTATCGCGTGAAGGGTCTGCTTTATGCACTCTGCACAGTAACCCCGCTGCGAGGCTCTGGCGAACAGTTCATGAGCATGCTCACTAGCGCCCCCCCTTTCATAAAGTCAAGAAACCCTCAAAAGGTACGGTTTATTTCATTTGAAGGATGCGCACCAAGCAACATCTCCAGGTGCTCCTTTGAGAACCAGGGCAAAAAAGTGATGTGCACCCCTGACTATAAACCATGAAGATACAAATTCAGAACAGAAACCAACCCGGAGTTCCTCAAGGCTCCTTCCTGGGCCCCCTTTTCTTTACCATCTAAATGTTCACACTGGCTCCGATTATAATACAAATAATAATAATAATACTACATGGGATTTGTATAGCGCTTTTCCCAATGCTCAAAGATGCTTACAATTACAGAAAACAGTGACTAATAATAAACCATGAAGATACAAATTCAGAACAGAAACCCGGAGTTCCTCAAGGCTCCATCCTGGGGCCTCTTTTCTTTACAATCTACATGTTCATACTGGCTCCGATTATAATACAAATAATAATAATAATACATCGGATTTGTATAGCGCTTTTCCTAATGCTCAAAGACGCTTAAAATAATGGAAAACAGTTCGGAAAGTTTGAGGACTTACGTGTTTTCCCGTCATCAGACTGGCGGAGTCCCTCCCCCTCGGGGTAAACAGGGACGACGGTCACGGTGTAGGGAGTGTCCGACAACAGGTTCTTCAGGACGGTGTTGGTGGTGCCACCTGACACCTGCTCCTGCTCACACACACACACAAACACACACACACACATATATGAACAATGATCCCAATCCACATTATCTGGGATGTGATTTCTGGGAGTTTAATGAAAATTCAGCATGCTCAGATTACCGAAGGTAGAATTGATCTGAATCAGATAACAATACGTTATTATTTGTTCATCCTGGGGGAAATTGGGTTTTGTTTTTAAATAATGTAAATTACAATATTGACAACTGTGTTTTAGTATAATTCAGATATTCATGCTGAATTGCAAAGATGAATAGGGTTTGGTTGTTGATTGTGAAGTAAGTCTTACTGCCAGTCTATGTCAAAATCAATTACTGACACTTACTGTATTTCCACACTTCAATTACATTTCTTAATCTGTATATTAATATTGTATATTCAATAAGGGATACTCTAGGTATACATATTTCACTGTTGATACATATATATTTGATGTTTAAGTGCAATGCTTGTCTAAACTCCATGCTGCTGTGGCGAAGGAATTTTCTCAAACTCGTATCAATAAAAGTATACCTTCAATCTTCTCTTAAATCTGCAAGTTCAACTTCCTGTGTTTATAGAACAGGAAGTGGTCCTGATGTCTCACCATGTCCTCGGCTCCTCCGGATGAAGGGACGTAGAAGATGCGATACTGCCGGACGTTTCCCTCCGCCGGCTCCCAGCGGACCTTCAGAGAACTGGTGGTGGGATCAGAGACCTGCAGACTCTTCACCCCGCCCAGAGCCTCTGTCAACACACACAGAGAAACATCCGTCAACTTCCTGTTTGAGTTACAGCCGCTAACAAATTACTCTCCGTTTGACCTCGTCACATCAGCAACAGATGGAGTCTGCAAGCAAGTGTCAATCACAGGAAGGTGACATCTGCTGATTTTCAATATATTTTTCATTGATTAAATAAACTTCCTTGTTCTGTAATTACACCATATTATCTCATATGCACTTTATTAAAAGTCTCCTATTATACTATTTTCAGGCATATATTATAGGTCTCAGATATATAAAAAGGTAGCCCACATTTCCGATATTACGTCATGACCGCAGCAAATCTGGATCAGCTCCGTTTTTAGAGATTTGGGTACGGAGGAAAAGAGAGGGGTTTGTTTTCTGACACTTTGTGAGTGTCCTGACACACCGGGGACACATAGTTATGTATAAAAGACATCAAAAGATATATTGTAAAAATGAACCGAGGTGGAAGTAATAATATGCAAAAATAAAATCTAAATAAAATCAATTAATTAAAATGAAAAAATTTAATAAATATATTAAAATAAACAAAAAGGTTGAAGCAGTAAAAAGATTAGACAAATAAAATACAACTATTTATATAAACATCAGAATTTAAATAAAATGTTCAATTTCTTTAAATAAATTACAAATATGTATATAAAATAAAACACTCACTTGTCTTCCCGTTCTCTGACTCTCGTTTCCCCTCCACGTCGGCGTAGATGGGCACCAGCGTCACTTTGTACTCGGTGTCGGGCTTCAGGTCTCTAAGCACCGTGTTGGTCGACATGCCGGATACCGGAGTCTGAAGAGGACAAAAAAAAACACATTTGTGAAAGTTGGGAAATGTTGGGAAAACTCCTCTTTCATACCACTGTCTCACAATTGACTTCCCTATTCGACATACCCCTTCTTTAATGAAGAGAGATCATTATAAAACCGACCATGCTCTCTGCTAGTTGATCCAGTTCTAAGTGGATCTAATGGTTTTCTGTTGCAGTTGTTCCTAATCCTTTAAAACTACAATGAAACAATACTAAAAACTAATAAAAAAGTAGCTTCACCAGGTGTATCTCATTCTCTTATAGAAGCTATTCCCAAAAATATGAATGAAGTATTGATTATTATCAAACCTCATCACTTTCAAATGTCCTTTTCTTTCCATATTGAGAAAGATCTTGAGGTTCAAACCTTTATTTAACCAGGTAGGTCCCGTTGAGATCATTGATCTATTTTTCAGGTTCATTAGAAAGCTTGAGAACATCCACTAAATGGATCTATTAATGGGGTTTTAATAAGCTACAATAATGTAGTTTTAGTAACTAGTAAAATAGTAAACTAATAACTGAGACAATTAAAAAAATGTATATAAATAAAATGAAAAAATATTGTGTTTTCTGTAGAAACTACTTGAGATTTTCCTTCTTTAATAGAAAAAATGGACAAAGAAATGAAATAAAAAGCACAAATGACTTCAGTTTAAGATGGACCCAATGGATTTATGTTGCAGCAATTGCTAGTCTTTCAAAACTGCCATGAAAAATACTAAAAACACATTTAAAAATGTTAGCTATCACCATGTGTGTGAACTCTCTGGTCGTTCCATCCTCTTGTAAAAGCAATTGACAGAAAACTGATAGATAGATAGAATATGATGTGAAATGTAGTTAAGCATTGATAATGAAACTCACCATGCTCTCCGCTCCCCCCCCCTGTGGGGACGTAGATGATCTGATACTGCCTCACGTCGCCCTCCGCCGGCTCCCAGCGGACCCTCAGAGAGTTGGTGGTCGGGTCGCTCACCTGCAGGTTCTTCACTCCTCCCAGAGGCTCTGAACATAAAAAACGTGACACATTACAGTTAATCCTCTCCGTTAGCTTTATCCCGTGTGGGCGGGTTTCCCCTCATCATCCTGTCCAGATGTCTCAGAGTCTTGTCAATCACAGAGAGTTTTTAATGAAGACTTGAAGATGTCAAGGGAAGCAGCATTGCAGATCTCTGAGTTAATAGTCTCCGTCAGCTTTAATCTGCAGGGTGCCCCGTGTGGGCGGGTTTCCCCTCATCATCCTGTCCAGATGTCTCACATACTGGTCAATCACAGAGGAGTGTCCGAAACTCTCTGAGCCAAAAACATCCTTATTAAAAGGCATTCACGCTTAAAGGAATTTCTCCATGGGAAGACAAACTGCTGCAAATAATCCTTTAGCTTTAGTTTCATCCTGCAGGGTGCACCAGATGGGTGGGTTTACCACATGAGGAGGGTCCAGATGTATCAAGAATCTCTCTGGCTCTCATTATGTTCTTTTGTGAGCCACGAATGTCCAAATAAACAACGTCTGTATTCTCACCCTCCAACTTTTTTGCATGTTTCAGGTCATTAAATACATGCTTCACATTCACTGGCTGCTTTTCAGATGGACTTCCTGTTTGAGGCGGCCTGTGGTCTTTTAAGTACTCTGCATAAAAACGTTCCTCAAAAGGTATGTTATTGTAGGAAACGCTGTGTCCTGCAGAGATCAATATAAAACCTGAGGAGTCAAGAAAAACTGCAACAACGGCAAGTTCAAAGATTTATAACTACCAGCTATTCTGTTAGAAATACATCAGACACGTGTTTACAAAGGCAAAGACATGGCCATACATAGAGACACTACAGCAGGAGAGAACTCTTTAAAGTAGAGACACTACATACTGATATACACCTGAACATCAGCAGGAGAGGACTCTTTAAAGTAGAGACACTACATACTGATATACACCTGAACATCAGCTGGAGAGGACTCTTTAAAGTAGAGACACTACATACTGATATGCACATGAACATCAGCAGGAGAGGACTCTTTAAAGTAGAGACACTACATACTGATATACACCTGAACATCAGCAGGAGAGGACTCTTTAAAGTAGAGACACTACATACTGATATACACCTGAACATCAGCAGGAGAGGACTCTTTAAAGTAGAGACACTACATACTGATATACACCTGAACATCAGCAGGAGAGGACTCTTTAAAGTAGAGACCCTACATACTGATATACACCTGAACATCAGCAGGAGAGGACTCTTTAAAGTAGACACACTACATACTGATATACACCTGAACATCAGCAGGAGAGGACTCTTTAAAGTAGAGACACTACATACTGATATACACCTGAACATCAGCAGGAGAGGACTCTTTAAAGTAGAGACACTACATACTGATATACACCTGAACATCAGCAGGAGATGACTCTTTAAAGTAGAGACTCTACATACTGATATACACCTGAACATCAGCAGGAGAGGACTCTTTAAAGTAGAGACACTACATACTGATATACACCTGAACATCAGCAGGAGAGGACTCTTTAAAGTAGAGACTCTACATACTGATATACACCTGAACATCAGCAGGAGAGGACTCTTTAAAGTAGAGACACTACATACTGATATACACCTGAACATCAGCAGGAGATGACTCTTTAAAGTAGAGACTCTACATACTGATATACACCTGAACATCAGCAGGAGAGGACTCTTTAAAGTAGAGACACTACATACTGATATACACCTGAACATCAGCAGGAGAGGACTCTTTAAAGTAGAGACTCTACATACTGATATACACCTGAACATCAGCAGGAGAGGACTCTTTAAAGTAGAGACACTACATACTGATATACACCTGAACATCAGCAGGAGAGGACTCTTTAAAGTAGAGACACTACATACTGATATACACCTGAACATCAACAGGAGAGGACTCTTTAAAGTAGAGACACTACATACTGATATACACCTGAACATCAACAGGAGAGGACTCTTTAAACTTGATTTATGACATGTTACTTCACTGGCAGCCATTGATTTCCAGTTATTCTAGGTCATCTTTACCTCATTAAATGTAGAGGAGTGATTTTGAAACTATAGACCCGTGGGATGTCAGTTTTCTAAAACAAAGCAGACGGGTGGCATCAGTTCAACTTTTCTAAACGGTCCCTTTGGTGGGATTTTATTTCATGAGGTCACTTAATAAATGCCTATTCTCTTATTTGATTGGTCCCTCCTTTTTTATATTACGCATTACTTCAGATGGTAGCTCAGAGGAGACAGGACCCCTCTTGTGATGTTTGTGGGAGAGATGTAAACGCAAAGAAGGGAAATAAATGTACCCATTGTTCACTATCCTTAAATCAAGTCTGTATACCTTCATTAAATGTCCGAACATCTTCCAAAAGTGTTTAAAGTGTTCGATGAATCCCTCCCTGAAGAAATACTGTTTTATTGCAAGACTACAGAACAATAAACCCCCATTATTCTCTGCATGGCATCGATGTGAGCATGCTTTATTTCATTGTTGTGTGTTACTCACAGGCTCAGAGGAGAGAAAAAACTAAAAATGACAAATGCTATTAATCTTATAGTTGTAGTGTGATCCATCTCGCCGTAAACATTTCTGTTGTTAGTGCAGGCGAGCATATTTGGGTTGTGTTAAACATATGTTAGAGGGAAGATTTGTACCCATAATACTATGTCTTTCAGCTGGGTCTGAGCTGTATGAAGAAAATGAAATATCACAATATTTTGGAGCAAATACCTACATTTTTTATATAAAATCATCCGCTTGTTGGTTTAATTACTTAATTGGTCAGGGCAATTAATAGAACAGCTAGAAAAGTCTGGTAAACTCAGAAAATTACACAGTTTTTAATGTATTGCAGCCTTTAAAACCAGGAAAAAAACACTTTACGAAATCCAAAATCTATGAAGATGTATTATCAAATATCTGAGATGGTATCTTGTCATATATCCCAATATCTAATAATAACTATATAATATATCTCTGTAGTGCCCTGTTCTACCTTCAGCTTGACTTTGTTAATGTTTTAATATTGACGTAAATGCAATTATGTTAGAAATAATGCTTTTTTTTCTTGGAAATATAAAGTATGCAAGTATAATAATTGTATCATAAATATACCTTTAGTATCATGTTTAAGTTGTTATCAACACAGGTGTGGGCGGGTTCATTTTCATAGAGTTTTTGCCTCATTGTGTTCAAATTCAAGACCTTTTTTTGGGAATATTTGGCATAGATTTCATGTTCGGAAAAAAAACTATTGTCTTTGAATCAAATCGGGCAAAAACTCTATGAAAATGAACCCGCCCACGCCCATGCTGATTGGTCATTGTGAGATAATCGTCCATATGAGCAGAGCTGATCCGTACATATCCTTTAGATTAGAGGTCTTCACTCACTTGTCTTTCCCTTCTCCGCCTGACGGATGCCCTCCACGTCGGGGTAGATGGGAACCACAGCCACGTTGTAGACGGTGTCCGACTCCAGGTTCCTCAGGGTGGTGCTGGTGGTTCCTCCAAACACCTCCTCCTGTTCGGGGAAACATGTAAACCTCAGTCAGCAGAGAGGGCAAAAGTACACACATCCTTTCCTCAAGTAGAAGTACAGATACTCATGTTTAAAAATACTCTGGTGAAAGTAGAAGTACTGACTAAACTTCTTTACTCAAGTCAAAGTAAAGAGGCTTTGAAATGTACTTCAGTAAAAAGTACCCATAACTAGCAGCTGTTTTAAAGAGTACCTGACCTCCCTTTATATTAATAGAACAATAATGTCATTGTTAGCTAATGAATGTTTCCATGCTGAACAACGGCAACATGACAACGTTTCCATTGGTCCCTCTTCTTTAGAGAAGACCAGGAAATGATGGATACACGGATCGTGTTCAAATCAATAGGCACGCAATCACTCTAAATAATAATGATCAGCCCTGTTACTAAAGTGCTGATTCTGGGTTCGGCAGAAACTCAGCTAAATGCTGCCGTGACTAAACTCCATATCATGTTCCAAACCACATCAAGGATTATTTCTGAAACAGTTTGGAGCTCAAACTCTTTGTCTCTCTCAGGTTTACCACAAGGTGAGATCCTTTTTATTTCCTGCTTCTTCACACATCCTCTCTCCAGTACAGGTTAGCTCTGAGTGTTAGCGATGCTAATGTAAACACCGACCATATTACTTCCAAAACAGTCGGGCATTGTTTCTGATAGCAACGTTTCTGATTGGCCCGTGGGCGTAAAGCCCGCCCACATTTCTGATATTACGTCATATCGGACACAAATCTGGATCAGCTCCGTTGTTCCCCCGTTTTTAGAGATGTGGGTACGGAGGAAAAGAGAGAGGGTTGTATTCTCTGACACTTTGTGAGTTCCCTTACACACATATTTATGTATAAAAGACATCAAAAAGTGCAGACAGTTTGTACCATTTTCTCCTCTCCCGCTGGTTCGGAGGTGTAGAAGACTTTGTAGCTGCGAACGTTTCCCACGGCAGGATCCCATCGGACCGTCAGAGTACTGATGGTGGGGTCGATCACCTTAAGGTTCTTCACTCCACCCAGAGGATCTGATAATGAAGAGCAGGAACACAACAAAGGACTTGATGACTTATCAAATTGCCAATTTACTAACATTTCGTTGATGTTCTACTGAAAAGCAAGACCCCAGGAATTTCAATTTCTGCGATAGTAAACGTTAATGGTGCGTTCTCATTGGACGCAAAGCAACAACAACAAAAAGTCGGGATAAGTGCAAATGCTGTGGCTGGAATAAACCGAGTGACGCAAACTTCACTAAATCCCTTCGTCCCTCCCTCCCTTCCTTCCTTCATGTATTAATCCCTCCTACCCTTCGTCCCTCCCTCCCTTCCTTCCTCCCTCCCTACATCCCTGCATCACTCCTTAACTCATCCCTTCCTTCCTTCATGTATTGAAACTCATCCCTCTCTCCCAACATCCCTTCATCCTTCATCCCTCCTTCACTTTGTCCTTCCTTCACTACATCCCTTCGTCCCTCCGTCCCTTCCTCCATTCATACCTTCATCCCTCCTTTCCTTCATGTATTGATTCCTTCTTCCCTATGCCCATTAATCCCTTCCTCCCTTCCTCCCTACATTCCTTGAAACTCTTCCCTCCTTCCCTCCCTCCCTCCCTCCCTCCCTCTCTCCCTCCCTCCCTTCCTTCCTCCCTCCCTTCATACCTTCATCCCTCCTTTCCTTCATGTATTGATCCCTTCTTCCCTATGCCCATTCCTCCCTTCCTCCCTACATTCCTTGAAACTCTTCCCTCCCTCCCTCTCTCCCTCTCTACATCCCTTCATCACTCCTTCACTACATCACTTCGGTACATGTTCATGAATCCTGGATTAGCACTTTTCCTCTCTCCAGGTCCAGGCTACTTCCTGGAGGACAAATCACTGGACAGACATCAGTTTGAACTCACTTGTCTTCCCGTTGGCGGACATGGACAGGCCCTCCATCTCGTGGTAGACGGGCACCACGGTGACGGTGTATTCTGTGTTGGGATCCAGGCTTTTCAGCACGGTAGAAGTGGTCGTTCCTGTCACCTGGTCCTGGGGGAGGAAGAGGAAGAGAAATGTTAGAAAAATCTCCCTGGTCCCCGGCTTGAGCTTCAATCTCAGGATCCATGTATCTGTGATCCTCTCCAGAATGGAAGTAGTCATCACATACAGAGCATCAACTAGTTCCTGAACAGTGTCCTTCACATGCTGATATCCAAGAGAGGGAGTTACACAGTCACAAGATGGAGGAATAGAAAGCAGTATTCAATGTTTACTTCAGATTAGCTCCACGTCAGAAATGATCATGCTTGTCATATGTCTATCTCCATAGAGGCTGAATCATCATGTTAATCACATAGCTATCATATGCCTCAAACAGTCCTGATGCTCTTCTAGGTAATCATACATCCTGTCATGTACACAGCTACAGTTGGGATACCTTTGTTATCATGTTACTCTCATGTTGATAGAAGACATTCACTATTTTCCCAACAAGAAACTACTTTGAACTGGTTGAACTGAAAAACATGGAGGAAAAGAAAGAAAAGGGAGGTTTGGCAGAGGAGAGACAATTTCCCAGTTGAATGTTCTGCGAGCCCAGATTTCTTGGAAACAAGTCCAAACTGTCTCAAACTGAAACAGGAAGAGAAACAGAAGAAGTTTGAAGACAAAAAGCAGAAATATTCTGCGTCCAGAACTTTCCAGTAAAGCACGAAAGCTTCTGCTGCGAGTATAAATCTGATTTTTGTCCACTTCACGGTAATCCAATAGTAAGTCCTGAAATCTGCCAATAAGATGATCTGTTTCCAAGTCAAATCATCTCATGCAATACATTCCTCAAACCAAGTGACAATACCTCAATAAACTGTCACTGCTTTATGGAAAACAGTAGAAACTGCCTCTGCAATGTTTCACATTAGTGGTTATAAAATGTACATTTCTTAACATTATCCATCTTTTGATAACATATCACTCTTTTTTCCCTGGAAACATGCGTAACCATCTCAAGCTGCTGGCTTTTCTCCGTTTGTGTTGAGAAGACTTGAATTTAAGGCCAAAAATAAAAGATTATCCTACAATATGAGAGAGGACAACTTTTCCAGAAGAGTGAGCAGAACAGAAGCGGCCCTGTTCCTCCAGAAAATAGAAAAGGCTTTGTATTTTGCATGCATTGATCAAATGTGGTTCTTAACTTGACTTTTTTATACTTATTTGGACTGTTGTTCCTAAACCTGCTAAAAACCTTGTTATTATTATGTATTTATTCTATATTTTATTTATATTTTTTGATATCCCTGAACTCGTGTAAACTCTCACCTGACGTAGGTTAGGGTAAACTTGTCTAAGAAAACCTGTTAAAATGACCTGTGTTTCATTCTTTCTGCCGTCTGACACCTGCATTTCCTTCCAAGGATTACAAAATCTTTATCTGATCTTAATGTTCCGTTAACTGTCAAGTGGGAACTAAGTCTTTTTTTGTGCGTTCTTGTGTTTCTCTTATTTTCCTACGATACTGTTATGATTGGCTGTGAATAAGAAAATATGAAGGACAGACCATCTATTTCTATTTATTAAATGATTTTGAGAAAGGGGCCGGTGATATCAGATTATTTTCTTCTCCCTGCTCCTTTTCAAGTATGGTGTGTTTATCGAGACATGTTCTGTAAACAATTGTTATACATTAAGTTGTGCATACCATGAACGGAACACATACAAATTAAATGAATATTCCGGTCTCTCTCTCACCACTTCCTGCTCTCCTCCAGCCACAGGGACCCAGGTCACGATGTATTCTCGCACCGTCCCCTCGGCCGCGTCCCAGCGGACGTTCAGAGAGCTCGTCGTGGGGTCGGTCACCTGCAGGTTCCTCGCAAAGCCCAGCGGCTCTGAAACAGGAAGTCAGCGCCAAACAGGAAGTGAGCATTTGGAGCGCAGAGTCACACAGCTGTTAGTGTCCAGATGTGTCAGAAAAAGACTGTTTTCTGGCGGCCGTTAGCTGTCAGTGATTAAATTGATGCTGCTTTGTTACCACTGGGGAAAAGAGTCAAATTCATCTTCACTCGCCAAGCCACATGTCTAGTTTTCTTCAAAGAATAACATTCAAGTAAAATATTTGACACTTCTGGTAATACGATGGGGAAGAAGAGCAGAATCTAAGAAAAAACATGAAGCAAGTGGTTCCTTAATAAAAACTCAATTTGTCCGACGTTTTTCCCGTAAAAATACTACTTCAATATCACTCATTTCTGTTCATCTTCTCGGTATATACATTTGTCTATTTGTTTCCCTCTTTTTCTGCTTTCTTACTGTGTCTCTACCTTCACCTTTCACTATCCATCAACTGTTATACTGTGCACTTAATATCAAGCATTTATTTATATTCTTAATTCATGTGCAATGCCTTGTTACCATGCTGCTGTAACAAAACAAAAATCAAATGATGGATCAATTAAGTACGTCTTATCTGTATCAATCTGTTTGATGATTCCTTGGAGGTTCAGGTGCTTTTTTTAAGGGTTATTCAAGCTCTAGAACTCGTATAAAGACGTAGAAATCAAACGTTTAAAAGTTGAAACACTGACTTGTCTTCCCGATGTCGCTGAGGCTCGGCCCGTCTCCCTCGGCGTAAACTGGAACGACGGTGATGGTGTAACGGGTGTCCGGAAGCAGCTTCTCCAACACCGTCTTAGTGGTGCTCTCTGACACTTGCTCCTACACACACACACACACACACACACACACACACACACACACGCACACACACACACACACACGCACACACACACACACACACACACACACAGGTGGTGAACACACTGTCCTCCTCCACCTTTAGGATCAGCAGAGCTCCACAAAAAAACTATGTCAGTTTACTGCTCTCCCTTAAACTAAATAAGATAAGATAATTGATCAAATTGAACTTTATTTATCCCCGAAAAGCAGGCGTTTATAGCAGCAACAGGGTCAGAGTAACTATTGAAACGTAATATCACTGTTTAACTGGTAACTCTCATGTATTTAGTGGCAATATTCACAGCTTTTGACCGTCTAAAATAAGAATAATTAGATTTTTTCTGACAGAAATGTCTCTTATAACTGTTTTTAGGCAATCATTCAATTTCCTTTTTTAATATTAATAATGATAATAATGCATTTTATTTATAGAGCGCTTTTCTTGAAACTCAAAGACACTTTCCAGAGTAAAAATGCATAACAACATAAAAAAAACACACTTAAAATATATAAAACACAACATTAAGTACCGATTAAAAGTGGTTCTGACAAAACGTTTTTTAACATAATTTGACCCTCTACATTTGTTTAAAAGATATATTTAACTTCAGTTTACCTCAGGAGAAAAAAGTACTTACAACCATAATAACTTTTAGGCACATTTATTCATTAAAATTAATTAACTTAATTATCTGTTGTTTTCCTTCTTAACCCCAGAATGAACATATACACCCCACACAAGCAGCACTGAACTCCTCTGGTTAAGTACTTTAACATTTTGGGTAAATGATGTCATCGTCAGAGACCAACGCAGCGTTTCTACGAGACACAAACACGTCCGTCAGCCAGATGTTGTTTCCCGCTCTCTACAGTCTCAAAGAGCGGGATTTACAGCCACTTATTCTCTAAAAGCTGCGCTGCAGGAACACAAAGCCCACGTTGACGGATGAAAAAGGGTTTTGGTGCTTTTGTGATGCATGATGGGATTATCCTGTCAGAGAGGGTGACGTCACTTTGATCCTTTGATCGCTTTGTGTCTGAATTCAAACACAGTCTGACTTTTATCTTCGCTCCTGCTGCACTACTAACTGGGACATTTTGAAGCTTAAAGATCGACTAACCAGGTCGTTTTTTTATACATATTTTTTACTGCAAGCATTGAGAGGTTTCCCCCTGATTTTACGTGTAAAGATCTGAAAGCATGACGTCACTAAATCCCCGCTTAAAACCCACCTGTTGTCCTTAGTGTTTTGACATCTTGTAGATTGTTGCTTTTATTGTTTTTAAATGGTCTATTGTTTTAACTTGTACTTGTTTTATAGTGTGTGAGCTGAGCTGTGGGATTTCTGTATGTGTGTTTGTTTATTTGTCTGTACAGCACTTTGGTCTGGAGGTTTTAAAGTGCATTTGATCTAATTTTATAAATAAAAAGTATTATAATGATGAAATAAAGAGTGTTACCACGATCTCCAGGCCTCCGTCCACGGGGCTGTAGATCACTTTGTATCCCTGCACGTTCCCATCAGCTGGGCTCCAGCTCACCGTCAGGGTGGTGATGGAGGGGTCGATCACCTGCATGTTGCCCACGCCACTCAACGGCACTACGGCAGGGAAATGACATTAATTTATATCATATTATTACAGACCTTCAGGTGGAAGTATTGGAGAACAAATACTTTGTTACTGTACATGTTTCTGGTATCAGTACTTTACTCCACTACTGATTTTTCTGACGACTTTTTACTTTCTACTTCTTACATGTTGAACACAAATACCTGTACTTTCTACTTCTTACATGTTGAACACAAATACCTGTACTTTCTACTTCTTACATGTTGAACACAAATACCTGTACTTTCTACTTCTTACATGTTGAACCCAAATACCTGTACTTTCTACTTCTCTCATTTTCCAAACAGGCTGGTTCCTTTAGTTTGAATGTGTGTTTGGTGGCGTGATCATTATTATTTAGAGTCATTGTGTGCCTATTGATTTGAACACGATCCGTGTATCCATCATTTCCTGGTCTTCTCTAAAGAAGAGGGACCAATGAAAACGTTGTCATGTTGCCGTTGTTCAGCATGGAAACATTCATTAGCTAACAATGACATTATTGTTCTATTAATATAAAGGGAGGTCAGGTACTCTTTAAAACAGCTGCTAGTTATGGGTACTTTTTACTGAAGTACATTTCAAAGCCTCTTTACTTTTACTTGAGTAAAGAAGTTTAGTCAGTACTTCTACTTTCACCAGAGTATTTTTAAACACGAGTATCTGTACTTCTACTTGAGTAAAGGATGTGTGTACTTTTGCCCTCTCTGATTTTAATCCACAATCCAAGTATTTTTTCACTATAGATGCAACGATCAATCTGCCACCGTCCGTTAGACCAGTGGTTCCCAAAGTGGGGGGCGTGCCCCCCCTGGGGGGCGCAGAGGCATGACAGGGGGGGCGCGAGAGACCAGGAGGAAAAATGGTTATTAAAAATCAAATAAAAAGATAAAAAAAAAAAAAAATAATATGATAATGATGCCCTCAAAGTGCACCAGATTGATGCATTTAACTTCAATATTTAAAAATAAATCTTCCCGGGGGAGCTTGCCCCCGGACCCCCCTATGTGAGGTCCACACACCACCTATAAAAATAGCACTTTACCCCTGCTTACATCTATGTGCCGTGAGCTGATTATCGAGCCTTCATTGTAACAGTCCCGGGTACACTGTGTATTTGCGTGGGGAGTGTGGCAGTAGAAAGTTCCACTGTAGCGCCCGGTACATTAATGGGAAACCCTAAATGTTTGAGCACCCTCTATGAAACATCAAGCTACCCCACAGCACCCCAAAATAAATCTCTGGCGCCGCCACTGAGCCTGACTTGTGTTGGGGGGGCCCGACTTTTTTTTTCCTCCAAAGGGGGGGCCTGACAGAAAAAGTTTGAGAACCACTGCGTTAGACTAATATATCCAATGTCTGTCTTAAATGAGCTGAAATCAAGTCTTTAAGGAGCTGTAGGAACATCTTCAAGTCCCAAAATTAACCATGAAGAAACAACTTGTTTCGACAGATCCGGACTTTACATGTTTTTAAGTGATCTTTGTTCGACTGTAGTTTCTTTAGTTATTTTCTACTGTCTTTTTTTTTCACTTTTTACGACAGTTTTTTTTTTTTTATTATTTTCATTTTTTTTTCTCCTTTGTCTTTTTATATATTTTCTTTCAATGTATAGAAATCTTTTAACTTTAAATGTATTATTATTTTCATTTTTCACATTTTATTTCTATTAATGTTAGACATATTAACGATGTAGATATACAGCTTGTATACGTTTCTGAACATGACATAAAAGGGGGTATCGTACACGCCTCCCCTCTCTGGCGGGATTGTCATTCCTCACTTTGTTCGACTATCTTTTTTTTCATTTTTTCTGCTGTCTTTTTTTTCACTTTTTACGACAGTTTTCATTTTTTTTGACTTTCTCTTTTTTCACTCTTTGTGGATGTTGGTCTTTTTTCATTTTTGTTCCAGTGTCTTTTTTGTCCGTTTTATCAATTTCTTTCGACAGTTCCGGACCTGTCATTTTTTTCACTTTTTTAGAATCTTAGAAAGTAAGATAGACATCTTAACTATGTAGACACAGCTCGTATCGGTTAAGCGTTTTGAGAACCAGGAAAAGCGCTATATAAATAACATGTCATATTATTATAGTTGCTGAACGTGAAATATAAGAGGTAACCTACGTGTCTTCCCGTTCTCTGACTGGCGCCTCCCCTCTCTGGCGGGATACACCGGCAGCACGGAGACGGTGTACGGCGTGTCGGGCAGAAGGTTCCTCAAGATGATGTTCGTGGTTCCTGCGGGGACTTGCTCCTGTTCACAGAGATTCAGAATAAAGAGTCATTCAGATCGGAAGTCTCCAAACAGGCCGGATCTGTTTTCATCCGGAAAAATATGTCCGACAAATTCAAATCTCTCGGGTCATAATGTCGGATACAAAAATAACCCCCTTTAAGCACAAAATTAAGTCAATTAAAAACAGGCAATTAACCAATTAAGACAATCTGAGCAGCAGACCTACATGTATTTTGGTAGTAGTTAAGTAGTTGTTATTCTGTCTTATTTCAGCAGGAACTTCTTTCTGTTAAGATTTACAGCGTAGTATTTTATGTATAAATATGTGTTTTTTCGTGACTTTGTGAGTAATTCTTCCTCAGAGTCTCACCATCTCCTCTCGGCCCCCGGCTGCAGGAACGAAGAACACTTTGTAGAGTCGGACGGCTCCATCCGCGGGGTCCCAGTTGACCTTCAGAGAGGTCATGGTGGGGTCGCTCACCCGCAGGTTCTTCACCCCACCCAGAGGTCCTGGACAAGTTAAGAGATAAGATAAGATAAGATAAGATAAGATAAGATAAGATAAGATAAGATGGATCTTTATTAGTCCCCGTGGGGAGATTCAGTATTTTAACAGCAACAGGGTGAGAATGAAAAACAGCACAGATTCACACAAGATTAGAGATGAATATGAATTAATGTTGATTGTGTATATATAGGTATATACATATTTGTATACATATTTGTATTTTTGTATTCGAGATTGTGGGAAACGGTATTTCGATCACAAACTGAAAGATTGACAATAAAGTTGACTTTGACTTTGACAAATAAAATGAAAGATACAATTAAAATGATATACAGTTAAATAACTTTAAATTAAGAAATGAATTAAAATGAACATACTGTATATACATATTTGGGTCATATATACATATAAGATAAGATGTATGTGTGTCGGTAAAAGTTATTGTGAAAACAGAGTGTATTTTATGTCCAGTACTTGTGTCACATTGTTGACCCACGAGGGCAGGTTTAAGAACATGTTGTTTTGTTTTGTCAAAGAACCAGATTGTTTAACTTTCACAAGGTCGGACTTTCTAGGACTTTTTTCCGTCAGCGTTGTCGTCTTACGTGTCTTGCCGTTCTCAGTCATGGTCTTGCCGTCTCTGCCAAGGTAAACAGGAACCAGAGAGACGGAGTAGAGCGTGTCAGGCTGCAGCGAGCGGAGCACGGTGCTGGTGGTTCCTGCAGACACTGTTTCCTGAAGTAAACAAATCACACACATCAGCTGCTGACACACGCAGCTATGGCAGGATGATCAGCTTTAAGAAGGCCTTTCTGCACACGTGCATGCCTTAATCAAAGACAATGTTTAAGTTCACACCCCTTGTTGTTAAATACTAACTCTGTGCAATATGTGCAATATATATATATGCCGTTAATAACTGTGCAACATAAACCTGGCTTCTATGTCTTCAGAACTGTTACAGGATGTGTATTTTGTAAATTGTGTAATTTTTTCATGCATGCTTCTGAGTTAACTGTGGCTCTTTTCTGCTGTAACAAATGTACATGTCCCCTGTGTGGGACGAATGAAGGTATTCTGGTTCTGATGCTTTAGTCTGAAACACTATGGAGAGACGTAGAGGTTAGTCAGGTGTGTTTCATGCTTTCTTCAAAACAACTAAGACGTTTTTATTATCGCAAAGGTTCAAGGTTAGTTCAAGGTTAGTTTATTTGTACAGCACATGTTAAGACACTTCAAAGGCAATTCATAAAAGCGATAAAATACTGGCTGCAGCTAAAAGTGCAAAGATAAGGCTTAAAGGGTCTCAGGATAGGCTGCATTAAAGAGAACCCAGGGTTAAAGCAAAGGACTTTAAAGCTCTCCTATTGAGCAAAATGCACTTTTCGATGTCTTTAAATAATCTTTAAATCTTTCAAATGTCCTGTCTTCATGCACAAAGGTACAACATGTCATCCTGTTCCCTACACACACTCAGCTCACAGGAAGTGGTCCTACCAGTCCTACCATGCTCTCAGCTCCTCCTGCAGCGGGGACATAGATCACTTTGTACTCCTTCACTCGGCCGTCAGCCGGCTCCCAGCGAGCGTTCAGAGTCGTCATGGTGGGGTTCAACACCTGCAGGTTCCTCACCCCCCCCAGGGGCTCTGAGCGGGAGCAAACACAGCTGGTTACTACCAACACTTTATACACATATATGGCATGGCAAGTTTATTTATATAGCACTTTTCAACACAAGGCAATTCAAAGTGCTTTCCAAAAGACACTAAGAGCATAAAACACATCAGAAACATTCAAAAGCAAAGATAATAAAACATGAATAAAAGTTACAGTGCCGTGTGAGTTGTGAAAAGTCTTCATCCTGGATTTAAAAGTAGTCAGAGTTGCAGCGGACCTGCAGGTTTCTGGGAGTTTGTTCCAGATATAAGACAAGACCCCTAACCACATTCTCACATCCCTCTACCCCTATAGTCTTCCCGTGACATTATAGTTCTTTTGCCACTTTTCTAACCTTTTTATATTCCTTTCATCCTTCTCTTTCATCCATTGTGCATCCCCAGACAACATGTTCCCGTTTCACTGTTACGTGAACCCATCTGAATGTGTTGTAGAATCTGTTTTACAGTAATCATGTGTTTTAAGCCATACTAGAGAGTATTCATTTAGTTTCTGAAAGGAGGCATACCTATTTCTGTGGCCAACAGTTGTCTACATTGGCCTGTGAGGTATATCAGCAGAAAAGGGTCATTGAATCTAGGATTATTCAAAATCTGGGGGGACGGAAAATGCAATATAATACTGTATCAGGTCAGGAAGAGTTCAGCTACGCATGCAGTCTGAGGAGTGTCTAAGCTGTACGATTCTCTTAGTCTATAGGCATTACACTAGTGACTGCTTTGCTGCAAGGTCATGTGTCTCTTATAATGCTGTACAGCGATATCATATTTAACTTCAACCATCTCTGTGTTTTATTGATTCTTCTTTGTCTTATTCTTTAATGTTGTTAGTGTTACGAACCGTCCACACAGCAGCGTTAAAAAAATCTTGGAGGTGGGCGTATCTGAAGCTTGGGGATTTTTTGCGAGCAAGGCACCAACAACCAATCACATGAATCTCCCGCCCCCAACATACGAAGCAAAAAAGTTTGAAGTAAACTGAATATAAACTCCCCAAACAGGCGAAAACCTACCACTGTCTCTGCCACCTCCCTCCATGCCTGGCTCCTCCGGTTTATATCCCGGTAGGTAAATAGGGACTGGTCATAAAGCACCGGGTGATTCCCTACCGCTAATTTCTCCTCCATTTTTTGGAATATGAGGAAATGACCTGCGGTATGTCTCTCCCAGCATACACGCCGTTTGATTGGCTAGCGCTTGAACTGTCAGATTTGCATACACGGGATTTGATTGGCTGACGCTTCCACCTCAGCCTCAAAAGTTGAACATTGCTCAACTTTGAATCCTGAAAATCCTGAAAATCTCCGCTCTGCTTCCCACAATGCAGTTCGGCGAAAAGTGAGGCAAAGTGACGTCACCCCATTCAAAGTGAAGCGTTCCAAGATTTTTTAACGCTGCTGTGTGGACGGTCCGTTACGTCAAAACTGGAACTCTCGACCCACTCAAATCAAAGACAAACATACATATCCCACCTTTACAGCTCACTTAAAAACATGTGTGTTACATGTTGTGATCGTGGACCCCTGGTTTCTGTTTTGATTGTGACGTGCTATATGTGACATGTATGTAGTAACGTGTGTTGTTTGCATTTTATTGTTCTCTTTTATCCTCTCGCCTCTATCTATTTGTCTTCCATCCTTTCTTTGTAACTAATGCTGTTGATGTGTTGTGATTTTAAAAAGGTGTCTTTTATCATCTGGCCGGGGACAACAGCTGGAAATTAGCAATGTTGGCTAAAGCTGCTCCATTTACTGTTTTAGTGACAGTTGATCAATGGGGACTGTCCACGACACTATGAACAAATACACTAAACTAAATGCACAATGTTTTTGTGGTGTCTCTTACTGGTCTGTCCCTCTCCGGAGATGTCTCTGCTGACTCCTGTTGGATAAACTGCTGCCACCGTGATGGAGTACTGGGTGTCTGGATCCAGCTTCTGCAGGATCACGCTCGTCTTCTTCCCGCCAACCTGCGTCTGTGAAACAGGAAACAGGAAGTCAGCAAAATGCTTTATATCTCTTCAGAGCGACACGGCGTTCATCAACAGAGAGACGAGAGGCAGACACAGCTCGGACAGGTGTTAATGTTCACTGTCTCTGGCCTTTAATGAATACCAGCTGCAAAGACTTCAGGATTTCTTCTACTTTTTCTCCCAAAACAAACTATATTTGATCATAAAATATTATATATAAGGCATAAAAAGATATGTAGTCTTCCTTTACATTTGCTTTATTCCCAACGTGGACATTTACTATTTACTATATTGACATGTTTGGAGCATTATCCCATTAAATCCACTGAGTTACAGCAAGACGTGGAAATGTACGATTTTCCTAAGTTTTCCGAGCATTTTCCAACGTATTCCTTTCTGAGGTGCAATACCATCTGGTTTATAGCTATTATTCTTCCTGGTAGTTCACTATATTTACCAATGAAATAACATATATCATCAGCGTAGAACCACACCTTAAATAATATATAGTTTTCTGTATATTTGCACCATTCCCAAAGTGGACATTTACCATTTTCCTACGTTTCCCATTATATTCCTCTGTGAGTTACAGCAAGACCACCTGGTTCACAACCATTAACCCTCTCAACCGTCACTACACTTCATAATAAACTAACATTTATCATCAGCGTAGAACTGCACCTAACCCTAACCCTAACCCTCAAGACCACCTGGTTTATCGTGATAATTCCTCGAAACACTTCACTATATTTACCAATAGAGCATCATATATCATCAGCGTAGATCTGCACCTATAGAGTTCCATTATATCCGCACCATTCCCAAAGTGGACATTTTCCTACATTTCCCATTATATTCCTTTGTGAGTTACAGCAAGACCACCTGGTTCACAACCATTATCCCCGTCAACCATCACTACACTTCATAATAAAATAAAATGCATCATCCGCAGCGAACAGCACCTAAAGTCTTCCATTAATATTCGCACAATTCCCAATCCTATCTTCTATTTTCCTACATCTTTCCGCGCAGTGAGTAGACTCTGATCTGCACAAACAAGTGAAATCATCGCCTGCTGTCAGAGAAGAGACGACGACACGACGGCAGCTGCTCTCCGTCCAGGATCAGACGAGCTTCAGCCAGATTCAAAACCGCTGACATCATGATTCCCACTGTCATAACATCTCAGGGACACAATCAAATTCCTCTCGTACGTTTTTCCTTTCAACTTATTTCCACCGTGGAGTCACGCTGCAGGAATGTGAGACACCTCAGATCCAAACAAAACGTCAAAAAGTGACAAAGGACTCGGAGACAGCGCTGGAGGCGATCTGCTGAAATCCTTCAGGACGTCTCGGAGCATCTCAAGAGATTTGAAACCCAAACCTGGACTGACAACGCTGACGATGGGAATGATGGTGAGTGTCATTAGAGGAGGATTTCAGATCACAGTTCATCGATCTGAGGAAATACTAAATATGTGTTTTGTCTTCAACGTCATGTTGAAGACAAAACACATATTGAGTATTTCCTCAGATCGTAGGAGTCGATCCAGACTGGGAGACATTTGACTTTAAGAGGAACGACTTTTCTAATACACTTATCCGATTTATTTATTAAATGTATAGTTATTTAGTTTACTAAAATATAACTTTGGTTGTTTTTTGGGTACATTTTGGTAAATGCTGTTTTTTAAAGTTTGTGTTCAAGGAGGTGTTTAAAAAAAAATTTAAAGCACCAAAAAGCCTGTCCCTTATTGGGAGATCAGTCTAAGTGTAAGTGTAGTTTTTTAGTTTATCAGGGTTAGGGTGTGTCTTTAATTATTGGGTCAAATTGCAGAAATGTGCAGGAAGTATTAATGCAATACAAAATAAGCTTTGTTATAATCAGAGCACTTCTGCGTTTCTTTAAAGTTGTCATTGTTTTTGGACCTTAAATCCAAAAAGCAACACTATTTTTTCAGCGAAAATCTGATACTAAAAAGGGGAATAATGTGAGTTTAGGCACAAAAAAAGCATGGAAATCCTTAAAAGTGGAGGTCAATAAGTTCTTCAAATGTGCTTTAAGATCACTTGTATACTAATTGTACATAACTAAAGGTTAAATTGCATGAATTTAGTGGAACTTGTGTCCTTTTTCCTGCAAGAAACATCTATCTTTTCACCAATTCAACTTTTTTTTCAGTCCTTTAAAATAACTTTAACATTCCTTACTCTCAATGATCTATTCTGCAAAAACTCACGAGGATCAAAATCGCCTTTTAATCCTTTCAGCTTCTTTCCGTGCTGAGTTTTATGTCTTTTTTCCCGGTTTGGAACATCCTGAATGTGTTTCTCCAGAGGGACGGGGAGGCCTTCCCATCATTTGGAGCAGATCATAATTGATTTGTCTGTATGACTGCGCTGGGACTCGTAGAATCTAACAGATTTCAAGCTCCCCATCACATTGAGATATCCATCAATGTGTCATCGAGCGAGGGGAAGAACGTTGGAGATGTTCCCGGTGGTCTGAGAGCACACCCCGTAAAGAGTCCAACAAAACCTACGATTGTTCGACTACATCGGGAAAATCCACCCTAAACAGGAATTCAGTCATATTGTTCCTCTAATCCTTCAGAAACAGATCAGTGTGTTCAAATAAGTGTGGAGCAGAGAGAGAGAGATGTGTGTTCTGGTAAATCTCACATTTTATAAAACAGTGCTCGGACTAAATCCAATTAAGGTGTGAAACGTTGGTTCTACATCTCTGCAGAGTGTCTTTAACACAGCTGCAGCTTTAGTTTCAAGATCCAAGTCGTTATCATCATGAGCTCAGCAGCTTCAGTTTAGATATGGCAATGAAAGACTGAAGTCCTCCTCCAACAGAGCAACATGAATATGTATCGGACATAAAACAAATAAAACAGATAAAATAGTGCAAGAGAATGTTTGGAGATGTGCAAGAAAATACAAATAAAATAGAGACAGTGCAAAAAGAGTCTATATACAAGAACATGGAATGTGATATAAAGATAAATAAATAGCAAGATGCAAACAGATGGATGTTCGTTAAAAAGTTCAGGTGTTTAGTAGTCTTTAGCCTCTCATGTGTGTGTTTCTAAGACAGTACTTCACTTTTTAAATGCATATCTTTGAGTTATGCAAAGACATTTTAACCGCCTTGGTAATCGAGGAGAAAAGCTTGAAAAAAATACGTTTTACTATAAATTTGCGAACCAAATATTAGCTTCCACTTTTTAATTTGTGCACAAAGCTGGTCGTTTCATACGCCGACGATACCATTGTATTCCTATTTAAAAGAGAAAGTAATCCTTGTGTTGATTTACATACTGTAATTTTACTTTCTTCTGGTCTTTTAAATGCATTTAGTTGGTTATGCAAATCAATTTTACCAGCATTTAGGATTAGACATAACAGAGAAAATAATGAGTGCCACTTTGAATCCGTGCAAAGAGCGTGTCGTTGCGTACGCTGACGACACCACCGTATCTATATCCCAAATGTGCAGTTTATGTCGCTTTAAATGCTATAAACCCAGCAGTTTACTCACTGTGAGTGGCTCTCCTCCAGTACCGGGCTTGTAGATGATTTTGTAATTCTGCACAGCGCCGGGAGCCGGGTCCCATTTCAGCGTCAGAGAAGACGTGGTGGCGTTAAAAACCCTCAAGTTTTTGGGAGGTTCAGCGGGCACTGGGAGAAAAAAGATAAACCCAGTGAGAAAAAAACAGGAACATCAGAGCATGTGTTGGGTTAGCGATGGAGATGATGGTGATGGTGAGGATGAAGATGGCAGTGATAATGATGATGATGATGATGCTCCCACAATGGCGCAGTTTTTAAAATTGCTGTAGGGGTAAATGTTAGGATGAAAGCAGCGAATCAGGAGCAGAGCAGGAGGTCAGTGACTTCTCATTCAGATCCTTTTAAAAGTGTAATATCTTAAAATCAATATATGTTTTTTTTTATATTACAGTTAGCGCTAAATTGTGCCAACATAATCAAAAATGTCCCTTTAGCATTTAGGGATATCAATTACTTAAAGATTGTAGGACATTTTGAATTAACTTTAAAAATGTGTGATTGTAAAAACGTGAGTCGTGGCACCTTTCATAACAAACTTGAAGATTATAACGTACTTTTTGGGGGGTAATAATGACACATTTTGATAATAAAACAAATAAAAAGCAGTTTTTTATAGGAGTTGGAGCACTGGTGGGCAAAAGCTACATGCTAATCACGCTACATACAGCGCTAGCGAAGCAGCGGGTGAGCATGGCAAGCTGTAAAGTCCCACAGATTCACAAAAAAATGAAAAAAACTAAAGCGTGATTCACCCACACTCTAATCAGATTTGAGTCTCTGGATTTTACGTTAAAACACTATTTAAGTGAGTTATGACATAAATTACTGCACAGCTTTCTGGCGTTAGCTAGCTAGCTCACATGTCAGTTAGCATCTAACTCAACAACACTGACTAAAGCAACTTCACACCCGCCCGGCCAAGTTATTATTAGGTAACAACAGCAGAACAGTGGGGGGTTTGTATTCTAAACTGCAAGTGAAAATATTGTAGCCTACGGGTTATTATCAGTTTTGGTAATGCTAACATGCTAACATGCTAACGACAGGTGTGAAGATAGTCCGCTTTACTCTTCTACCATCTATTTGTATACCTACACTGCAGTTTGGTAACGGAACTAATCTTGTATTTGGTCAGACTCAAATATGTATATATGTTCATTTAATTCATTTCTTATTTTAACAGTTACTTACTTGTAATTGTAATTGTATCTTTAATTGTATTAATCTTGTGTGAACCTGTGCTGTCCTGTTTTTCAATCTCACTCTGTTGCTGCTTAAACTCCTGAATTTCCACATAATGAATAGAGGTCCATCTTATCCTATCTTATTGTATACCGTCCGAACCATTAGCTGAGTTTTGCCAACGACTGTGTGTCCGCAGTAACGTTGCTCGTAAAACAATAGAACAAAAAAGTTATTCGATTATACAAATCATACATTTGATGAGACACTATTTTGGTGCTGTAACAAATAAATTTCGATTAATATCTACAGTTTATTTTGGAATACAATTGGGGAAATACTAGATGAATTGATGAAAGGTGAATTAGAGTAAATAAGAAGTACACTGAGCCCCATCCCTACTGCAGAAACACTGAATAATAATGCAAAAAACATGCATGAACAACGATGTGAGGTGAACGCTGATGGAGGATGAAGTGAATGAAACGTATAGTTATGATGAAATGGATAAAAAAACAACACGATGACGATGGGATCCACACAAATCAACCTGTCTTATATCACATACCCTTCGGAGCGTCTAACACTGGAAAGAAACGTTGAGAAAACAACATGGTTATTATTTGAACGTCTGTTGGATAATATAATAATAATAATCTTTATTTGTATAGCACCTCCAACAACAAGTGCAGTCCAAAGTGCTTCACATAGACATTTCACAGACAATTGATATCACACAGAATACAGTTACCAGTCAAAGACATAACATGAAGAGAGTGAAATGTGTGTGTTTTCAGGAGATAGTGAGGATGCTTACGTGTTCGCTCGTTGCCCATCAGGTCTTCGCTCTCGGACTCGTCGGGGTAGATGGCCGTGACGGTGACCGAGTACTCCGTGTCCGGGTCCAAGTTCTGAAGAACGTGAGACGTCTCGTCGCTGTTCAGGATGGCCTGAGGACAGAGAGAGAGAGAAGAGGAAGAAGGAGGGTTTTACGATGTGATCGGAGGATGGACCTATGTTTACGTTGTGTAGCCGGAGAGTCTTGGTGGTTAGAGAAGATGGGTTTTTGTTTTTAAGAACAAGCGAGAAGTCGATGAAGATGAAGAAGATGAAGAATCCAATCCAACTTTATTTATATAGCACTTTAAAACCTCCAGACCAAAGTGCTGTACAGAGAGATACATCACATATACAATCACACAGCTCAGCTCACAACACATACAAATACGTATAAAATCAGAGGACGAAAAAAGATGACGGAGAAGAAGAAGACGAAGGAGAAAGATGATAAAGGACAAGATGAGGAAGGAGAAGAAGGTGATGGCGAAGAAGGAGAAGACGAAGGAGAAGATGATGAAGACGAAGGAGAAGACGAAGGAGACGATGAAGGAGAAGACGAAGGAGATGAGACAGTTCACAGAAAGCCTAAATGGATATTTTATTATAATAACAAGCAAGATTTTGTTATCTGTTTTCCTTCAACGTCCATCTGTTGCTCTCATTTCTCATCACACCACCATGTGCTCATCAGTCAGTCCAACATGGTGGTCGGTAAATTATGAAACAGAAAGCAACGTCTCGTCCTTTTAGTTCAGAAATAATACTGATTGTTAGGAAGATGATCTGAGACACGACGCATTGTGCAGCGTTCAAATCAACCAATAAAGAAAGTTTAATAGACTGTAGTAAACAACCTGGTCTGGATTGTTGAACATATGGATATGTTTTTACTGAAGGGGAGGCCAGAGTATAAGGAGGAGAAAACAAAGAGAGCATTGTTGTTTATATTTGGCAAACACAACAACTTGTTTATTGAGGCACGTCGAATCTGAGCAACCACAATCAATCTTTCTTATGATCTTATTGTCTGAGACAAATCCTCCATGACAGTTCTCCAGTGTTGTCATTTCAACTAAAAGCATTTGTGGTTTTATCATCGTGAAATAATCCAGCCAGTTAACCCCGTAAGGCCCACTGTTGTCATTTTACAACATTACTTTAAGCTATCCTAAAAAAGTCAGTAAATGTTTTTGTTTTTTTAAAGACTATATTGACATAGTCAAAAGGTCCTTTTGTTCAGCCTCACTATGCTATTGGGTAGTACATGTGTGTATAGGTCCTGCCCTGTTCAAAAGAATTCAATGGTGCTCTAGGAGGAGATTCAGGTGATAAGGTGGGGGGGGTTACCTTGGTTGCTGATTGGCTAATGGTTACACAAGACAAAGCATCGTTATGACATCATAAAGTGGCCAAAATCTGATCAGCTCATTTTCAGACAGGTTTTTATAGAAATGGATCAAAAAGAGAGAGAATCTTTGTTCCTGAAACTTTCAGAGTCTCTTTCCACAGAGTGGACACATGTTGATGTAGAAGAGACATGAAGAAGAGGGGACACATGTTGATGTAGAAGAGACATGAAGAAGAGGGGACACATGTTGATGTAGAAGAGACATGAAGAAGAGGGGACACATGTTGATGTAGAAGAGACATGGAGAAGAGGGGACACATGTTGATGTAGAAGAGACATGAAGAAGAGGGGACACATGTTGATGTAGAAGAGACATGAAAAGGTGGATTTTGCATAATAGGTGACCTTTGATGTCTTTCATTGTTGTAAAGCACTTTGAATGAACTTGAATGAAAGGTGATTTATAAATAAACTTGCCTTGCCTTGGTCTACAGTTAGTACAGTAGGTTTCTAAACTCAGGATCATGAATGCATACGCTAAATCTATACGGGCTGAAACCAAGTGTCCAACTTACAAACTCTCGGTTCTGCTCGCCCCTCTTTTTCCATCCGATGCGATAGAGGGCCACGTCGGGGGCGCCGTGCTGCCAGGTGGTCCTGAAGGAGGTCTGGGTCACCTCAGAGAACTGGAGGTCCTTCGGAGCGGGAACAACATCTGAGCAAAGAGACAGAGAGTCAGCCTTTCTGTTTTCATCAACCGTGTTTCTTTAAAGGTCTCCTATCATGCTATTTTTAGCCATATATCATAGGTCTCAGATATATAAAAATATATAAAAAAACATGTCTATGAAGTGTTTTGCTCAAAATACCAAACAGATAATTCATTTTAGACATCCCTCAAATCCCTCTGTTTCAGCCCTGTTAGAGAAACGCTGATTATGGGTTACTTTAGATTTATTTTAATTATAGTGTATGTAAATAATAAGATTTGTATGATGGAAAAAGCACAAGTGTGGTCAATATAGTCAATAAATAAAAAGTAAATTCGATATATTTAAATATATATTTATATATATTTAAAAAACGTTTTTTCTCCAACGTGTCTTTTGTGTCTTCAAATAAACGATTAAATGAAAAAAAAAAAAAAATCAAGGATTCTCTCTGAAACAGTATGGAGCTCAAACTCATACTCTCTCCAGTACAGGTTAGCTCTGAGTGTTAGCGATGCTAATGTAAACACAGACCATATTACTTCCAGAACACGTCTCATTGTTTCTGACAGCAACGTTTCTGATTGGCCCGTGGGTGTAAAGCCCGCCCACATTTTAGTAATGTCGTCATGACGCAGCAAATCTGGATCAGCTCCGTTGTTCCCCCGTTTTTAGAGATGTGGGTACGGAGGAAAAGAGAGAGGGGCTTTTGTTTTCTGACGCTGCGTGAGTTCCCCGACACACCGGGGACACATATTTATGTATAAAAGACATCAAAAAGTGCATTTTGCATGATAGGAGACCTTTAAAGGGTGTACTGTGTATCATCTGACCTGTGATGGCGGTGCCCAGCAGGGGGTTGATGGGACCCTCGTCATACACGGGGGTCACGGCCACATCGTACTCCGTCTGGGAGATGAGGCCGGACAGATCCAGCGTGATGATGTTCCCGTCTACTTCAGCCTGCAGGAGACAAAATATAGTATTACATGATAAGCTATTACCTTACATACCTCTTATTGAGATGTCTTTGCTTTCAGTAACAAAAGATCCTTCTCTGCCTCAAAGGCTGCCGGTTTAACACCGAAAACCACCAAGGTTTTAAGTCTAAGCTTTATTGTACTTTTTATTTCCCTTTGAATTAGTTCTTTTGTGTGTTGTCTTCTGTGTGTACGTAAAGACTTCGTGTTTAAAAGAATCATTTCAGGGTAGAGATCCAGGGAAAAAAGATGCTCTGGTGAATAAAACGCTGAGTCATGTCTCCTCAGTTGACTTCTCCAGCTTGGTACGGTAAGCAGAATAAAATCTCTCAGCAGGCATTAATCCAAAGTGTGTTTCTCTTCTTCTGCAGACACAGGAAGTCTTCATCAGTAAGAGGAAATGATCCGCTGCATGTCGTCCATCACAGCTTCCTGGAAACGTCTGAAGGTCTTCTTCCAAGCACCAAACCTCGACTTCAGACTGTTTGTCCTCCGCTGACATCCCAGAGACAAACGATGAGGACGGAGAGGTGTTCGGATCCAGCCCTCTCTCCCTACGGCTTTCTCAGAAACATCCTCCAGAAGAGAGGAGGAAGTCTGGACTCTTTCCAGAACAAACATAGAACTGCAAGCGTCACCCTAAATCTGATTTCATCACCCAAAGGTCTTCTCTTTTGTCCCAAAAGGAGAGGGTGGTTAGATTCGGTAGATAAATAAAATGATGTTACGCCAAAAACCATGTTTATTTTGTATTTGACTTAATATCCATACTCACCAATTAAGCTGTAATGGGTGCTTATTTTAATGATCAATTTATGCTTTAATAAATGTGTTTATTTGTGAGTGTTTATTTAGCAAATTGGTTCTTTAGGCTCCAACTAAAGTCTTGAATTTCCAATTAATTTTACACTGATTGATAATGAAACTTCTTCCCAATTTGGGATCAAAATGTACATCTAATCTTATATTATCTATTCTTATCTTAAACTAAACATAGAAAAGCATCAAAATCTGAAAGATTGAACTAGTTTTCTGTCCATATTCTACCATCTTTTGCATTGCATTTCTCAATGAAAACGATCTAAAAGACACATTTTTTAACCTTAAATCTGGTGCATTTGGTGTATTTTAAGAGTGTGTTAGGTCTAGATCTTTATATTTAACAAGCTGAATCAGAGAATAATGGGTGTTTTTGCATCCAGAAAGGTGAGTAAACTAATGACCTTAAAAGCTTTGTTCGTATGTATTTCTCAGTGAAAACGTTCTAAAAAGACACATTTTCTAACATCAAATCTGGTGCATTTGGTGCATTTTAAGTGTGTTTTTAACCCTGGATTCCTGATTAAACAGACGTTGGCTCAGCTCACCTCCTTCAGGTCTCCCTCGTCTGGTTTGTAGGTCACGATGTATCTGCGAACAGCTCCAGGAGCGGCGTCCCAGCGGAGCTTCATGGCGCTGTGAGTCACGTCTGTGATCGTGAGAACGCCAACGGGAGGCACCGGCACTGAGGGAGGAGATTAAAATAAAACATGAGACTGAAATACAGAGGTGGGAAGTAGTGGAGTACAAATACTTTGTTACTGTACTTACGTACATTTTTCTGGTATCAGTACTTTACTCCACTACTTATTTTTCTGACCACTTTTTACTTTGACTTCTTACACTTTGAACACAAATACCTGAACTTTCTACTTCTTACATGTTGAACACAAATACCTGTACTTTCTACTTCTTACATTTTGAACCCAAATACCTGTACTTTCTACTTCTTACATTTTGAACCCAAATACCTGTACTTTCTACTTCTTACATGTTGAACACAAATACCTGTACTTTCTACTTCTTACATGTTGAACCCAAATACCTGTACTTTCTACTTCTTACATGTTGAACCCAAATACCTGTACTTTCTACTTCTTACATGTTGAACACAAATACCTGTACTTTCTACTTCTTACATGTTGAACCCAAATACCTGTACTTTCTACTTCTTACATGTTGAACACAAATACCTGTACTTTCTACTTCTTACATGTTGAACACAAATACCTGTACTTTCTACTTCTTACATGTTGAACACAAATACCTGTACTTTCTACTTGTTACATTTCCCAAACAGGCTGGTTCCTTTAGTTTGAATGTGTGTTTGGAGGCGTGATCATTATTATTTAGAGTCATTGCGTGCCTATTGATTTGAACACGATCCGTGTATCCATCATTTCCTGGTCTTCTCTAAAGAAGAGGGACCAATGAAAACGTTGTCATGTTGCCGTTGTTCAGCATGGAAACATTCATTAGCTAACAATGACATTATTGTTCTATTAATATAAAGGGGGGTCAGGTACTCTTTAAAACAGCTGCTAGTTATGGGTACTTTTTACTTAATTTCAAAGCCCTCTTTACTTTTACTTGAGTAAAGAAGTTTAGTCAGTACTTCTACTTTTACCAGAGTATTTTTAAACATGAGTATCTGTACTTCTACTTGAGTAAAGGATGTGTGTACTTTTGCCATCTCTTCTGAAATATAATATCACACTCGTTCCCTCCATCACTGTCTGAGTATGTTTGAAGAAGCCAGGACTTTCTGAAGAGCTGAAAAACAGACTTTTTTTTTTTTTTTAAAGTGGATTTTCTGTTTTTCACTGCATCTGTTTTCTATCTATGAGCTCCGAATCCAAAAACTCCAGGAAGAGGGAGACGGGATCCAGAGCTTAAAAAATATCTGCTGACATGGAAATAAAAGTCAGATGAATTCTGGTAAACTTCTTAGATCCCAATAAAAGGAAGTTGCATTTTAAAAAGATCTTGAAAACATCTCGTAGTGGACATAACATGGGAGTTATTCCCTGATAAAAAACTTGCTAAAAACTCTTAATTAGCACTGATTGTGTTGTAGCTTGACTAACTATTTCATAAAACCAACAGAATTAATCCTATTACTTGCAATATATATAATAATTATGACTAGTGATATTTTAATAGATTAAGTAGTAGTATATCCTCTTTGACTGAAATGTGAGTATATATTTTAGAAATATTGCCATGTTTGTGTATCTTAGAGAAACTGAGCTCTTACAGTGACAGGATATTTAGTTAGTTTAATTTTCATTTATTCCCTTTTCTTGTTGGGAAGTTTTCAATACATTTTGAGAGAAATACTGCCAATGTCATGTTATATTCAATACAGATGCTAACGTTCATTTTCAGGGTTATTTGAGTGTTTTTTAGTTGATGTGATTGGTCAACCGCTTAGAGATGTCCCGCCCCTTAGCATATCACGTACAATGTGTTGGAGCGCTAGCCAATAGAAGCGTGAGTGTTAAATAGTGATGTCACTATGTTCAGGAAGTAAACAAAAGAGTCCAATGGAGGCGTTTCTGGGGGGGAGGACAGGGATGTTAGCCTTTGCAGACTATTTACATGCACTAAACCTATACAACACACTACAGGAGAAGGAAAACCCACAAAAATGTTGCACAAAGATCTGGATTTAAGTGGATTTTGGACTTTTTGAAGTTGTCTTATTAAACCAGTACACATGCAGCAACCTATTTTAACCTCTTTTACTTTAATGATTAAATCGTGACTCACAGGTGACCCCTGTGCCCTCCAGGGCGTCGCTCGCTGCCTCTCCATGCAGAGCGTACAGACTGATGGAGTATGCCGTGCTGGGAGTCAGCTGCACCAGCTGGACGTCGGTCACCTCTCCTCCAACACGAATCTGCACAGGAACAGAGAAAAGACATGTGAGAGAGTCTTCTTTTTTACTGAAATCCTTTCTGAACAAACCAGACTCTGATCCACCTGTGAAGAAAACACACACACACACTTTCCGCTGTATTAAAGATTCATTTAAAACGTTGGCATTTGAAGCCAGTATTTTGTAGAATTCGATTTTTATTTCTATTTGAGATGTTTACATTACATACTTTTGGTCCTGGGATGTATTAAAAACCAGGCCAGTGTTCATGTGATATTTGGGTCAATATGGGTGCTTCCAACATTGGGTCAATAGTTGGTCCCTTTACTTTAATTAAAGCTAACTCCATTAAGAAATACATTTCCCAGTTTAGTTTGGAAGATTCAGACCTAGTTAATTAGTTTTGGATGCATCTATGTGAATCAAAATCTCTGCAGCCGATAACTGAAAGCCTTAAATCAGGAGGGACTTGTAGCTGCAAATTCATGCCAATAGGTCTAGGTTGTTTGGCCCTGAAGTGTGTACTTAACATACATTTTCCAAAGTGTTGCACAGCTGTTGAATGATTTTTTTCCCAATATCTCACAGTATTACGAATTGGCTAACATCCTATTATGATCCTCAAAATGATAACAAGCTGTGCTAAAACAAATACACATCAGTAATTCATGTCAAATGAATCTTAAAGATATCTAACGCCCTTCATTTTGAGGTTCTGATTCACACATTGGGTGCATATTTTCCAGCAGAGACCACCTCTCTGTACATTAAATCATCCCTCTGCTGTGTAATTGCACATGCAGTTTAACACCAGCCGTTCCACTCGTTTAGCATCTGCTCTGTTTATATCATCCGATGACTTCAGTCCTCATGAGCTAATCCTTCCCATTACCCAGCGAGCGTCTGACCGCTCTGCTAAAGGTCCACTTCCTGTTCTGAAAACGCACTCATCATATCGCCATCTGGAAGTATTCAGCTGCACGAGCAGAAGCCCACTCTTATAAAGTCAATGTGGAAACGCTGAGCACACAAATTAAGATGTGTGTGAGTTAATGGGGCTCCATGTGAGTGTTACTATCCCTGGTGTTATATTTTTCTGGTTTAGCTGACATTGTGGGGACAATCTGTTTACAGTCACATTATGGGGACAATATGTTGGTACCCCAGGTAAATTATATATAATTTAAAGGCAGAGGTAAGTCCAAGTAAGGTTCAATGGCATTTTAACGTACTTGTTTTGCTGACATCGTTGGGACCATCTGTTTATAGTCACATTATAGGGACTCTCATATGGGGAAAATATGTTGGTACCCCTGATAAATTATTCAATTTTAGTAAGTAAAGTTAAAATTCTCAATAAATACTTAGATTCCCATAATTTAAAAGCAGAGGTAAGTCAAAGTTCAATGGCGTTTAGCGTACTTGTTTTGCTGACATTGTGGGGACCATTTGTTATCAGGCACTTTATGGGGACTCACATTGAGGGACAAAACACTGGTACGCAAGGTAAATTATTCCATTTTAGTGATTACACCTTTTTGTTTTATGGCTAAGCTTAGGATAAAAGTTATATACCCAAAAAAATACAGATGGCGTTTAACGTACTTGTTTCGCTGACATTGTGGGGACCATTTGTTAACAGGCACTTTATGGGGACTCTCATTGAGGGACAAAATACTGGATGATAGTTTTAAAGTTTTTTTTAAAGTTTAGGGAAAAAGTCAAATTTCTCAAATTTTGCTTTTAATTAGTTCCACCATATCCCCCTGAAAACCTCACAAGTTGGATTTAAAAGGTCTCGTTACTCTACCTCCTGCTCCAGCTGAGGCTCGGTGGCGTTGGTGGCTCTGTACAGCATCATATATCCCGTCGCTCCCTCCGCTGCCCCCCATCTCACCTTCATGGTGGTCGAGGTCTCATCGTACACATTCATGTTCTTCACGGCTGAAAGTGGCACTGAGACGACAAAAACACAAAGTCAGACCGGTGAAAAGCACAATGTTACAGGCAAACATTCATCTTTTTGTCTTGGTTTGATGTTTTAATAGTACAAATCCAATGCTTAGATGTATTTTGAAGTATTACAAAAATATTTCTTGGACCAAAAGACTGACTGAGTGGGATAGGAATGACATTCTTCCTGATATTTGATATTTGGAGGTGGTTTTGGCACAGAGAAATGGATAATGATACAAACAGGCGAGAAACATCAAGGTCATATTTTAGAAAATCCCAGAAAGTCCCAAAGAGATCATCGAGTTTAATGCTTTTTGATGTGCAGAATATCTAGTATCACATTGTCCAGAAACAGCTTCTGGTTTTTGAAGGATTTTTTTTCTGGGCTCAAGGATATTTCTGCTGGAGTAATCAGATGTTTTGGATGTTATAACAAGGTTTGTAACAGGGGTTTCTACATGTGAGAGAATGTCAAAAACACACAGGGAAAAAAAGAAATTATGCCCATTGTATAAAAAATAATATAATCCAAAAGTCTGATAAGTCTAAATAAGTTGGTAACACCATATTAGCAAGTTGTTTTAAAACCCTTTCTCAGGGTCACACAGGGAAATCTATTTCTCACTCATTTTAGAAATCAAATCTATATACTGTATGTTAGTCATATAATTAAAAGGATTCATAACATAGGCCCCGCTCACACGGGACCGTTTGCGTTTATGCACAGTATGCGTATTTAAAAAAGTCTTCCGTTCACATGCATTTGTTTCATTTAACGTGTCTGTTCAAACGAGGCCGCTGGAAACGCTGTAGTACATATGCCGGGACTGTAAGTGGCGCTGTAACTTCCGCCAAAATACACCAAAAGCCGTGAAGAAGAGCAGCCCGAGCAGCCCCGCTGCAATGTTGCCATGGCTACCCTTCTGTTTAAGCCCCGCGGTGTATTTAGCAGCATGTAGTTCATGTAATTCTCCATGTCCACTTGTTGCTGATGGTTGTGGTAGAGGAGCTGTAGATTTTGCACTAATATCTGTAGCATGGTCAGTAGCAGTAGCACTAGCAGTAGCTACTGACAGGAGGACAGGTGTGTGGCGATTGCTGGTATTCAGCGGGATATAGTAATTTCCTCAGCATATGGATAAATGCAACGGGGAAGTTAACTGAAAGAAACCGAATCTGTGGATATTGCATCGAGAGGACGGCTCAGAAAGAGAGATATTCTCTACAAACACCGGGTGAGATCCTCCTTTGTCAATATAATGGATCAATGCATGAAATCTGACTCTGTTTATTTTGTTTAAGGAGTATATTGGGCGTTAACAATTCTGGTTTGCCTTTTATAATATTATTTCATTCAAGAACCCCTTGTGCGTTTAATTAACACAGCTATTTTTGATAGTTGCTTCAGCAGTGAGCAGGAGAGGTGCTATTTTTTTTTTTTTTCGCTATTTTTTCAGGAAATATTCGTATAGAGGTGATTACACGGACTCGGTTGACCCCCCAGAGCGTTTCGTTTGCAAATCTATCCACCTTGGGACCCGTTATCGTTTGTGGGGTCAGTTTCTATCGGCCTCGTGTAAATAATAGGGCTATACGCACGAGAAACTATGCAGATACAAGCAGTTTTCTCCTCGTGTAAACGGCGCCATACATTTCAAGGACTCTCCAGGCCCAATTCCTTTAAATGTAAGGACCCAACATTGAATGGTTTCTGACACAAACCAAGATCGGAAGATGTTGAGTTAAAAAATTGACAAAACTGTGGGAAACAGACATCTAAACTTAGCCTATTAAGTTAAAAAAAAAATAAAAATCGGACTTCAGTTTTCCTTTAATGCAGACAAACTATTTATGTCTATTATTATGATATATATTTTTTTTTATTTACCAACCTTCAAGGACCCAGAGGAACCATTGAAAGGCAGCCTTGGTTAAAAAAGCTGTTTGAAATTCGAAGAACATTCGGATTTCTTCCAAATAACCCTGTCGTTTTTTTGCATTAGAATGAGTTGAAAGTGAAAGATGTAATGGAATAAATAGTCTTGTGAAATATCGAACAATAAGTGTACTTTAAAACTGGATGTACGGGCATGATTAGACTCTCTTAGCACCAATAGAAAATGTTTTTAAAGCAAAATGTGTGGATATCTTTTTGGGCTTTTGAGGAGTGCAAACGTCTTCTCTCCTGCCAGGCTTCACACACTTTATTTTTAAGACACTGACACACTGCAGGCAGGACATTATGACCTAACTGAGTGTTGTTTTAAATAATGACACTAAATAAAGCCCCAGCTGCTGGTGCCACCTCACAATCAATTTCTGTTTTATGACAGTGGGAAAAGGCTCGTTGTTAAAATCAGCTGCACAAATAAAGCAAACATTAAAGGACAAACGAGCAAATAAAAGCTCTTAGATCTGTGCACTTAACACGTTGTTAAATGATATCAGTTTATTTAAGATATACGCACTAACCACAGCGCTGATAAATACTTTTTAACTGTTTGTCTGATTCCCATTCAGCCCTCCACAGCTTAGCATCAGCTCAAACCAATGCATAATGGGACGTGGTGTTTGTGTTAACTAGCTCCCCGCCTTAGATCAGACGCTAAATATATTTCTTTGTGTAAACGGTGATTTGCAGGAGGGAAATAAGAGAGTAAATACGTTAGAACGACGTGTGTGAAACAGGATAATGATGCAGAGAAATCTAGTTGTTTATCGCACAAATTATACAGTGGAGGAAACAAAAACGCTTTCCCACAACAGAGCGATGACGCAATCCGCCCTTAAGGCTCATTGTTAGTCATGTCTGTCGCCCCAAAGGGCAAAAGGGCGTCCAGAATGGGACATAAAAGGAAGTGGCACTTCACGTCACCACGCTAAGCTAAAGGTGGCTAATGTTGGGCGTGATGACGTTTACTCGTCTCACAAACTACTGTTATGCAAAGTTACAACACTTCCTGTTTCTACCGAAGACGGGGAAAGTATTCCTAAAGCTGGCTTACATCCTCCATATTAGGAGAATTCACATTTTTTGTAGAGTTTGTTGAGTCAAATTATCATGTAATCATTTAAAACATATAGTCTTATACTCTGATTGCCTTTTACTCTGTTAAATTGTATTTTTCGTCTTGTATGTGTTTAACAGAGACATGTTAAGGATTTACATTTCAGGAGGGAAAAGGAAGTAAAAGGTGGATTAAATGGTAAAGAACGTAAATGTTAAATGGTTAAGGACGAGGGGGTTTTCTGGTTTAATGATGGGATGGAGGACCAGTTCCTCTCATGAATATATAGAGAGACTGTAAGAAGAACTTCTTTATCCTCTGAGGATGAAGTTGCTCTGTTCCTGCATTTGAGATCCATTTCACTTGTGTATTGACTTTCTTTATTGCTTGATTAAATATAACAAAAGACAAACTTTGTCCAAGAATCATTTATCAATTTCTCTTAAGAATTTCCTCCACAGAGTTGAAGATGAAGAAGAGGAAGAGGAAACACTTACAGGTGGTCTCGGTGCCCTTCAGAGGCTCGCTGCTCACTTCGTCCAATATGGAGTAGACGTTAACGAGGTATTCGGTCAGAGGACTGAGACCCGTCAGCACCACGGAGTTCACCGTCCCGTCCACCAGCAGCTGAAATAAAAAAATATCTGTTATTAAACAGTGGAGGATAATTTCCCATAATTTGTTGTCTTTATTTATTAAAATAATTTCCCAATTTGGGATTAATAAAGTATATATATATATCTATATCTATCTATTGGCATGTGACTGAAAGAATATCGCTTTTATTTAACTTTTTTATGGTTATTTCATGTGTGATGTTCAGATGTATATCAGTACTTAGTGTCTCTACTTCAAAGAGTCCTCTCCTGCTGATGTTCAGGTGTATATCAGTACTTAGTGTCTCTACTTTAAAGAGTCCTCTCCTGCTGATGTTCAGGTGTATATCAGTACTTAGTGTCTCTACTTTAAAGAGTCCTCTCCTGCTGATGTTCAGGTGTATATCAGTACTTAGTGTCTCTACTTTAAAGAGTCCTCTCCTGCTGATGTTCAGATGTATATCAGTACTTAGTGTCTCTACTTTAAAGAGTCCTCTCCTGCTGATGTTCAGGTGTATATCAGTACTTAGTGTCTCTACTTTAAAGAGTCCTCTCCTGCTGATGTTCAGGTGTATATCAGTACTTAGTGTCTCTACTTTAAAGAGTCCTCTCCTGCTGATGTTCAGATGTATATCAGTACTTAGTGTCTCTACTTTAAAGAGTCCTCTCCTGCTGATGTTCAGGTGTATATCAGTATGTAGTGTCTCTACTTTAAAGAGTCCTCTCCTGCTGATGTTCAGGTGTATATCAGTATGTAGTGTCTCTACTTTAAAGAGCCCTCTCCTGTTGATGTTCAGGTGTGTATCAGTATGTAATGTCTCTACTTTAAAGAGTCCTCTCCTGCTGATGTTCAGGTGTATATCAGTACTTAGTGTCTCTACTTTAAAGAGTCCTCTCCTGCTGATGTTCAGGTGTATATCAGTACTTAGTGTCTCTACTTTAAAGAGTCCTCTCCTGCTGATGTTCAGGTGTATATCAGTATGTAGTGTCTCTACTTTAAAGAGTCTTCTCCTGCTGATGTTCAGGTGTATATCAGTATGTAGTGTCTCTACTTTAAAGAGTCCTCTCCTGCTGATGTTCAGGTGTGTATCAGTATGTAGTGTCTCTACTTTAAAGAGTCCTCTCCTGCTGATGTTCAGGTGTATATCAGTATGTAGTGTCTCTACTTTAAAGAGTCCTCTCCTGATGATGTTCAGGTGTATATCAGTATGTAGTGTCTCTACTTTAAAGAGTCCTCTCCTGCTGATGTTCAGGTGTATATCAGTATGTAGTGTCTCTACTTTAAAGAGCCCTCTCCTGTTGATGTTCAGGTGTGTATCAGTATGTAATGTCTCTACTTTAAAGAGTCCTCTCCTGCTGATGTTCAGGTGTATATCAGTATGTAGTGTCTCTACTTTAAAGAGTCCTCTCCTGCTGATGTTCAGGTGTATATCAGTATGTAGTGTCTCTACTTTAAAGAGTCCTCTCCTGATGATGTTCAGGTGTATATCAGTATGTAGTGTCTCTACTGTAAAGAGTCCTCTCCTGCTGATGTTCAGGTGTATATCAGTACTTAGTGTCTCTACACAATACAGGAAAGTGAAGACCCTAAGAAGCAGAATAAGGAAAAAACACTTATTATTATTATTATCATTATTAAGCGTGCAGGCTGGAAAGTTCCTGCATCTCCTATTCTTGCACACATTTCTGTGTGTATTGTTCTTCTATAAATACTCTACAGTAATATTTGTTTAATCTTCTGGCAGTGAGCCCTGGCCTCCACCCTGACCCTCCTTTTTTGTAATAAAAAAATGCCTTCTCTTGTTGCACCGGCTGTAAATCACTTTCTATAGGACCTGCACTAAATACCCAGCATGCAAATATATGATAAACCTCATGTTGTTTCTCACTACAGTCCAGGTTAAACACATGAGAGCAGAGAGCAGTGTGAGGTCCTTAAGCTAAAGTGGATCCAGTGGAAAACTGCTGGATTTCAGACGAGCCGAACGGATCCATCGGACACGAGCCAATAAAAGCTCAAAGCATGGAAAAGACCCAGCGCTGTGTTTTTAAAGAGTCGACTGACGGGGGGTTAAGTGTAAACTAAATGCAGGTTCAAAGAAAGCAAGAGGGTTTCATCTCTAAGGGGTTTTGGATAAAAGCCAGACCTGGGAGTTAGGAAACACTTTGTGAGGTTTGCCACTTAGGAGAGAATATTAAACAACAGGTGGGGGGGGGTTAAATGTCTATTAATATGCTTTGGTGTGACTGACACATTATCTATTCTAAATCCACAGGAAGTTATACATCTCACCTGAAGGGGTTGAGAGTTATCTGTTAGAGTTTAAGGATTAATGGGAGCCAGAGGGAGGTATTTATCAGGCAAACAAGATGCTTAGTTGATCAACAACAACAACAACAACATATGGTGGACGTAAAGTTTCTGAACATTCCTCTGATGAACTTCTACGAAACAGTGAGGCTTTTTAACTTTATACCTGGAACAAATCGATCCCAGATGATAGACCCAGATCCAGACATTAAACTCTGAACCCTTTAACCCCCATTAACTATTTAAATGTTGTTCAATATTGACTATAAGGTTTATTTATCTTTATTGCACTTTGTGCTGCATTTCTTGTATGAAAGATGCTATAAATAGAGTTTATTAATCAGAATAAGGATCACTTTATCCCGGGAGGAAATTGGTATTTGTACCAGTTGCTCCATTTTAGAATAAATACAATAAAATACAATTTTTAAAAGTAAAAATATGTATGTAATATAGATTTTTGCTCGAAATACAGTTAAAAACCTTACGCGGTACACACATTTAACAGTAGAAATTCAAGTAAATATCATATTATTTATTATTAAATGTGAAATGTGAATGGATTACATTTTAATTTAACTTCTTATGTTTATTTAAAGATTTTGTATGTATTTTTTAAACTTCTTATTGCACATTTTTACTATCCATGTGTATATAGATAGATTTATTCGATTTTATTTTATTTAAATTGTATTCTAAAATGCAGCAATTGTCAGAATACCTTTGATTCTGATTCATTACAGCAGCACTAGAGACAGATGGAGGATGTTTCTCTCACCTCCAGCATCTCCTCTCCGGACACCTTCCTGTAGGTGACCCGGTACATTTCTACTGTCTATATGCAATCTTTTCAGCTGCATTAGATGTTTCTCTCACCTCCAGCATCTCCTCTCCGGCCACCTTCCTGTAGGTGACCCTGTACATGTCCACTGGTCCGTCGGGGGCCGTCCAGGTGGCCCTGAAGGAGCTGAAGGTCACCTCAGAGGTCAGCAGGTTGCTGGGCGCCTCCAGTTCTCCTCCTGAAGAGAAACGAATACGATCCAACATGTAAAAGTATATCACACCGTGAACCCTGCCGCCACAAATCCTCCAGTTCTCTCCTTTAAAAAATGTATTTCTCTACGACTCAGCTGTACATTTTCTTGCACTATTTATAGGTTTCAAGGTTTCAAGGTTTCAAGGCCTTTATTGTCATGTGTACATAGCTACAGTGTATTATGATAATGAACATCTGAGGTCACAGGCTCCTCCAACAGTGCAACACAATAAAACAGATAAATAAAATAAAATATAATATAATAGAAACAGTGCAGAATAGTCTATATACAAGTAATTGGAATATTGATATAAGTTGCAAACAGGTGAATGTTATGGATGTTCTTTCAAAAGTTCAGGTGTCAAAATTAACAGTAAAAATTAACGTAAATATTATATATTATTTATTATTAAATGTGAAATGCGAATGGATTCCATTTTAATGTAACTTCTTATGTTTATTTAAAATGTATTTTTGTCCGACTGAGCTGTAAATCTTCTTGCACTATTTATATTCTATTTTATTTGTATTTACTTGCACTATTTTATCTTTTATATTTGTTTTATGTCCTATATTCATGTTGCTCTGTTGGAGGAGCTTTGACACATCTACACTGAAGCTAA